CCTTCATGCAACCCATGTAAAAAACAGGCAGGCTTTGACTTTTTTGTGACTTTTTCCCCCCCTTTCAAGACCCCCTGGAGTCTTGTGTAAAGAAAAAAAAATACAGCTTCTTTTATCCCTTTTTCTAATTAATAAATACAAAAAAAGAAAGCACCAATTCTAAAGGGACAAGCTAAAAAAAGAAATGAAAACATGCAGGATATATATTTACAGAACATATCCATAAGCGGAAGTGATGATTCATTGCAGACATTCAGAGCTAATCTATATTCATTAATTGTGCAAACCACAGAATAGTTGCAGCCATATGTTTGTCTTTCCAGGGCTGCCCTTGTGGCTTCTCAAGCATAGGAGCCAGAAGGGAAGATGGGAATCCCAACTATTTTCAGCTTTGTAGGGGTAGACAACCCTGGTGCCTGTTTGCTTAGTGGTCTATTTCAACTCAACTTGAAATTGGAGAAAGGTGTTATAAACTTTACAAGGGTGGTAGGGTTAGGTTAACTGACCCAAGGAAAGCAGAAAAGAATCCTCCTTAAGGGAGGTGGGCAAAAGGTTCATAAGAGGAAGCCACCTCACGCAGGACCAAGGAAAGGTAGGGAAGTCCATGCATCCTCTTTGGAGTGAATCTCTCTCCCACCAGCTATTTTTTGGGAAAAACCTAAGGCCAAGTCAACTGTGAGTCAGCATTCTGGAATGTAACATTTGCTCCTTTCTGAAGTACGACTGAAGATTTGCAAGATCAGAAATTGTCTTCTCCTCTAATTCTGTTTTTTCTTTCCTTCCGACGCCAGATATAGGAAGGAATCGACAGACCATGATGCCCATCTGCTTCCTGACGCTGGAACCCATGGCGTTCTGCTACTGACGGCGGCGGAGTAGCTGCAACCGGGTGGTGGGAGGCTTTGGAGACGGCTGAGCTTGTTTGGGTGGGTGGGAGGGCCACATGTCTCTTGGAGCAACTGCCATGGATCCACGAAGTTCAGACTCATCTGGATCAGCCACATGGATTCCCGTCTTGAATTGAAGACCAACCTTCCAGTGTCCAGTAAAAGGACTGATGCAATGTTGTAGTGTTTGATATATTTGTGTAGTTGTTATGTGTTTTACTTCTAGCTTCCTGGGCTGTGATAAGTCCCCAAACACCAAAAGGACCCCCCACTCCCATGTCATGAGTGACGGGGTGCCCATGGTAAGCTAGCTTTCGGGGCGAATGGTATATATATTACAGGTAGTCCTTGACTTAATGGCCACATTTGAGTCCAGAGCTCCTGTTGCTAAGTGAGGCATTTTGTTAAGTTGGTTTTGCCCAATTTAATGACTTTCTTTGCTACATTTGTTAACTGCAAATGTTGAGTTAGTAACATGGTTCTTAAGTGAATGTTGCTTCCCCATTAACTTCGCTTGTCAGGTCACAAAATGCGATCACCTGAGCCCAGGACACTGCAGCCATAAGTATGAGTCAGTTGTCAAGCTTCTGAACTTTAATCACATGCCACGAGGATGTTGCAATTGTAAGCTGCTTCCTTCAGTGCTGTTGTACCTTCAAATAGTCACTAAATGAACTGTTTTAACTCAAGGGCTACCTATACCAGTTTTTATGTAGTAATATATATAGGCATTCTTCTATGTACATATTAGCTTTTCGTACAGATAGTTCTGTTTACTAAAATATGCTAATATGCACATATATGTGTATGTATATATATGCACGCAGAGAGACATAATTTGTCTATTCCTGGAATAAACTCATTATGCCAACAAGTCTCTGCATGTGTACATATGTATATATACATGCCCCAACGTTTCGCTTCTCATCCAAGAAGCTTCTTCAGTTCTGACTGAATGGTGGGGAATGGAATGATTTATATTCTTTGCAGTCATCTGGTCCTTAGTACCCCAAAGGTAAGTCGTTGGCTTTCTGAGAGTCGTTGAGGCCTCTTGGGGGTTTATCTGTATCCTCGGGGTCACCTGGACCAGTGTGGAGATGGGCCTGGGACCTTCTTGGGACGGCTGCAAGGACCGTGTTGGAGACAGGAGGTAAGTGGTGGCGTATCCCTCCCCCTCTGTTGAGAGAGGCCTGTTCGGTTTAACACAGATGGCCTCTTTGACCCCTCTTTCAAACCAGCGGTCCTCTCTATCCAGAACATGGACTTTGCTGTCTTCGAAAGAGTGGCCTTCGTCTTTCAAATGCAGATGGACTGCTAAACCTTGTCCTGGTGTGCTAGTTCTAGGTTGTGCCATGCAGTTTTGCTTCTCCAATGTGCAGTTCTGTACATGTCTCACTACATTCTACTGCACATTGCTCAGTTTGTGTGTAGGCATTTTATTCTTGGGGGGGTGGACAAGCTTCTGCCTTAGTGCAGTTTCTCAATCTTGGCAACTTTTTAAGATGTGTGAACTTCAGCTCCCAGAATTCCTGAATGAGCATGCTGGCTGAGGAATTCTGGGAGCCGAAGTCCACACATCTTAAACGTCAAGATTTTGAGGTGTGCATGTATGTTGAATTAGTTGAAAATCCTAAGCTTTTCAGATATTCCTGCACTTCATGGATTGATGTTGCTTCGTTTGTTGTTTTGTCCTTATTGGGGGCAGGAGGGGACAAAGGATCCTACTGGATCTTTGTCTGGATTTGATGAAGGCCCAATTAGGATAGCCATAGGTTCTGAGGACTTCTTCAATGTGTTTTAGTCTTTCTTTTCCCTCTGCTGGTAGGTAAACCTTCAGCTCAGCGGTGTAGGATTCTGACGACTTGTATGTTTTTGGTCCAGTGAAGGTAAACACTGTGGGTTTTCTGTATACTTCAGTTTTGAAGTATGAATCTTGTCCTGATGTGTTTGTTCTATGTTGTGCCATGCACTTGTGAAGTAGTTGTTTTGTTCACAAACGTGGCACAACATAGAACAAACCCATCAGGACAAGATTCAGCAGTCCATCTGTCTGTGGAGATTCTTAATCAGCCAGATCATGGTTTACTCCAAAGGTCCTTTCCCAAGAAGCAACTAGACTTCCTTTGTTTTTTCTTGAAGACTTTCACTTCTCATCCAAGAAGCTTGATGGATGAGAAGTGAAACATCTTCAAGGAAAAACAAAGTCCAGTTGCCTCTTGGAAAAGCACATTTGGAACAGCGGTCCATCTGCATTTGAGAGATGAAGGCCACTCTGGAAGACAGCAAAGTCCACGTTCTGGATGGAGGATCCCTGGGGGCTTGAAAGAGAGGTCAAAGAGACCATCTGTGTTAAAACTGAACAGCCCTCTGTTGACAGGTGGAGGGATACGACACCACCTCTCCCACCTCTCCCGTCTCCAACACGGTCCTTGCAGCAGTCCCAAGAAGGTCCCAGGCCCATTTCCACACTGGTCCAGGTGACTCCGGAGATACAGATAAACCCCCAAGAGGCCTCAACGATTCTCAGAGCTAATGACTGGCCTTTGGAATACTAATGACCAGATGACTGCAAAGAATATAAATCGTTCCATTCCCCCCCATTCAGCCAGAACTGAAGAAACTTTTTGGATGAGAAGCGAGGCAGCAAAAAAAAAAAAAAAAAAAAAAAAAAACATAAGCACCTCCCCCACACAGATTCATGTATATAGTTAAGTCAGATTCACGTATATAGTTAAGTCACAGAGTGTCCGGTTCACTCCAATATATTGGGACACCCCCCCCCCAATTACTGTATGTGCCTGTGTACTTTAACATAGATGCACACAGTCATCTAAGATCTATTGGGACCTTTTTTTCCCCAATAGACCTTAGCCTATATTGCTCTGTGCGTCTGTGTTAAGATACAGACACATAGAGCAATATAGGCTAAGATCTATTAGAAAAAAAGGTCCCAATAGATCTTAGCCTACATGACTGTATGCAACTGTGTTAATGTACACAGGCACATACATTAATATTCCCTAATATATGGTATGTTTATACATCTACATATTACCATATATTAAGGTGTACCATACTAAGGTTACCAGCTCTCGGCTGAAAAATAGCCACTAGAGGGCAGCAAATTACATTTGGCACCATCTAGTGGCCTAGCATATTTTTGCAGCCCAGATCTGGTAACTAAGCTTAGAGCAGTCTTTTTCAAACTTAGCCACCTTTAGATGGCTTTCAACTCCCAGAATTACTTGGGAGTTGAAGTCCCCCACATCTGACAAGTTTGCAAAACACTGCCCTGGCACAATATACATCCAGCTGCATGTGTGCATCTTTCTTCTGCAGCTCTACTGCATAGATATATGGACAACCCAGGGACCCTCTATCGTGTCAGTTTGCCTCTTTGGCAAGAGTTTTCAAGAAGGAAGTTCCTAGAAAAGGAAGTGTATTGATAGGGATATCAGGATACCTCCAGAATACCAAAACCATCTTCCTGTTCTGGAAAGATTCCTTTGGGGAAACTGCTTGGATTAGCCCAATCGGCGTGAGGAAAACAAGGACATTTAAAGTTGTCCAGAAAAGACCCTTTTGCCCATATATACCAGTCACTTTTCTCCTGATTGCACAAGGGCTGCAAACTCTCGGGTGCTGAGGCCTTGCCAAGCCGAGTTCTCTCTGGCCACCAAGTCCCATCATCCTCAGTCCATGCTGCAACGGCTGAGGAGAGGAATAACTGTGGTGCTCTCCCTGCTGGTTTGGCAGCTGCCCTAGCCCACCCAGCAGGAAGGCCCCACAAGATGACTTGTGACCAAGCCAGCAAAAACTGGATCAGGCAAAGATCCCCATGCTGCACCAAGTTAGAGATGTACTACAACTCCCAGCAGCCCCAGGCAGCACAGTTAAGGAGGGGTGCTGCTTCAGCAGTCCTGGTGCGATCAGGCAAAGTGCCAGTGGAGCTGGAGAAGAAAGGATACTTACACACATGCTTGACTTACCTGTGGCAGGGTTTTCTCCAACTGGGATGGCCTCTGGATTTTCTCCAATGTGAGATTTCAAAAACCAGCACCCCTGACAATAAAACAGCCATTTTCAAGCACACCAACCCCTCATCCCGAGACCAACGCTTAATAAAGATATTTTATTTACAAGAAAAACGCTCCCAAAGTCTCTTCTTCTTCTTAAGATCTCCAGATGTTGCAGGTAGCATCGGCGCCTGTTCCAGAAAGGCAGCACTGAACTATTTTAGCTAGGTGCAAGGAATGGAAGCCCTCCCTTCTCCCAGAATGATCTCTGCACACTATCTTACTACCTGTCTTACTACCTCCTGATTCTTGGGCTAAAGCCTTTATTATCATCTCCTGATTCTTGCCTATCTATCATGGTCCCTGTTAGCCACCATCTCTTCTTCGTTCCCACAGCACTGTTATTAAAGCTTTGGGGAGACCATGTGCCCCTCCTTATTCTGCTGCCTACTTGGCCAACCCGTGGCTTCCGAGCCCTCCAAAGAGGTCTGCAGGAACACCATCCTTGGGGTTCTCTTTCTCCAGGGTCCAGCTCAGCTGGACTTCTCTTCTTCCCACCCTGCCTAGATGTTGTCATAGGGGACCACAGGGCCAATGTTGTAGCTGTAGCCGGCCACTTTGTTGTAAGAGGAGCGGCAGATAGGAAGGACGCTCTCTGCCACCAGCTTGTCCATGGAGAATTCGTAGGCGTAGATATTGCCTGGTCAGAGAGAAGCAAGGGGAGAAAAGGGAAAAGAAAATTAAGCAGGGCGCTTTTCAACCAGCCTGGTTCCCAGCAGTTCAAAACCCTCTGGAGCAACTTTCCAACCTTGGCAACGTTAAGATGTCTGCACTTCAAATTCAAGCTGGCTGTGGAATTCTGGGAATTGGCCCTCACGTCTTAAAGTTGCCCAGATTGAAGAACGTTGCTCCAGACCAGGGGCCTTCAAACATGGCCCTTTTATGACTGGTGGACTTCAAGTCCACAAGTCATAAAAGGGCCAAGTTTGAGGACCCCTGCTCCAGACTCTGGTTCCTCTCTAGGGCCAAGGAGATGTTAAAATGCAAGCACATCAATTCAGAGTAGGCCCGTGTGCTTGAAGGAGCACCCTGACCGGTTCTGGGATTGAAGTTCAGTCCTCTTAAAGCTGGCATGTCAAACTGCTGGTCCGTGGGCCAGATGCGTCACACCGAAACCATGCCCACCCCATTGCTGGCAATGGGGAACAAGTCACGATACGTCGCGCGACATCACATGATGTTGTGAGTTTGACCTGCCTGTCCTAAAAGTAATGAAGGCTGAGAAACACTGCTCTAGATACCTCAACTGTCTTGTATTCACCTTCTTGGAAGTCAGCTCAGAGTATGAGGAAGGGAGAAGGGGAGCAGAGAGGAGATAAGAGAGGGAAGGGAAGTGGGAGGAAGAGGGGAGGGGAGGGAAGAGAAGGGAAAAGGAGGGGAGAGGGGAAAGGAGGGGAGAAGAGAGGGGAGGAGGGAAAGGAAGGGGAGAGGAGGAAAGGGAAGGGGAGAAGAGGGAAGGGAAAGATAAGATTTAAAACAGGATTTGGATAAGCTAAACTACTCTGTATTCCAAGAAGAGGCGAGGCCAATAGCCATCCAGAAACAATTGGATTTCCCATCAACCTTAGCCAACCCAACCCAACCCATAATAATGGGTGCTGGAACCCATCAGCCATCCCGCTGGGTTTGTTCTTCCAAGCCACTTGCTGCTCACCAGAGCTTGCTTATGACTTATAGCTGGCTACCTTCCTATCCTAAACCCCTGCCTGGCTTGGCCACAACATCCCGGTTCTCTGCCACCATAAGCTCCCAAACGCTCCTCTATTGTGGCTTCTCCTCTTTTCCTGTTTAAACCAGGGGTCTTCAAACTTGGCCCTTTTATGATTTGTGGACTTCAATTCCCAGAATTCCTCAGCCAGGCACGCTGAGTCCACAAGTCATAAAAGGGCCATGTTTGAAGACCCCTGCTCTAAAGCAGCATTTCTCAAACTTGACAACTCTTAAGACCCGTGGACTTCAACTCCCAGAATTCCCTAGCAAGGGCTGAGGAATTCTGGGAGTTGAAGTCCACAAGTCATAACAGGGCCACGTTTGAAGACCCTTGGTTTAAACTGAGGAAGGTCCACTTGGGGGAATGCCTCCCAGTTTCCCGCAACATTGTCTAGCTAAGGCTGCTGGGAATTGTAGTGTAGCAACCCTGAGTGTGGTGTCACAGGGTGCCTTCTGCTGATTAAGATCAAAAGTACCACTGTGGGGGTCAGCTCTCACCTTCGGCGAGTGGTCAAGTTGTCGTCCATGATGCTGGCCCCATTGGGGATGTTGGCCATGATGAGGCTGTGGTAGCTGAAGCGGAGGTGGCGAACTGGGTGCCTGGAAAAAAAGGGAGCCCCAGAGTCCATCAGTGGCTTTTCAATAATCTCTCCATGTTTAAATTCAGCGGACGTGCAACTGGCTGTTTAATTAAAAGCAGGGGGCAGTTATTCAAATGCGCAGTAAATTGGAACAAATGCAAAGTAAAACCCTAGGAGTTTATTTTATTTTATTTAAAAAAAAACCTTTCCACTGGGTGCCTGGAAGAAAAAGGGCGCCCCCGGGTCTATCTAGAGGCGTTTTAACAATGTCGCCATGTTTAAAGGCAGCGGACATGCAATTGGCTGTTTAATTAAAAGCAGGGGGCAGTTATTCAAATGCGCAGTAAATTGGAACAAATGCAAAGTAAAACCCTAGGAGTTTATTTTATTTTATTTAAAAAAAAACCTTTCCACTGGGTGCCTGGAAGAAAAAGGGCGCCCCCGGGTCTATCTAGAGGCGTTTTAACAATGTCGCCATGTTTAAAGGCAGCGGACATGCAATTGGCTGTTTAATTAAAAGCAGGGGGCAGTTATTCAAGTGGGACTTATTCTTAATTTTAACACGAATAGCTATATACACGTAATCACTGTTTAGCCAGTGTTCCCAAAAACGAACTAATCCAGAAAGGATCCTTACTGTTAGACGTGCAAAACCGCGACCAAAAACGGGCCTCTGCAGCCACGTGGCTTGGAGAGAAGCCGGAAGTGGGCTTTTTGATGCCTGGTCACGTGGCCGAAGCAGATTGGCTGAGTTTTGCAAGATCTCTTTTGCTTTTGCTTTGCTGGAGCTGCGTGGAAGATTAGAAGCCTTAATATTAATCACAATAGAGCAACGGGAGGCCCAAGGGCTGCAGAACAGGCACAGAAGAAGGAAACCTGCTTCAAAACACTTAAACCGAGTTAAAAAGGCCTATGATGGCCTAAGTACTAATGCTGTAGGACAGACAGCAGTGCCCTCCAGTGGACAAGGCAGGAATAGCAGCTACACAAGGAAATAAACCTTACCCCAAAGAGGGCAAAAAAGTCAGGCTTTCCCAAGATATGAAAGACTATTTACCTTATTTTAGAGGCAAAGGCCTCAGAATGCAGCCTTAGGCAGGAGTAGCAGCCATACAAGGAAATAAACTTTACCTGCCGACTTCCTGTCACACATGCGCAGTAGTCCTCCACTGCCATACACGCCAACCTCTCCGGGACGGCCAACTTCCTGTCCGTTTCTTTGGCCGTCCTTCCACTTCTATTCAGGACGACCTACTCGGCATGGTCGACTTTCTGTCCCTGAGGAGGCGGCTGGACCACGTGACCCCCTTCAGCGACCTTCTGGCACGTCGGGGGGGGGGAAGCCAGATTCACTTAACGACCGTGTTACTAGCTTAACAATTGCAGTGACTCGCAAGAAAGGTCGTAAGACGGGGCAAAGCTCATTCGACACAAGTCTTTGCAGCCAGGAACCCTCAGAGCCCGGAACTTTTATCGCGCGCGGGTCGCGTTTCCCGGAGGACTCAAATGAGCGTTGCACAAACTCGCCGGAAGTGGAGAGGAAAGGCCGGCGGCTTTTGTTTACCCCATACCGGAAGCAGACCGGAAGGGACCCCCGCGCGCACGTGTCCTTCCCTGCTCGCTCGGCGGACCGAAAACATGAAACTCCTGACCCACAACATGCTCACTTCTCACGTGCGGGGCGTGCGAGCCGGAGGAGGGTTTCCCCTTCTCATAAAGGTAAAGCGAGGCTGGCAAAGCCTTCCCCCTCTCCCTTCATAGCCCATCGCTTTAGTGCTGCACTCCAGCTCCCCATTCCCCCAGCCAAGCTCCCCCAGTTTTGCATTCTCCAGATTACAGCTCCCATCATCCCCAACTCCCCCTCCTTTAGGTTCCTTAGATTTAGGTGGAGAGAAGATGGGCTGGATAGTCCCAAATCTGACATTGGAGCCTTGGTTGAAGGAACTGCATCGTCGTGCTTGTGATCCCATCATCCCCTGCCTGGCTGCTTGTTTATTTGATTTGATTTCTATAGCCCACCCCTCTGAGCCGTTCAATCTGGGTGGTTTATTTATATCGTAAAACATTTTTAAAAAGGTAATTAAGATGGTACAAAATAAATTGGCCCGACCCACCTCACAGGGTTGTTGTTGTGGGGAAAAGAGCATTATATGCTGTATGTTTGCTGCCTTGAAATATGTATTTATTTGTATTCTGTCTCTTATTATTTTTAGAAATTACTCCAGGTGGCAGACATACAGTATACAGTGCTCCTTCCTCCTCCTCTTCCCCACGACAACCCTGTGAGGTGGATCCGACTAAAAGTCACTGGCCCAAAGTCACCCTGCTGGCTTTCATGCCTATGGTGGGACTAGAACTCACCGCCTCCTGCTTTCTAGCCTGGTGGTTTAACCATTAGACCAAACAGTCTCCTGCTTGAGCAAGGGGCTGGACTAGAAGACCTCTAAGGTTCCTCCTCCCAACTCTGTTTTACTGTTATTTTTATTTATACAAATAATAAAGGTGGGATAAACAAAATTATAACAAAATAAAAATAGATGGCCCCAAGTAGAATTGTTACTATGCAGCCAGGAAATGAGACCATTAACCCACTTGGGGTCCGAGGCCTGGACCCTTAATCAAGTCTTCATAGTCTTACAAAAAAACCAAGAGGCAGAACAGTCTAATAGGTAAGGCCCGTGACAGAGAAGGCACTTCTCCTGGTGCCCACAGCTGACAACATGCCTCGGCTGATGGGACCCACAACGTGCCCGACCTGCTTGAGCAAGCTGGACAGGCAGAAACAAACGGGAGGATTCCCAAGGTAGCCCAGCCCCAAACCGCGAAGGTCTGTGGATCGATCTACCTAGGAAGACGGGGAGTAAGAATTTCAGCCTGCTTAGCTGCGCCGTAATCCTTGTTTTAAGGGTTTCCTGAGTCTTAACCTTTCGGTCTTTCCTGCCCATAGGCTACAGAGGTGAAGGTGAACAACATCGACTTCAACCCGGAGTTCACGGCACGGATGGTGCCCAAAATAGAATGGGCAGCTCTGGTGGGCGCTGCAGAAAGTGTAAGTCCTGGTCAGGTGTCGGGGGGACAGGAAAAAGATGGAGAAAGCAGGGATCCAGGCTCCTCCCATCTTCTTCTAGTCAGCTGGTAGTTATTAACATTTTCAAACATGTGCATCTTCCTTCCCGCTATTCCTTCCTTTCCCCTTTCCTTCTATCTTCCTTTCCTTTCCTTCTTTCCTCTTCTCTCCTCCCCTTTTTTAAGTTGCGTTTATCTTTCTCGTGCTGTCCTTTCTTGCAAGTTGCCTAGGAAGTGTGTGTGTTGGGGGGCATCTACATAGAAAAGCCAGATGGCCCTTGGAAGCTTATTGGTAGGAAACAAGCACAGCCTGCAGTCGAGGAGGGAAATATCGGCCTAGGATGATGAGCTGGTGAAAAATAATAACCTGATCTTCTTCCCTTTACAGTTGGGCCACCGCTCAGACCTTCCGTCCGAGGTTATGCCCGATTATGAGCAAAATGAAGATTTTCTTCGGAAAGTGCATCATGTCTTGATGGAGGTTTGAAACTTTACTTCATTTTCCCGTACTTCGTGGAATGCATCCAGCCAAGTCAGGAGAATTCCGTCTGTGCCAAAACAGCAGCTTTGTGTTCTTCTTCCTCTCCCTCCCCTCTATTCCTTTCTCCCTCTCATCTTCCTTCTGTCCCTCTATTCCTTCCTCCTCTCCTCTTTCCTCTCCTTTTTTAAGTTGTGTTTATTTTTCCTTCTCCTTTCCTTTCCTTCTTTCCTCTCCTTTTTTTAAGTTGCGTTTTTCTTTCTCCTTTCCTTTCCTTCTTCTTCCCTCTCCGATTTTTAAGTTGCGTTTTTCTTTTTCTCCTCCTTTCCTTTCCTCTTTTTAAGTTGTTTTTCTTTCTCCTTTCCTTTCTTTCCTCTCCTCCTTTTAAGTTGCATTTTTCTTTCTCCTTTCCTTTCCTTTCCCTTTTCTTTCCTCCTTTCCTTTCTTTCTCCTTTCCTCTCCTCTCCTTTTTTAAGTTGCATTTATTTTTTCTCTCTCTTCCTCTCCTTTCCTTCTTTCCCTCCTGATTCCATTTTTGCCCTCTTTAGGTGGAGGTGATCGAAGGGGTCTTGAAGTGTCCGGATACTGGGCGGGAATTCCCCATTACCAAAGGCATCCCGAATATGTTGCTGAGCGAAGACGAGACGTGAGCTGCCCTACTATCAAAACGCCGCCAGAACGAGTCCAGAGGGACGGAGGAGAAACAGTTAACCTCCCAGCCAGGTTTTTTTTTTTTTTTTGCATTATTGTTGTTGGTTTTGTGTCTGTAAATAAATCTGAATGCTTGAAACCGACTTTGTGACATTGATAAGAGAATCCTAGGGTTGGGGTGTAGGAGATCTGTTTGGAAATTGAATACCTGTACACAACAGCTGGGTTCTAACAACTGTAGCTCTTCATTTAACGACTGTGGCAAGCAAAGTCATAAAATGGGTCAAAACTCACTTAACCGCTCACTGTCTTGCTTACCGACGGAATATTTGGGCTCAGGTGTGGTTGTAAGTCAAAACTTACCTGTTGTTTTTTTTAATGCTGTGTTTTTAATTTCTGTTCCCTGCCCTGGACTCATGACCTGGAGATGAATGAAGCTTATAAATAAATGATGATGATAATAATAATAATGTTGGAAGGGACCTTGGAGGTCATCTAGTCCAACCCCCTGCTCAGGCAGGAAACCCTATACCATTTCAGACAAATGGCTGTCCAGTCTCTTCTTAAAAACCTCCAGTGTTGGAGCATTCACCGCTTCTGGAGGCAGGTTGTTCCACCGGTTAATTATTCACACTGTCAGGAAGTTTCTCCTTAGTTCTAGGTTGCTTCTCTCCTTGATTAGTTTCCATCCATTGCTTCTTGTTCTGCCTTATCTGGCTGCATCTCCTGCTTCTCTGGCTGGCCTAGAGTTCAAGTTCAGCGCAAGACGCTGCCACCAAACAAAGACAGAGGTTAAATGTCGGCAGAGGCTGCATCGGCCTTCTTTTTTAATTCTTTCCATAATAGAGCTCTCTATGAATGTATAACCGCCTATACACAGATCAAAGTATTTATAATATGTACACACACATATAATTTAATTAAAAAAAAAAAGTCCAGCGTCTGTTTTTCCCCACCTTCCTTTATTCCACCCCCCCTCCACACACACACACACACACACACACACACATCAGGGAGAAGATCACACCTGCCTCCTTAGGGAAGAGGCAGGTGTGCCAAAGATGGGCTAAGACCTTTTTTTTTTCCCCCTTCCTTTAAAACTTTTCCTGCGACAAATATACAGTAAAATATATTGCTATGTACACGGCTCTCCCGTTCAAGCCACAGGGGACCTTCCTTCCAAATCTGAGTGGGAAGGAAGGGAATTGAGAGGGAATATATGGTGTGTTGTTTTTTTTATTGCTTTGGGCACAGGTTGGGTCTTGGATTGAAGTTGGGAAAGGAAGCAAGTCACCTGTTCGGCTGAGGGGAGACAGGGCGTCACACCTGAAAACAAAAGCAAAACTGCCTTTTGAACTATTGCTATATGGGACTCGGGTGAAGGACGCAGAACGAAAGGACCGGCCTTTTATTTTTATTTTTATTATTCTGTCTCAGAGGGAAAGGGGCTCGCTCCTTCAACGCAGCCCACCTCTTTCCTGGCTTTTAAGGAAGGTTGCGTGCGAGCGAGGCAATCCCCCTCGGAGACCCCCAGCTCTCCACATCCCGTTTTTTATTATTATTATTATTATTAAAGTTATTGCTTCAAAGGGATAATTCAGGGAAGGAGGAGAGGAGGAGGGAGATGGCAGGAACGGGGCAGAGAATGGCGGAAGAGCGTCCCTCCCCTGAGGTTGCACGGAGACTGGCATGCCAAGGCAAAACGAGGAGGGGGTCCCGTGCCCTCCCTTTTCCCCTCCCCGGCCTCTGCACCCCCAATTCCTGGAACCGTGACTCCCCACAGTGTCTTAAGGTGCTTTGGATCGAGGCGTAGCCCAAACGTGGGAACAAAGAGACCCTGGGAAGGAAACCTAGGCAGCAGGAAAGGAGACCCACCCGAAATAGACCCCCAGGGACGTGCGGCTTGAGCCCCCCCACCCAAATGAGGCTTTCTCGCCACTTCTGGGGTGGGACAGCTCCAATTCCCGCCCCCCCCACCCCATATGCTAAAGAGCTCTATGTCCTTTGTACACAACACTTAAACCCAGGCAATTGCTGGTACTACATTATCTAATCTATTCTGTCTCAACCTTGGCAGCTAAAAAAGGTGGACTACAACTCCCAGAATTCCTCAGCCCACGTGAATTCTGGGAGGTGAAGTCCACCCAGCTGGAATTGTGCTGGCTGGGGAATTCTGGGAGGTGAAGTTCGCCCATGCCAAAGAATGCTAGCTGGGGAATTCTGGGAATTGAAGTCCACCCCTCTTAAAGCACGCTGGCTGGGGGATTCTGGGAGCTGAAGTCCACCCCTCTTAAAGCACGCTGGCTGGGGGATTCTGGGAATTGAAGTCCACCCTTCTTAAAGCACGCTGGCTGGGGGATTCTGGGAGCTGAAGTCCACCCCTCTGAAAGCACGCTGACTGGGGGATTCTGGGAGCTGAAGTCCACCCCCCTTCCTGCTGCCGAGGAGCACAAGCCTTGCTCTAATCTCCTTCCCTGCCCCCCCCCCCAAGTCCCAATCAATAAATTAAAGTATGGCTTCTAAAACATTTGTCCCTGTCTCCACCAACCGGCCCCGGGTGTCAAATCCAATCTGGGGAGGATTGCCGTGGCGATCTGCGTTGCGGTGGGTGTGTCGTTCTCCACTGTGCACGAAGGTTGGGGGGGGGGGAGGCGAGGCGCTGACCGCAAGGTTTGCATATGGTGAAATGCATGTTAGTTTAGCACGATAGCCGTGGCGGGGATTCAGAGGGTGGCAGAATCCGCATCCGGGCCTCTGCGGCGGCTGGTCTCCGATCGCGGGCTTGGCACCCCACCCCGTCCTGGATGCCCGGGTTCCCCCACCCTCCTGAATCCTGGACCCCAATTCTCAGCCTGTCCTGCCTTCAGTCCATCATGGCTTCCAACATCTCCAGGAACAGCTTATGCATGGGGATTTTGCCCTCCAGTTTCAAGCTGTAGAAGTGGTGCAGCACCCGGGTGGCGGTTTGGCGCAGCAGCGGGAGGGTTAGCAAGAGGCGGCCGGCCCGGCGCGGCTCCTCCGGGCGCCGCGAGGCTTCGTACTCCAGCAATGCCTCGTGAAGGACGTCCCGGAGGCGTTGGACGGCCGCCATGTCCTCGATGTGAACGGAGTCTGGGGGGCAGAAGGGAAAGCAACGGGATTACAGAGAGTCCTCCACGGATTCACTTCAGCACTGTGTGCTTTGCTTACGACATTTGGCAAAAAATGTCCTAAAATCAGGCGCAACTCGCTTAACCCCTGTTTTAAGGCAGAACTACAACTCACCGTCTCCTGGCGTTTGGCCAAAGTCATCCAGCCAGTTTTCATGCCCAAGGCAGGACTACAACTCACTGTCTCCTGGTGATTGGCCCAAATTAACCCAGTGGGTTTTCATACCTAAGGCGGGACTAGAACTCACTGTCTCCTGGTGATTGGCCAAAGTTACCTATCCAGTTTTTATGCCTAAGGCGGGACTAGAATTCTCCATCTCCTGGTGATTAGTCCAAATTAACCCAGCGGGCTTCCGTGCCTAAAGTGGAACTGGAACTCACCGTCTCCTCATTCCTTCGCGAGAAGACCAAGCCTTTTCGCTGAGCCTCACCTGAGTTGGCAAGGGCCAACGCCTTCAGCAGCACATATTCCTCCCGCTCCAGGCGCAGCGCCCGGTATTTGCGCACCAGCTGGAGGACCACGCTGCTCAGCTCCAGCAGTCCTGCCGTCCGGGCCGCCTCTTCGTCCAGCGCGAAATCTTCCGCAAACACAATCTCGTCCTCGCAAGGCAGGGAGCGCCAGGCGACGCCGAGGAGCAAAACCTCCAGCCAGACGCTCTGCAGAACAGACATCTGATCGGCCAAGGACAAGGCTGGGAATCCTAGCCAGAGGAAGCAAACCAGGAATGGGGGTTGTGTGAATGCAAGGGCTGATATTTGCCCGGTCACTACAGGCAGTGCTTGAACTTACGACCACGACTGAGCCCAAATTTCTGATCCTGAGTGAGACGGTTACTAAGCGAGTTTTGCCCATTTTACAGCCCTTGCCGCCGCGGTTAAATGAATCACTTGCAGGCCCACGGTCGTTAAATTAATCTGGCCTCCGCATTGACTCTGTCAGAAGGTCGCAGAAGGGGATCACAGGAGCCCTACGACCGTCGTAAATACGAGTCCGTTGCCAAGTGTCTGAATGTTGATCCTGTGACCTTGGTGGCGTAAGCGTGGGAAAGCAGTCCTAAGTAATTTTTTTTCCAGCGCCGTTGTAACTTGGGTCACTAAGCAAACGGTTGTAAGTTGAGGATCCTGCCCAGAAAATGCCAGTGGTCTACAGGCAGTCTTCTAAGGATATATTGAAATAATATATTTTTCCCTGATTTGTAAGATGCCAGGGAATAAAACAGAACAAAAGAAGGCAAAGCTTTTTTTTTTAACGGAAGGTCTCTTTCAGGGGGCAAGATCTGAGGGCAGGAGCTAATAAAATAGAATAATTAAGAGAATATGAGGAAATTAGAAAATAGGGCAGCTCAGCCCACATTTCCAAGATCTGAACTCCTTTTCACTGCATTAATGGCCTTTTGGGAAGGCTCAGATGCGGGCACAAGGGACTTATGAACACAAATGAGGGCAGAACCCCACGGCTAAAGGATGCAGTTTTTTTTTTTTTTTGCTCTGAGTGTTAAGCGAATCACTCCAGTCGTTAAGCGAGTCAGGTGGTCATTAAGCAAATCCGGCTTCCCCCGTTGACTTTCCTCGTCCGAAGTCAACGCAAGTAGTCGCAAAAACGGCGACCCTGTAAGCCATCATAAATACAGGCCGGTTGCCAGGCGCCCAATTGTTGAACCCTTGGCCCTGTGGGGATGCTGTGACGGTCGTAAGTGCGAGGACTGGTCGCAAGTCCCTTTTTTGGGGCGCCATTTGCAGGGGTGCTAAGCGAAAAGTCATCAGCCGAGGACCGCCTGTGTTGGGTCCTCCTCAGAAAAACGGCCCTGGGACGGCTGTTCTAGGAGAACAGAAAACCATCGAGGAGAAAGCAACGGGCACAAATTGGGGCGGGGGGGGGGGCAGATGGGAAATGTCAGGCTGTACCTGGTATATTTTTGGCCCAGCCAATGATGACCACAATCTCTCGGTCGGCCAGATCACACAAAGTGCTTGCGGCTTTCACGGGACCCTCGGGAAGCGCCGGGTCCGGCATGGCGTAGAGTTTTTCCGGTTCGGCTACCAACAAATGGGACACCATCGTGTTCATCGGGGCTGGGCAGGAAGGGAGAGAAAGGAAAAGGGGGCTGGGTGTGGGTTTTTTTTGCTTTTTTGGGTTTGTTTTTTTTGCAACCCGAAAGAGAAAACGAAAATGGATTGAAACGAATCCGAAGGGAGGAGAAAGGAAAAAAAAAAATAAAGGAAGAGAACAAAGACCAAAGTCTCTTTTTGGGATGTGTGTGTGTATGTGTGTGTGTGTGTGAGAGAGAGGGGGGGGGAAATGGAATTATGATAGATGGGTTTGATGATTAGAAAAACAGATGGTAGAGAAAAATGAAAGTAATGTTGATGTAAAAGAAAACCAGAAGTTATTTCGTGATTTTTTTATGCACTTTAGTTTTTTCTTTCTTTTTCTTTCTTTTCCTTCCTTTCCTCCCTTTTATATCTTTCTTTTCCTTCCTTCCTTCCTTCCTTCCTTCCTTCCTTTCTTTCTTTCTTTCCTTCCTTCCTTTTCTTTTTTCTTTCCTTCCTTCCCTTTTTCCTTCCTTCCTTCTTTTTCTTTCTTTCCTTCCCTCCTTTCTTTCTCTTTCCTTTCTTCCTTCCTTCCTTTCTTTCTTTCTTTCCTTCCCTCCTTTCTTTCCTTCCTTCCTTCCTTTTCTTTTCTTTCCTTCTTTCCTTCCTCCCTTCCTTTCTTTTCCTTCCTTCCTTTTCTCTTTCTTCTTTCTTTTTCTTTCTTTCCTTCCTCCCTTCCTTCCCTCCCTCCTTTCTTTCTCCTTCCTTCCTTCCTTCCTTCCTTCCTTCCTTCCTCCCTCCCTTCCTTCCTTCCTTTCTTTCTCCTTCCTTCCTTCCTTCCTTCCTTCCTTCCTTCCTTCCTTCCTTCCTTCCTTCCTTCCTTCCTTTTAAAAGAAAGAAAAGAAAGAGACAATCCAAGGCAAAGAAGTGGAATCCCAAGCTGAGATTTCTGCACCCTGAAATTATGGAGGTTCTCCATTAGTCAAGGCTACTTACCTGACTTCTTGGCGGTAGCTGTGGCGATCTGTGGGGTCACAAAAGTGCTGGGGTAGGGGGCACCCTCCACCTCTGGCCGGCGCTTATATTTCTGTCGACCCCCACGTACCCGATCGAGGCGAACCCCTAAAAATTGGCAGGAGAGGGAAGAAAGGAAGAAAAATTATAACGGGGAAGAAAACATGGAGTTTCAGCCATTGCTAAAGACTTGTGCATTTCTCAAACCATCCAAATTTAGCCTCAAATCTTTGACCCTCCCTAAATCCATCCATCCTTCCTTCCTTCCTCCCTCCCTCCCTCCCTTCCTTCAAAGCACCTGGGATTCAACTGTGGCATGGAAGAGGGAAAAGCAACTCTTGTTATGCTCAGAGGCACTGTCTTCAGAATTCAGCACCCAGCTGGGGCGAAGCACAATTGAAAACTCTGCAGCCTGGGAAAATTTGCCAGCTGAGACTTTCCCTTCTTCAGCAAAATGAGACTAACGAGTGTGGGTGGATTGCAACTCCCATCATCCCCACCCATGGCAGCTGTGGAGGATGGGGATGGTTTTTCATCAGCTGCTTGTGAAAGCCATGTTTGGAAAGGTTGCGGAGAAGAAGGAGAGAAGGCAAAAGGAAGGAAGGAAGGAAGGAAGGAAGGAAGGAAGGAAGGAAGGAAGGAAGGAAGGAAGGAAGGAAGGAAGCTGGGAAGTGAAGTTCAGCAACAATCAATCCATTTGTCATCCCCTCGGTGAGACTGAAGCCCCTTCCCCAAAACAAACTACCTTCCTTCAGCATGCCCACGCGGAGGCACTTGGTAAAACGACACGCCTGGCACGCTTTCCGGCGACGTTTGGTGATTTCACACTCGTTGGTGGCCGGGCAGCTGTATTCAATGCTTCCTGCAGGACAGAGCAAAGGCAGGCACGTTCATCCATTGCAAACGCTCCTCGCTTTACAACCGTTCGTTTAGCGTCCACTCAAAGTTACAACGGCACTGAAAAAAGCGACCTAGGACCCGTTTTTCACACTTACAACCGTTCGTTGCAGCCTCCCCGCGGTCATGTGATCGAAATTCAAACGGTTGGAAATTGACTCGTATTTATGACGGTCGCAGTGTCCCCCAGGGTCACGTGATCCCCTTTGGCGACCGTCTGACGAGCAATGGGGAAGCCAGGTTGACTTAACAACCGAGTTACTAGCTTAAGAACCACAATGATCCACTTAACAACAGTGGGAAAAAAGGCCGCAAAACGGGGCAAACAACTGTCTTGCTTAGTAACCAAAATTTCCGGCTCAATTCTGGCCGTGAAGTCGGGGACTACCTGTAGTTTACTCAAAGGATCAAAAGCAGCATAAATTTAATTACTGAATAGGCCGACAACTGGATGAAGCAGTTGTAACTCGCTTGTAGGCATCTTAACTCTCCCAGGACGGGGCAAATAAAGTTTACACTCCCAATTCAGACAGCTTTTATTGTTCCCTATTTTATATTCCCCTCTAGCAGTAGGGAACAGCGTTAAGAAAACTGGTTCCCTCAAGGCTGACAGGTTTTTAAGGAAGTCTTCCTTTGGATAAATCACATTTAAGTCCTGGAATTCCCCTCCCAGCTCGTGAAGGAACCGGATTTACAATTGGGGAATTTCGAAAGATTCCCAGTTATTTGTCATCGTGCAGACAGGTATAAAGTTAGAGAACAGCCTGGATTTCAAGCCGAGGTGTGCGAATCTAAAGCGATTTAATGTCTTCGGTTTGAGAGAGCATATTTCAACCCTAACAGGAGCAGATTTCCTGCTTGGGTTTCCACAAATCAAGGGGCTTTTAAGAGATTTCAGTCTTGCTTTTTTCTGATTTATTTCTGACGTTTGTATCTGCAGAAATTCAGGAAAACAACTTCGGCTGGAAGTAGGCAAGTGGCATTTAATAAGACAATTTAAAACACAGGTAGTGCTCGACTTACAAGCCTTTGTCGCTCAGCTTGGAAACCTCTCCCTTTCCCCTCAGCATGGCCGGCTCAGGAATTCTGGGAGTTGAAGTCCACGCGTCATAAAAGAGCCCAAGTTGCCTACCCCTGGCATAGAGCAAGGGTCTTCAAACTTGGCCCCTTTTAGGACTCGTGGACTGCAACTCCCAGAATTCCTGCGCAGGCTGAGGAATTCTGGGAGTTGAAGTCCACAAGTCTTAAAAGGGGCCGAGTTTGAAGACCCCGGGCATAGAGCCAGAAAAAGGAAGAACTGACCTTGGATCGTCCGTTTGAAGAACGCTTTGCAGGCTTCGCAGGAGGCCACCCCATAGTGGTACCCCGAGGCGATGTCCCCACACACCAGGCACAGACGCTTGGGCATGGTGTTCAGCATATACTTTCCCCGGCCAGGAGCTTCGTCGGGGTCCTCATCGTGGCGTCGGCGGGAGGCCCCCGTCCCGGCGGGCAAGGTGCTGGCGGTCTCGAGTTCAGCGGGGGCCCCGCTGGTGCTGGTGTCGGAGGACCCGCTGGGGCTGTGTTGCACGAGGCTATCGGGGGAAGCCGGCTCGGTTTTAATGAAGAATTCCGTCCGGCGTTCCCGGGAGGACATGGCTGGACAGCTCTGCAGGAAGGGGGGGGGCAAAGAGAAAACGGGGTACAGTCAGAAGAGTTGGAGTCGGGTGGGGGGGAGGTGTTCACACAACCTGTTTAGCGGGTAAAGGAGAATGTTTGTAGCCCAGGGTTAAGATGTGGGGTCCTTGGTGCTCTCTGAGCTGGGTGGTTTTCTTGCAGACGTTTCATGGCCCAACTAAATTACATCATCAGTGCTAGAAGGGAGGGGGTTTGCAGGGAGGAGGAGGAGGAGGAGAACGACGATGACTATGGGGTCCTTGGTGCTCTTGGTTATTTCTTGCAGACGTTTCATGATCCAACTAGGTAACATCATCAGTGCTAGAAGGGGGTGGGATTTGTGGTGAGGAGGAGGAGGATTGTGGGGTCCTTGGTCTTCTCTAAGCTCAGTTGTTTCCTTGCAAACATTTCATTAACAAGCTAGCTAACATCGTCACTTGCTAGCAAGGAGCTGGGTTTGCTTTATCCAGGTTAAAGACCAAGTTGCATTCACACAACCAATTCAGTTCGGTTCATTCGTGTCTTGGGCAAAAAAGCTAGTCAACCTGAGTGTCTCACCCTAGTTCCTTCTCTTGTGGGAAACCCAAAAAGCCAGTGTAGTAACTGGACCAGCCGACTGGATTACATCGCTCCAGTTCCTTGTGTGAATGCAAAAAAACAAACAAAAAAAACCAAACCAGTTTAGAAATTGGGCTTAGGTTGTGTTGTGTGACCAACCCTACAAAGCTTTTAAATCAAAAGGTAAGCCCTGTAGAGCAGGAATATCTCGGATCACTCAAGACTCCACGATGGTGGAAGGCAAATATTTTCTCCCTCCATTTTAAAATTTGGGGTACAAAATTGAAGAGGTCGCAAAAAGGGATCACGTGACCCCGGGACTCTGCGACTGTCATAACTGTGCGTCAGTTGCCAAGCATCCAAATTTTGACCAGATGACCGTGGGGATGCTTCAACGGTCGTTAAAGTATGAAAAACGGTCATTAAGTGCCTTTTTTCCAGTGCCGTTGTAACTTTGAACAGTCACTAAACGAATCGCCGTAAGTCGAGCACGGCCTGTATTCCTCAATTCCCCCAATTGCATGGCTTGTTCGAGCTGGCGAAGGGGGGGGGGCATATGTCAAGATTCGAACTCAGGTTCCAGGAGTAACTTTGGAGAGCTGAACACCCCCCCTACACACAAAAACGGGGCGATGGGCCCAGCGTCCCTGCAGCCCCCTCCCAGAAAAACTTACGATCGTTAAGCCAACAAGACTCGGTCCTCCCTCTCAAAATTAACCGTGACTTTAAATTTCTAGATCTCAAGACGCACGGTCTCCGCAGTTCAGGAGGGAGGGGGGGTTCTCCGCAGTTCAGGAGGGAGGGGGGAGAGGGGGCGGACGAAAGCAAAGAAGCTGCAGGTTTTTTTTGGGGGGGAGAGTGAATTGGAATGAGCCCCCCCTGCACCTTACAGCTTACTTCTATGACCCCCCCACTTCTTCAGCTATTGGATCAATCTGTAGATCCCGGCACCCAGCCAGGAGAATGAAGCTGTTTCAAGGTCACTCCAGGGAGATCCAATCAGGCATGGCGTGGAGAACGGAGGGGGGGCGGGAGAGGCAGGAATGGAAGCAGACTCGATCTCCTTGGGTGCCCCCCCCTTCTATTCCTCCAAACTTCCAAGGATGCGCTCCCCCCCCTCCCTGGAAATTTAGGGATTCGATCTATCCAATCTATGGTTAAAAACCGCCCTCTTTTCTTCCTGCCTTCCGTAGCTACGAAGTGTCCTTCTTCTCAAGCCGTGGTCTAGACAGACCACGATCAGTCGCAAAAGCATAACTCTGGTTTGGCCCCCACCTGGCCCTTTTCTCAGCCAAGCTCCCTCAGAATCCCTGGGATGGGGGGGGAGAAGGGGCTAGAAATAGGGGTGTCCCGGAAACTTCCAAACAGATTTGGGGAACCCGTTCCCGTATCTAACCAGGGTTTGTTTTGTTTTCGAGCAGGTAAATGCTCCCAGCCCTTTACGGAACTCTTAACCATGCACACAACCTGTAAAACCGATTTCACCTTTTTTTTCCTTTTTTTTTTTTTTTTTTTGCATTTTTGGGTTATGCAGCCGGATGGATCTTTGTCCTCTTCCACATGGGCCAAACTGTTGCCTTATCCGACAGGAGGGCCAAAGTGGAATTGACGCAAGAAGTGTGTGTGTGTGTGCAAAAATTAGGAGCCTTTGGTCAACTTTCTCCCACCCTTAGGGGAGCTCAAGCGTTTGCCAAGTCTTTCTCCAACTTTGCACTTAGAGGGAAAGGGACATTACATAATTCTCCCCCCCCCCCGCATGCAGTCTCCAATCCATGACTCAGGGAAGCTGCAGGGCCTATGTTCCACTCCCCCACCCCCACCCCCACCCAAGCAGTTCCTCCATGGCTGCGCAAAAACTCCCTGCACCCAGAGGGCATGTGAGTTTTGCAAAAGATCATTTCTCCTCTAAAGTCAGCCTCGGCGACCTTTGACCTCCCTGGGAGTTGATTCCCGATAGGCAGGGTGGAGACTGGGTTCTTCCCCCCCCCCAACATGGGCGTGCATGCGCACACACACACACACACACAAGCCACAGTGCCTCTTAGCATGTCGAAATTAAATTAAATTAAATTTCCGAGGTCCCTCTGCACCAAGCCTGCATTCACACGTGTCTTGGTGCCAAAGAGGCCCAATTGGGAGGGGGGGGCTTAGAGGTCACGTCCAGTGGGTGTGGGAAGCTGCCCTCTCCCAGGTAATCCAGGTACACTGGGGATGTGTGTTTCCCCACGCACACATGCTCTCCCACCATGTGCTTTTGGGAAAGAGCAAGCTGGGAGTATAGGCAAATGTGGGAATGAATGCCTGTCTGATCCTCCCATGGACCCCCCTCCCTTGCAAGGAATGGTCCCCTCTTCTTGCCTGCGCCCCCCCCCTCGAACCCCCAGACCTGAAAAGTGACAGTCTGTTTTCACATATGTCCAGGAATGTTCTCTCTCTCTCTCTTTCACACACACACACACTCTCTTTCTCAATCTCTCCCTCTCCTTCTCAATCTCTTTCTCTCTCTCTCTCTTTTTCTCTCTCTCAATCACTTTCTCAATCTCTCCCTCTTTCTCTTTTTCTCAATCTCCTTCTCTTTCTCACTCTCTCTCTTTCTCAATGTCTCTCTCAATGTCTTTCCCTCTCTCAATCTCTCCCTCTTTCCCTCTCTCAATCTTTCTCTCCTTCTCAATCTTTCTCTCTCTCTCTCTCAATCTCTTTCTCTTTTTCTCAATCTCCTTCTCTTTCTCACTCTCTCTCTTTCTCAATGTCTCTCTCAATGTCTCTTTCCCTCTCTCAATCTTTCTCTCCTTCTCAATCTTTCTCTCTCTCTCTCAATCTCTTTCTCTTTTTCTCAATCTCCTCTTTCTCACTCTCTCTCTTTCTCAATGTCTCTCTCAATGTCTCTTTCCCTCTCTCAATCTTTCTCTCCTTCTCAATCTTTCTCTCTCTCTCAATCTTTCTCTTTTTCTCAATCTCCTCTTTCTCACTCTCTCTTTCTCAATGTCTCTCTCAATGTCTCTTTCCCTCTCTCAATCTTTCTCTCCTTCTCAATCTTTCTCTCTCTCTCTCTCAATCTCTTTCTCTTTTTCTCAATCTCCTCTTTCTCACTCTCTCTCTTTCTCAATGTCTCTCTCAATGTCTCTTTCCCTCTCTCAATCTTTCTCTCCTTCTCAATCTTTCTCTCGCAATCTCTCCCTCTTTTTCTCCATCTTTCTTTCTCCCTCCCTCTCTTTTTCTCAATCTCTCTCTCAATGTCCCTCTCTTTCCCTCTCTCTTTCTTAATCCCTCTCTCAATCTCTCCCTCTATCTCTCCTTCCCTCTCTCAATCTCTCCCCCTCTCTCTCCTTGCGCCAGAGGGCGCCCCCCTCTCCGCCTCCCTACCGGCAACCCCCCCCCATTGGGCCCTGACATTCCCCCCCCCCCGAGAGAGAGACGGAGGCGACCCTCCCTCACCCCCTGCTTGCTGGGCAGAGAGAGGGGCGGAGGGGGCAGGGAAGGCGCTCCGGCTCCCCCCTTCCTCTCGCCTGGCGCCCCCACGTGTCCTCCTCCCCCCCCCGGGGCCCTGGGACCCCCGTGTCCCCTCCCGGGTCTGCCCCCCCCCGCCGCTGTCCCGGGGCCGGCCCCACGGAGGCGGTGGGGGCGCTCCGGCCGCCGGCCAGCCTCCCCGCCCGCCGGCTTCGGGTTCGCACTGACCTTGGAGCGGCGGCGCAAGGGCTCTGCGCGGGGGCGGCGGGGCGGGGGCGGGCGGGGGTCGCCGGCGCTGGGCCGCCTCCGGCCGGCTGGCTCAGTGGCCCCGCGGGCCGGGCCCCGGGCGGGCCATGAGCTGGCGGAGCTACGCGCGGGGCCCCGGCTCGAGGACACAAAAGGACATCGCAGCCCACTTCCTACTCTACTCGGCTTCCTCCAGCTGGCGGGGGCGGGGACGGGGGAGGGGTATGCAGAGCAGGGGGCGGGGACACGGAGCAGTCCCGCCCCCCCCCCCAGCCCGGCTCTCCTGCGCGCCGCCGCTTCGGCAGCCTCCCCCTCCTCCTCCCCCCCCCCGCCCGCCCGCACGCGCGCGTGTCCCCGAGCCTGGAGCTGCCGGCCAAGACGCGGCGCTTCCCGCCCGGGATTGCAGCTGCGTTTCTCTTTAGAGGGATGGATGGATAGATTCATGATAGATAGATAGATAGATAGACAGACAGACAGACAGACAGACAGATAGAGATGGATGGATTAATGGATGGATAGATAGATATAAAGATGGATGGATGGATGGATAGATAGATAGATATGGATGGATGGATGGATAGACAGATAGACAATACATAGATTCATGATAGATAGACAGACAGACAGACAGGTACGTAGGTAGATAGATATAGATGGATTCATATGACAGATAAATAGATAAGAGACAGATATAGCTAGACAGGCAGGCAGGCAAGCAGACAGAGAGAGATAATAGGTAGATTCATATGACAGATACACAGAAATTAGATAGATATAGATGGATTCATATGACAGATAAGAGATAGACAGATAGATATAGCTAGACAGATAGATAGAGATAGATAGGTACATAGAGATAGATAGATATCGATTCGTATGACAGAGAACTTCCTTCCTTCCTTCCTTCCTCCCTCCCTCCCTCCCTCCCTCCCTCCTTTTTTCTAGTGATTCTGCTGAGATTCTAAATTCTAGATCTCTGCAAAAAGAATTCCCCGCTGGCTGGGGAACTCTGGGAATCTTTGAGATTGAGCAACACTAGCTTCGATGATTCAGACCGAAAAGCGGCTCTTCGTTTGTTACAGAGCAGGCCCTCCTAGCTGAGGATGATGGGATTTGTAACCATCACCCCTGAACATTCCCAGCTGGTCTCCCGTCTCTAGGCTCTTTGCAGTCCCGACCCTGGCCAGTAGAGGCCGCACCTCCCTCAAAATGGACGGCTCCCTATCTCAGCCAATGGCGGACCCAGTTATTTAGCCCACATTCTCATGATCATAAATTGAGGATTATCTGAAGTGGCTTATGAGCTTGTAGGCATCCTGTTGGCCATTATCTGACCCAGAACGGTGGCCTACATGAGTCTTTGGCTTGATGGCCTTTTCTGAATCGTTTATCAGATATAATGTTTAATTTTAACACCTTCAATCAGAATAGAGCTGGAAGGGACCTTGGAGGTCATCTAGTCCAACCCCCTGCTCAAGCAGGAGACCCTGCAGCAATTGAGACAGCTGGCTGTCCAGTCTCTTCTTAAAAGCCTCCAGTGTTGGAGCACCCACAACTTCTGGTGGCAGGCTGTTCCACTGGTTAATTGTCCTCGCTGCCAGCAAATTTCTCCTTAATTCCAGGCTGCTTCCCTCCTTGATTAGTTTCCATCTGTTGTTTCTCGTCCTACCGTTCTGGTGCTTTGGAAAATAGGTTGACCCCCCTCTTCTTTGTGGCAGCCCCTCAAATACTGGAAGACTTCAACCATGTCACCCCTAAGTTCTTCTTTTCTCTAGACGAGCCAAACCCAATCCCTGCAACCGTTCTTCGTTATGTTTTAGTCTCCAGGCCTTTGATCATCTTAGTTTTTTTTTTTTATTATTATTATTATTATTTTACTTTATTCTTCTTTATTCTATGTTATAATAATAATAATAGTAAAGTTGGAAGGGACCTTGGAGGTCATCTAGTCCAACTCCCTGCTCAGGCAGGAAACCCTACACCATTTCGGACAAATGGCTGTCCAGTCTCTTCTTAAAAACTTCCAGTGTTGGAGCATTTACTGCTTCTGGAGGCAAGCTGTTCCACAGATTAATTGTTCTCACTGTCAGGAAGTTTCTCCTTAGTTCTAGGTTGCTTCTCTCCTTGATTAGTTTCCACCCGTTGCTTCTTGTCCTGCCTTCAGGTGCTTTGGAAAATAGCTTAACCCAGGGGTTTCTAGCTTCCCTCATTCCTGGCCAAACTGGCTGGGGCTGATGGGCTTTGTAGTTCTGAAAACCCCTCCGGGAACCTGGACTCAGAGGAATGCTAGCTGGCTCCATCGGCGTATTTGCTTATTTTCTGCCTCCCGTGAAAAACAGAAGATCTATTTTTCGCCCCGAAACACGCCGGTGTTTGTTCTCACATAAACTGGAAATCCCCCAAAGACGGACGGCGTAATCCAAGGTCTAAAATTATCCAAAAGGCTGGCAAAGAGCAGCCATCAATGGTGGCTCTGTGTGGCCATGTCATGTGGCAGGAAGGAGGTGGAGATAAAATTGGAAGGCTGAAGGGGAGATGTTTTGCAAAGGCGGCTGATGGACGCTGACCAGCCGTGGAGATCCAGGGCAAGAACAATTGAGGGTCCAGGGGGCCACTGAGGGCCCTCAAAAGGTGCTCCTAAGCCTTCCATCTTGGCACAAGAAGTTGCGGTGGTCCTACAAAACCCACAGCTGTCCCTGGAAGAAGCTTTGGAGAACCTTCAGAAAGTCCTCAGCTCCTGCTGGGAAGAGGCAAGGAATCCGGTCATCTAGAGGTGGACAGAGAAACAATTTGGAGAACTTGAGAAGGTCCCTCAACTTCTCCTGGGGAAGAGTCAAGGGTTTGGGTCATCAGCTGGTGGATGTCAGAAGAAACTTTCTGGGAAAACGTCAGAAGGTCCCCAACTCCTTGCTGAGAGGAGGCAAGGAATCCGGTCATCCGGAAGTGGACAGAGAAACAGTCTGGAGAACTTGAGAAGGTCCCCCAACCCCTGCCGGAGAAGAATCAAGGATTTGGGTCATCGGGTGGTGGATGTAAAAAATAATTTGGGGGTGAACTTCAGGAGATCCCCAACTCCTGCTGGGAAGAGTAAAGGAATCCGGTCATCTGGTAGTGGACAGACAAACAGTCTGGAGAACTTCAGAACGTTCCCAAACAGGAACAGGCGAGGACCAGGTTGAGGACAATCCCATCGGAAGAGCCGATACTATTTCCGAAGGGGCAGATTGGGGGGGGTCTAACTGGTCCTGGGTTAGCAAGGGCTCTGGAAGGACTGGAGGAGGGGGGATCTGTGCCCCCCAGCCCCACACCTCTAAGCATGTTCTTCTTCTCTGTGGTGGTGGTGGTGGTGGTCCCATGGATCTTTGCTCCTCACGGTGCTGATTCTGAATTTTCCATGTGCCAGAGTTTGGACCTTGAGGTGGCACGAGCCAGAAGGATTCAGGCAATCCGAGGCCAGATCCTAAGCAAGCTGCAACTGGAGACGCCCCCCAAGGACGACGGGGCGCCCCATCCTTTGCCCCCCGAGGTGATGCTCCTCTTCAACAACACGCAGGAGCTGGTGAGGCAGCTGGCGACCGGCGAGGGACGACGCAAGGCGCTGCGCCAGGATAAGGAATATTACGCCAAAGAAGTCCGGCGGGTGGATATGTTGACTCTCGGGCACGCTGACAGTAAGGGGGGGGGTTTCTTACAAAAGGGGGGGGGTGTTGACCATTGGCAAAGAGAGGAGAAACGGGGAGCACCTTGTAAGGCAGGAAGAGAGAGAGAGAGTGGAACGATGGGGATCAAGAACGGATGGGAGGAGTGGAAATGAAGTCCCGCGAACCTCCACAGCCAGGAGCAGTCTACCAGGTGAGGGGACCAAGCAGAGGAAAAGAGGAAGAATTGCTTCCCTGTTCTGCTTTGCTAGGCTTTTGACCTAGAGGTAGTCCTTGCCTTACCGCAGTTCGTTCCGTGACCGTTTGAAGTTACGACGGCACTGAAAAAGGACCATTTGTCACACTTAACGACCATTGCAGCCTTTCCCAGGGTCACGTGACCAAAATTCGAATGCTTGGCAACTGACTCACGTTTACGACGGTTGCAGCGTCCCGGGGGGACCTTCTGACAAGCAAAGTCAATGGCGAAACCGGATTCACTTTGCAACCGTCCTCCTAACTTAACAACTGCAGTGATGTGCTTAGTAACCGTAGCAAGAAAGGTTGCAAAATGGAGTAAAATTCACTTAAAAACTGTCTAGCTTAGCGACAAACATTTTTGGACTCGACTGTGATCGTAAGTCAAGGACTTCTGTATTCTAGATCATCCTTTTTGCAGCCACAACAGGGATCTGTAGATTTTAAACGGTTGGGTCATTTAAACCAGGGCTCTCCAAACCAGGCCACTTTGAAGACTTGTGGACTTCAACTCCTAGAATTCCCCAGCCAGAAAACATGGCCACTTTGAAGACTTGTGGACTTCAACTCCCAGAATTCTCCAGCCAGCATGTACTAGCTGGGGAATTCTGGGAGTTGAAGTCCACAAGTCTTCACGTGGCCAAGTTTGGAGAGCCCTGGTTTCAACCAATAAACTGAAGATTATATATATATACAGTACATCCTCAAGAATAAAAATTGGTGATGGAGTCTCTTACCCCACAGATTCCATCCCCGGCCCCTTCTCCACTCCTTTCCTCCGATTCCTGCACTTTGATCTCTCCGTTGCGCCCCACAACTTCAGCCACCTCGTCCAGGCGGAGTTGAGGATCTACAAGGTCCCAAATCCTGGATCCCACACCACCGAGCAGCACGTGGAACTCTACCAGGTTAGGACACTTTTGAACTCTGCGGTCACCGATTTGTGCACGGATGCTAAATCTCCTGTTTGGGATTTAGGCTGAGAAACTGACTAGGACAGCGGGCTTAGGAGCTTCAAATAATAATAATATTAATAACAAAAGCCTGAACTCTCTCCTTTCTAGGTGATGCAAGGCAGGGAGCCTTCTGCCCCAACCCAGCGTTACGTGGGAAGCCGAAGTTTACTCCCCAGGCATCGGGCCGAGTGGGTGTCGTTTGAGGTCACTGACAGCGTCCGTCGGTGGCTGCGGACCAGAGGTAAGGGCGTCGCTCAGCGGGAAGACAGCAACAACAGGATGTAAGAACCAGAGGGAAAAGAGATGTTTTTTTTTTCTCTTGTAACTTTTGCTGTGTTTTTTTTCCCCACCCCATCAGGAAAAAAACTCAGCTTCACGCTGGGGTTGGGCTGTCCCTGTTGTAGTTCCACCCCGGCCTGGAACACCATCAATTCCCAGCACAGTGAGCCGCTGGAAGCTCTCTTTGCAGGTATGTGGAGTGCTGGTCTTGGATTATTGTAACTGTTTTACAGAAGAACAGAGCTGGAAGGGACCTTGGTGGTCTTCTAGTCCAGCCCCCTGCTCAGGCAGGAGATCCTAGACCGTTTCAGACAAATGGCAGGCCAATCTCTTCTTGAAAACCTCCAGTGATGAGGGAGGAAGGGAAGGGAAGGGAAAGGAAGGGAAGGGAAGGGAAGGGAAGGAAGGAAGGAAGGAAGGAAGGAAGGAAGGAAGGAAGGAAGGAAGGAAGGAAGGAAGGGAGATGGGAGGGAGAGAGGGAGAGAGGAAAGAAGGAAGGAAGATAGGGAGGGAGGGAGGGAGAGAGAGGAAGGAAGGAAGATAGGGAGGGAGGGAGGGAAGAAAGAAAGAAGGAAGGAAGGAAGAGAGAGAGAAAGGAAGGAAGAAAGTTTAGGGAGGGAGGGAGGGAGGGAGGGAGGGAGGGAGGAAGGAAGGAAGGAAGGAAGGAAGGAAGGAAGGAAGGAAGGAAGGAAGGAAGGAAGGAAGGAAGGAAGGAAGGAAGGAAAATCCCCTTGCAAAAGGGGATCATGTGACCCTGGGACACTGCAACCGTCATAAATGTGAGTCAGTTGTCAAGCATCTGAATTGTGATCCTGTGATTGTGAGGAATGCTGCCAGGGTTTTAAGTGTGAAGTCACAGTTGTAAGTCAACTTTTTTCAGTGCCATTGTAAAGTATAGAACGGAATATGGAATGTGGAATGTGGAATATGGAACATGGAATATGGAACATAGAACATGGAAAGGAGGAGGAGGAGCAGGAGGAGGATTGTGGGATCCTTAGTGCTCTCTGACCTTGGTTGTTTTGTTGCAGACGTTTCATGACCCAACTAGATAACATCATCGGTGCTAGAAGGAGGTGGAGGAGGGAGAGAGGAGGAGGAGGAGGATTACGGCATTCTTGATTCTCTTTGAGCTTAATGGTTCTCTTGCAGACATTTCTTGACCCAACCATATAACACCACCAGTACTAGAAAGATCATTTGCAGCAACTCCCCCCACCCTCTAGCACTGATGACATCACATAGTTTGGCTCATGAAACCTCTGCCAGAAAACCAGCAAGCCCAGAGACCACCAAGGACCCCTCAAAGTAGAAATAACCGTGTCTCCCCTCACATCCACCCGGTAAAGCTGACCGTGAGGATAACTCTTGTTAGTCCAGCATCCTCCCCCTGCTTCACCCTGGCTGTGGATCAGCGACTTTGTCCAACTCTTCCTCCAGACCCCAAATGCAGAGTGTTTTCGGAACCTTTACAGGTCTGGATGACGCCCACATCAAGGAAGCATGGAAAGGCTGGTCCAGACCCCCGGATCTCACCCACAAAGACCCACACCTGATCCTCACATTGCTGCCCCCAAACCAGGTAGACCCTGCTCCGAAGGGCCGGCATCGTCGGGCAGCTAAGCCCCCCAGCTGTCCCAGGTGAGGAACCTTGGTTTTCTCAAAGCATCCAGCACAGAGGCACGGATTCCAACAATTTGCACAATCCTGCTTGATTTGCAAAAAACCCCCCAGAACCTGGAGATTTGGGGATACGTCGTCCTTGATATACAATCGTTTGTTTAGTGACCGTTCAGAGTTACGACGGTACTGAAAAAAGCGGACTTGCGGCCATTTCCCTCCGCAACCTTTGCGGCATCCCCAAGGTCACGTGATCGAAATCCGGATGCTTTGGCAACTGACTCGTATTTATGACGGTTGTGACCTTCTCCTAAGCGAAGCTAGGATGGTGAAGTGAGTCCCTGCAGTTGTTAAGTGAGTAACAAAGTTGTGAAGTGAATCGGGCTTCCCCCATGGACTGTGCCTGTCAGAAAATTGCAGGAAGGGGGTCACGTGGCCCCGGGCGGCTGCGAGCATCGTAAATACGAGTCGGTGGCCAAGCGTCTGGATTTTGATCGCGTAGGGATGCTGCAACGGTCGTAAGGGTGGAAAAACGGTCGTAAGTCGCCTTTTTTTCAGTGCCGTTGTAACTTTGAACAGTCACTAAAGGAGCTGTTGTGAGTCAAGGGCTGCCTGTGTGTCGCTCTAGTCTTGTGGCTGTGAGTTCCACTGAGTAATGCCATGTGATTCAGCCCGCCTGAAATTATCCTTCTTCTGGCTTCATGCAGGAATGCGGATAAAGACTGCTGCCTTCACCCGCTATTCATAGATTTCCGGAAGGATCTGAAGTGGAAGTGGATCCATCAGCCCAAAGGATACAAAGCGAATTTCTGTGCTGGCAGCTGCCAATATAGCCTAACTACCAACATACGTCATAACATGGTGAGAATCAGCCTGCAATCCGCAGGCTGGCTGGGGAATTCTGGGAGTTGAAGTCCACCCATCTGAAATGGTGTAGTAGGTTCTCCTGCAGGGGGCTGGACTAGAAGATCTCCAAGGTCCCTTCCAGCTTCTATTCTATTCTATTCTATTCTGTTCTGTTCTGTTCTATTCTATTCTATTCTATTCTATTCTATTCTATTCTATTCTATTCTAATTTCCTTATTCCATTCTATTCTATTCTATTCTATTCTATTCTATTCTATTCTATTCTTCATTCTTCTCTTCCATTCCATATTCTATTCTATTCTATTCTATTCTATTCTATTCTAATTTCCTTATTCTATTCTATTCTATTCTATTCTATTCTATTCTATTCTATTCTATTCTATTCTATTCTATTCTATTTTCTATTCTATTTTCTATTCTATTCTGTTCTGTTCTATCCTATCCTATTCTATCCTATCCTATCCTATCCTATCCTATCCTATCCTATCCTATCCTATCATGCTGGAATTCTGGGAGTTGAAATCCACAAATTTTAAACTTGCCAAGTTTGGAATCCTCTGTTTTAAAAGAATCTTTTAAAGCCGAAGCTTCCAACATTTTCAGACCAGGGAATCTGTTAGCTAAGAAAACAACAACAAATTCCCAGGACTTTGAATCCAGAGGTAAAACTCTATAGAGTTTAAAATTGGCTGCATTCAGATTTTTGGGGGCCTTTTTTCCTTTCTGACTTTAGGCCGCTGTGCAACTCAAGTTTGCAAACTCTTGTTTCAAAACAAGGGGAGAATTTTTAAAAGAAGGCTTGACGTCTATTTCAGGGAGACCTTTTTAATTCCGGGGTGTGGTGGGGGGTGGCTTAAAGGGGCTTTGAAACCAATGATGGGCTGTTGGGCAGGCTATTGCAATTGAGGTGGGGGAGGTAACTTGGTGCCTCACCTTCTGCACCCCCTTTTCTGCAGGTGCTTCCCCAGTACATCAAGCTGAACCCCGAAGGCTCGGCCACTCCTTGTTGTGTTGCCCGCAAACTGGAACCTTTGACCATCCTATATTATGTCGGCCGCCAGCCCAAAGTCCAGCAACTGAGCAATATGATTGTGAAATCCTGCCGTTGCCGTTAAAATGGGAGGGGGGGGACTGGCAAGGAGCCCCCCTTCCACTTCCATCAGAAGAAAGACCTCCTAAGAATCCCATTTTTTGCTCTCGTCTTCCTTCTTCCCTCTTCAAAATCAGGAGGACTTTTCCCTCGAGTGCAGAAGCCTCCCTAGTATGGAGACCCAAGGAGCTAGTCCTCATGGCCGAGAAAATTCCTCTTTTAGAGCTGGGGATCGGAGCACAAGACTGGCGGTCTGCACATGATCGGAGGGATGGCAGATGAGGAGGGAGAGAAGGAGAAGGAGAAAGTAGCAGAAGGAGAAGGAGGAGGAGAAGAAGGGATGGCAGATGAAGAGGGATAGAAGGAGGAAGAGGAAGAGGAGAAGGATGGCAGATGAGGGAGAGAAGAGGAGAAGAAGGGATGGTAGATGAGGGAGAGGAGGAGAAGGAGGAGAAGGAAGGATGGCAGAGAAGGAGGGAGAGGAGGAGAAGAAGGAGAAGAAGGGATGGAGGATGAGGAGGGAAAGGAGGAGAAGGAGAAGAAGGGATGGTGGATGAGGAGAAGAGAAGGAAGAGGAGAGGAGAAAGAAGGAGAAGGAAGGCAGAGAAGGAGGGAGAGAAGGAGAAGGAGATAGGAGGAGAAGCAAGAGAAGGAGAAGGGATGGTGCATGAGGAGGAAGAGGAAGAGGAAGAGGAGGAAGAGGAAGAGGAAGAGGAGGAGGAGAAGTCCACCCCTCTTAAAGCCTGCTGACTGGGGAATCCTGGGAACTAAAGTCTGCCATCTTTGAGCCGCCAAGCTTGAAAAACGCTGGGATAAAACGGAGAGACTTTTATTGACCAAAAAGAGAACAGGTTGCAATTTAAGAAAAAAAAAAAAAAGCTAAATTTACTCCTTTACTTCCCAGTTTGGGGGAGCTGGCAAGAGCGGAGACCGGGGGCTTCCCGAGACGGACAGACGGAGAAGGGGGAGGCGGGACCCTCCCGGGCCTGGTGGGGGGGCTCAGACGATTCCTCTTCCTTGCAACAGCAGGTGCAGCTTGTCCACCTGCTGCTCCATCTGCCCGGTGAGGGGGTGATGCGCCCCGAGTTTTTTCTGGTAATCTTGAGTAGGGAAGGAGAAGAAAACAAGGACCGGTTGTAATTCAAGGACCGGTTGTAAATTGAGAACCGGTTATAATTCGAGAACTGGTTATAATTGAAGGACCGGTTGTAATTCGAGAACCGGTTGTAATTCGAGAACCGGTTGTAAATTGAGAACCGGTTGTAAATTAAGAACCGGTTGTAATTTGAGAACTGGTTATAATTGAAGGACCGGTTGTAATTCGAGAACCGGTTGTAAATTGAGAACCGGTTGTAATTCAAGGACCAGTTGTAAGTTGAGAACTGGTTGTAATTCAAGAGCCGGTTGCAATTTAAGGACCACTTGTAATTTGAGAACCGGTTGTAATTCGAGAACCGGTTGTAATTCAAGGACCGGTTGTAAGTTGAGAACCAGTTGTAATTCAAGAGCCGGTTGTAATTTAAGGACCAGTTGTAAGTTGAGAACCGGTTGTAATTCGGGGACCAGTTGTAATTCAAGGACTGGTTGTAAGTCCCTTTTTCCAGTGCCGTGGTAACTTTGGATGGACACTAAACAAACGGTGCTAAGTCAAGGACTGCCCACCCTGGCTTTTCGGTTGTACCTTTGATTTCTGCTTTTTGCTAATAAAGATCCGCTCGTTTAGTCAACTCACCCAGCAGCGTCGCCTTTAAAATGGCCAAGATTTCCTCCTCCATCAGTTCTTGCAGAGGCAGAGGTACCTGAGAGAGAGCAAGGCAGTTAGGGTCAAAAAAGTCAAAATGGCAGCCCTCAGCCTCGGGTCAAAGCCAAGTTCTACATTTTGACCCCTGTTCCTCTGCAGACACCCGTTGCGGGGTTAGGAACATCACCCAAGGTTTGACCGACTTAAAATCCCAACATTTCTCCCAAATGGGCACTCCGAATTCTGCAAATTTCAGATTGCGGATCACCGGCCACTTTTAATTTCCAGCCGCAGGTGGGAGAATCGCATTTCCACTTTGCTGTGGGCGATGGGCACTGGGGTGTTTCCCGGGAACTGTCTTTTGCAGGGAAAGGACGAGCGCGTTCAATGGCTGCATCGGATTTGCAAAAGGAATGAAAATAAACTGAAAATATGAATTAATATTCCAATCCCAGCCAGATCCAGAGCTGGGTCTGATTGCGCTACGGATAAAATTGGGGAAGAAAGAAAGCAGAGAGGAAGGAAACTCTATGGCCCCTGGAGGAGCCTTTCGACTGAATCAGGCACGGGGATAGGAAACATCACCAAGAGGAGATGCGGAAAGTATAAATCAGGAGGACACCAAAAACTCACCGACACTTTAGAGTCCCGCTCGTGCTTGGCAAATTTCTGTTTATACGCTTTTTCCTAGAAAAAAGAAAAGAAAAAAACAAATGAAAGCTAATTTTGTATTTGTATTTATATTTATTCAATTCAGCACCTTCCCTGCCTGGTTAAATTCACCACTTTTTCCTCTTAACTCACTATGCTCGTCTATCATTCTAACCTTTTCAAAACACCCAATATCCCATATTTGGGGGGCACTGAAAATAAAAAACAACACAAAAAGAAATTAGCACAATTCGAGTTAAGACCCAACCAAGCTATCCCATCAACTGCCAAATAAAGTCACCAGGCAGATGACTTGGTGTGTGGACTTCAACTCCCAGAATTCTTAAGCCAGGCAGACTGGATGGAGAATTCTGGGAGTTGTAGTCAAGCACGCTGGCTGGGGAATTCTGGGAGTGGAAGTCCACCCATCTTAAAGGATGCTGGCTGGGGGATTCTGGGAGTTGAAATCCATCCCTCTTAAAGCAAGCTGGCTGAGGAATTCCAGAAGTCCACCCATCTTAAAGGATGCTGGCTGGGGAATTCTGCGGGCTAAAGTCTATCCATCTTAAAACAGGCTTCCTGGAGGATTCTGGGAGTTGCAGTCCACCCATCTTAAAAGTTGCCAAGGCTGAGAAACACCTTGAATCTGAAGTATTATATAAATAAAAAATAGCTAAGATCCTTCCAGCTGGAGAAAAATCCCCAGTGAGATAAAATATGTATATATCCATATTTGCCGACTTTCAGAAATGTTCCTCCCAAACCTGCCCCAGTTTTGCCCAAATGTTTTGAAGTCAGGTGCTCTTCTTTTCCCGCTTCACACTCACCTTAAAAACGGACTCTGGAAACTCCCGGGAGTGGCCCATTTGCCTGGGACTGATTCCCTGTCCCATGAACCACGAAGAACTAGGAACATCTGGACAGGAGAGAAGGAGGAGAAAAACTAAGCAAGTTCAAGGGTTCAGTATCATTGGAAGACTTAGGTGTTCCCTTCTCTAAAATGGGCATAAGGCGTCCACGGATTTTAAGGGGGGATTGCGATCGTCCTTGACTTACTGCCTCGTTTAGCAACAGAAAGTTCGGGCTCAGCTGTGGCCTGGAAAAAGAGAAGAGACCCTCCCTAGTGTCTTGGCCTGTAAAGGGGGAGGGGGCAGGGAAGAGGTGCACTTTTAGGCCTGCAAAATCCTGTTAATGTGTTCGCGTCTCCGGTTTGTTTCACCTGGGAAGGCTTACCGGAATGCGGGCCGCGAGCCTTTCCAGGTGAACAGTGCCTGGAAGTCTCTAGCGCATTATGTTGAGTGCAAGAAGTGAGTCAATTTGCAATCGGCCGGCTCTCTCCGCCTTGGGATTTTGTCTGCCCGTATTATGCGTCTCGACATGACGTGTGCAGTTGGCAGACGGGCGCAGAAGCCAGGGAGGACGCTGGCGGCCAAAAGTTAAGAACGAATCGGAATTGGATATTTCTAAATTTTTTGATGCTGGTTTGTTGGTGACTTCATACTTTTATGAAAGCTGCAAGGAGCAGATCTGCTTTGAGAGCTGGAGAATAGAATAGAATAGAATAGAATAGAATAGAATAGAATAGAATAGAATAGAATAGAATAGAATAGAATAGAAATAGGAAATTAGAATAGGAATAGAAATAGAAATAGAAATACGAAATTAGATTAGAATAGAATAGAATAGAAATAGAAATAGGAAATTAGAATAGAATAGAATAGAAATAGAAAATTAGAATAGAATAGAATAGAATATAGAATATAGAACAGAATAAGGAATGAATGGAATAGAATAGAATAGAATAACAGAGTTGGAAGGGACCCTGGAGGTCATCTAGTCCAACCCACTCCTTAAGCAGGAGACTTTGTACCATTTCTGAGAGACGGCTGTTTAGAATTAGCTGAGAATTAGCTGACAAGCCAATTCAGGCGGTCCTCCATTTACGACCGCAACCGAACGCAAAATTTCTGTCGCTAGGCAAGATAATGGTGAATTCCTCCCCCGTTTATGACCCTTCTAACCACAGTTGCTAAGGGGATCACGGCAGTTGTTAAAGTTGTGAAGCGAATCTGGCTTCCCCATTGACTTTGCTTTCCAGAAGATCGCAAAAGGGGATCACGTGATCCCGGGACTCTGGGACCGTCATAAATGTGAGTCAGTCGCCGAGCGTCTGAATTTTGATCACATGGGGAGGCTGCAACGGTCGCAAGTGTGAAAAACGGTCACAAGTCCCTTTTTTCAGAGCCTGTCCTTAAACGAACCGTGGTAAATCAAGGGCTCCTTGTAATTGCGCCGGCAATCATTTCAGCAATATTTTAAATTCTCCGGCATTTATTCACAGATGTTTCTGTTACCTGGATAGGAAAAAATAGACTCATCCTCCTGTTTTTTGGTCTCCTCCTGTGTTTGTTTCAACTCCTAGGAAAATGGGGAAATAAGAAAAGACATAGAAAAAGCATTCAGAAAGAAAAAATTTAAAAAAATATTTAGTATATATACCGTAATGGTAAGGCATGGGGTACTGGGGGAGAGCTCAAGGCTCAGAAAAACGAAATGCAGTTGTAAAAAGGATGGCCCAGTGATAAGATAAAGCTAGTCCTCATTTAACAACCCTAATAGGAACTGGTCATTTGGTCATTAAGTGAAGCAGTTGCTAAGCGAAACCTCGACTGTGTCTTGCCATCTGACTTCAGCTCCACAGACCTGCCCAGGTCCTTAATGAAGGACTGGTGGAAAAGTTCCATTATCATCCCCGTCGCAACGGCGAACGGTCACTGAACGAGGACTCTCTATACCATCGTTAATTTACGCAAGCAGGAATCAGAGAAGGCAGATAATTTGGGAGAGATAATTTTGCAAATTCCGCTGAGAGTTTCACAAAAAGGTCTGACTCTCTTTCTCAATCTCTCTCTCAATCTCTCTTTCAATCTCTTCAATCTCTTTCTCGCTCTCTCTCTCTCAATCTCTCTCTTTCTCAATCTCTCAATCTCTCTTCAATCTTTCTCTGTCTTTCTCAATCTTTCTCAATCTCTCTCTCAATCTCTCTCTTTCTCAATCTCTCTCTCAATCTCTCTTTCTCAATCTCTCAATCTCTTCAATCTCTTTCTCTCTCTCTTTCTCAATCTCTCTCTTAATCTCTTTCTCAATCTCTCAATCTCTTTCTCTCTTTCTCAATCTCTCTCTTAATCTCTCTTTCTCAATCTCTCAATCTCTTTCTCTCTTTCTCAATCTCTCTCTCTCTCTCTCTCTCTCACACACACACACACACACACACACACTCTTTTGGTGGGGGGGCTGGCACTTTTCCTACCTCTTCATTTTGCTGTGGAAAATCCTCAGGACTCGTAGAAAGAGGAGGAGAACAGAGACAAAATTAAAGCTAGATTCTTTAGCTAACGGAAAAGCAGATTAGCAGAATAACAGAGCTGGAAGGGACCTTGGAGGTCTTCTAGTCCAACCCCTGGCTCAAGCAGGAGACCCTACTCCATTCTAGTCTCTTAAAGTGAGGGAGCACCCACAATTTCTGGTGGCAAGGCGTTCCACTGGTTAATTGTCCTCCTGGTCAGGAAACCTGTCCTTAGTTCTGGCTTGTAAGCAGAACCATTCCGTGTCCTAATTAATGGAGTTCGTTAATGCTCGTCAGAACAAACCAGGATGGCCAGTTTCTTCTCCCTCCCTCCCCCCCAACCCCAATTTCTTTTGCCCCCACGAGTGATTCAGGCCCCGAACGCTGTTTGGAGAAAGGTTTGGGTACCTCAGGGGAAGATCTTCATCAAGAACATCTTCAGAGCCCCTCTGCAAGAACACAAAACAGATGAGAAAGACCTTCCCTTGGCTCCTCGTTCTGGGGGGGCGCGCGTCCAGCCTCCCCCCCACAATCTCTTCCCGCATCGACCAGCTTTGCACATTGCAAGGAATTTTGGGGAGGAGAATCTGCAAAATGCAGGACCGGAAGTCGGAAATATTTGGGTGGTGTGCAGTCCTCCCTTTAAATCCCGCAAGAGGACAAATGGAATGGAATAAGAAGAGATGAATAAACAAATAAAAGAAAATAACGCCCACCGCCAGCAAAACATACCTGATCTTGGCTCCTGAAGAAATCCTCGCTGAAGATTTTAGACAATCTTGGAAGAAAAGAAAAGCTGGTTCAAAGTAGCTGGAGAAAGCTGGGTTGTTTTTTTTTTTTAAACCTACAGTGAAAAGTTTTCTCTGCCCATTTTTGTTAAAATATTGAAGTTACTGAAGCGGTTAACAGGAGTAAAAAAAGTGAGTGATAAAGTCACTAACTAGTAGCAGTTAAAACAATGTTTCTCAACAATAGCCCCTTTAAGATGGGTGGACTTCAGCTCCCAGAATTCCCCAGCCAGCATGCTGGCTGGGGGATTCTGGGAGTTGAAGTCCAGCTGTCTGAAAGCATGCTGGATGGGGAATTCTGGGAGTTGAAGTCCAGCCGTCTGAAAGCATGCTGGATGGGAAATTCTGGGAGCTGAAGTCCAGCTGTCTGAAAGCATGCTGGATGGGGAATTCTGGGAGTTGAAGTCCAGCTGTCTGAAAGCATGCTGGCTGGGGGATTCTGGGAGTTGAAGTCCAGCTGTCTGAAAGCATGCTGGCTGGGGGATTCTGGGAGTTGAAGTCCAGCTGTCTGAAAGCATACTGGCTGGGGGATTCTGGGAGTTGAAGTCCAGCCCTCTTAAAACATGCCGGATGGGGGATTCTGGGAATTGGTCCAGCCATCTTAAAGCATGCTGGCTGGGGAAATTACCAATTTTCTGTTTGGTCTGCACCATTAAGTGGATGTTCCAGGCCCTTTGGGTGAATTCCTGGCTTTGCTTAAAAATAAACTTTTCTTAAGGTTTATTTTTGCTTTTTCAAAGACGAAGGAAGGGGGATCCTTCTTGTTTTTTTTTCTTTCAGAGAGGACATACTCTGTCACCTGGTCTCTTTCCAGCTGCGATTTCTTCAAGGATTTCTACAAAATACAAACACATACACACAAAGACAAACACACGCACATACACACAACATAGATGTAAGGAGGACAGATCAGACAGGCAGAGCACCCCAAAAATTAGTCCTGCTAGGAAACTCACTTACGCCAAGTCAGCTTTCCCCAATCTGACGTCCTCCTGGACTACAATAACCATCACCCCCAGGCAGAAGAGTCCTCGAGAACAGCTCAGTCCCATATAACCCCCCCTCTCTTTGCAAAACTCACGTTTATTACTATGAGATTGGGGGAGAGGGGGTGTTACACATCACGCAAACGGTTGAACAGCAATATAGAGATTTACAAACATAATTCCGCTCGCTGTCCAGGAAGTTTCCAGAAACCAAAAATAATTACACCCAAAATAAAATAAAATAAAATAAATCACATCTTACTGTGCGGAAGCCGACCATCCTTTTGGTTTTCGACTTCTTCATAAATCTTCAAGAGAAAAACAGAGGAACGTTTTAAGGGTTCGTTTTCCGGCACGATGCAAAAAAAATGTCCATTCGGGCATTTCAAAGCCCCTTACAGATCCTCCTCGACTTACGACCCAAAAGGTGAGCCCCAAATTCATGTTACTAAGCGAGACATTTGTTTGGTGAGTATTGCCCCATTTTATGACCTTCCCCCTCTTGACTTGGCTTGTCAGAAATGTCGCAAAAGGGGATGACGGGACCCAGCCGGGACACGGCAACCGTCATACATACGAGTCAGTTGCCAAGCGGTTGACTTTGGATCACGTGACCATGGGGAGGCTGCAACGGTCGTAAGTGTGAAAAACTGTCCTCTTTTTTCAGTGTCCTTGTAAGTTTGAACGGTCACTAAATGAACCGTTATAAGCCGAGGACTGCCAATAACTTCTAAAAGGGTTTGGGGAAAGGCTGATGAAGCCCTCTCCCATCAGATAACCCCCACAGCCATCCACATATTCCCAGGGAAGAATGAAACTCGCACACAGGACACTTTTCTGGGTGAAAATCCGAGCACAGCCCGTGGTCAAGCAGTTTCGTACCGTGGCATCCAGTCCCGTGGCTGATCCCGTGGCTCTGCGTCCTCAGAGGTTTGCTGCAATGGAATGGGACAGTTAAAGGAGAAGGAGAAGGGATGGCGGATGGGAGGAGGAGGAGGAGGAAGGAGGAGAAGGAAAAGATGGACAAGAAGAGGAAGAGAAGAAGAAGGAGGTGGAGAGGAAGGAGGGAAAAAAGGAGGGAGAGGAGAACGAAAAGTAGAAGAAAGTGTAAGAGGGGAGGAAAAGTGGAGAAGAGAAAGAGAAAAGAGTGGTGAAGAGGAGGAGGAAGAGGATGGGAAGGAGAAGGGATGGTGAAGGAGGAGAAGAAGAAGGAAAAGATGGATGAGAAGAGGAAGAGAAGAAGAAGGAGGTGGAGAGGAAGGAGGGAAAAAAAAGAGGGAGAATGAAAAGTAGAAGAAAGTCTAAGAGGGGAGGAAAAGTGGAGAAGAGAAAGAGAAAGAGTGGTGAAGAGGAAGAGAAGGAAGAAAGGAGGAGGAGGAGGAGAAGGAGAAGGAAAAGGAGAAGGAGAAAGAGAATGATGCACCCTGTTAAAAAACAAACTGAGGGTTCCAGTCAAGGAATTCCGGCACCCACCTCTTCTTTTTCAGCAGCCCCACTCCTGGTGAAGCATTTGGACAACCTTTAAAGGAGAGACGAAAGTCTCCGGGTCAATTAATGCACAGCGGCTTTGGCTGGACCGTTCCTGTCCAGCGCCTCCGGCTTGGGCTTGGGCATGGGATGGGCAGCCATTCAAGGGCGCCCAAGTCGGATAAAGGAACGGCAAGAAGCGGGAAAAGGAAATAATCCCTGCCAAGTATAAATCCCGATCTTCTGTTTATAAGAAGTTCAAGGTTCCCTCTTTGGCTCTGTGGCAAAGGGCCTGGCAGGTGGGAGAGAAACTGCTGAAGGAGCTTGCACAATGCAGGCCGTCCTCGGCCGGCGACCCCATTTGGGCTCAGTTGTGGCCGTAAGCCGAGGACAGTGCCGCTAAGGGAGACATTGGTGAATTAAAAAATTGCAAAATGCTGCGTCCGGGCTGTGGAGGAACTTACTTGGTGAAATAACCAAGTGGTAGCGTGGTTATGCTTTTCTTCTGGATGGTGTCCTTCAGGTCTTGCAAATGCTGAGGGGGGGGAAAGACATTTGCAAGGATCCATGGCCCTCCCCTCCCTTCCCCTCTTCTCTCCTCTCCCCTCCCCTCTTTCCTCCCCTCTCCTCTCCTCCCCTCTCCTCTCCCCTCCCCTCCCTTCTCCAATCTATCCCATCCTATTTTTCCTTCCTCTCATCTCTTCTGTTTCCTTCCTTCACCCCTCTTCCTTCCTTCCTTCCTTCCTTCATCCCTCTTCCTTCCTTTCTTCATCCCTTCCTTTCTTTTTCTTCCTTCCTTCCTTCCTTTTTTCTCTTTCTTTCTTTCTTTCTTTCTTTCTTTCTTTCTTTCTTTCTTTCTCTTCCTTCCTTCCTCCCACTCTCCCTTCAATGCCCTTATTTTTTCCTCCTTTCACCTCTTCTGTCCTTCCTTCCCTCCTTCATCCCTTCCTTCCTTCCTTCCTTCCTTCCTTTCTCTCTCTCTTCCTTCCTCCCACCCTCCCTTCCTTGCCCTTATGTTGTCCCCTCCATCCCTTTCCTTTCCTCCAGCCTTCCTTACCTTTCTCTTTCTTTTCCTTCCATCCATCCACCCACCCACCCATCCATCCATCCCTATTTTTTTTCCTCCCTCCCTTCTTTTTCCCTCCTTACCTGAATTTTATGCTCAAAGATTGCCCCGATGTTGCTTCGCATGGACCTGGAAGGACAGCAAAGCAGAGGGGGGGGGGAAACCCCCAAAACTCAGCTTCTTAAGGGAATCGCTGCAGTTGGATAAGTCAGTGACCCGGTTGTTAAGTGGATCCGGCTTCCCCCATGGGGGAAGGTCGCAAAAGGGGAATCACGTGACCCGCAACTGTCTTAAGTACATGCCAGTTTCCGAGCATCTCCATTTTGATCATGTGACCCCGGGGATACCCCAAGGGTTGTAAGTGCAAAAAAGGCTCGTTAAGTCACCTTTTTCCTGTTGTAACTTCGAACAGTCACTAAATGAATTGTTGTTCAGTCTGAGGACTAGCTGGATTTTTTTTGTCCCCCTCCTTCTACTCACCACAAGCTGTGCTTGGATCCGTCCTTCAAGTTATCCTCTTCCTCCAGGTAATCTAAGAAGACGGGCTTCAGGAGGTGTTGTCCCCCCTTGGCCGACATCTTGACCAGGCGTTCCTCCTTCTCCTCGCCTCCTGTCTTCTTCTCCTCCTCCTCCTCCTCCGCTGAGATCTTCGCCGCCTCCTCTTGCCTTGAAGGACCTACCTCTATCTCCTTGGTCTTCAGTTCCAGCATTGATTCATCCAACATGGATAAATTGTCCCACTGATTCTCCAACTCGCCCCCGGTGGGCTCCTTGAGGAGGTCCCACGGCTCATCCAGCAAGGTCAGGAGGTCTTCGTCGACCCCCGTTTTCTCCAGCCTGCTGGGTTGCTCCACACCAACCTTGGTCCTCTTGGGAGGTCCCCTGGCTTTCTCACTAGCCTTGGATTCCTGGCTTGTTTTCCTGGGCAGCTGCTCAGCTTCTTCTTCGGGGGTTTCGTTTTCGGCCAAGAGTTTATCTAATTCTTCCTGAAGAAAAAGCTCGACTTCCTTCCTCAAGTTTGCCTCTTCTTCAGCCAGGCCGTCCGCTGCCTCCTGCAAGACGACAAGGGCTCAGAGTTACCTCCGGCGAATTTGGATTTGAAATAAAGAACGTTGGCGGCTCAGGGCTGAAATGACGGGGTCCTGGGTGCTCTCTGAACCGGGTGGTTTTCTTGCAGATGTTTCGGGACCCCCAACTAGGGAACGTCATCAGTGCTAGAAGGGAGAGGGGTTTGCAGAGAGGAGGAGGAGGAGGAGGATTGTGTGGTCCTTGGTGCTCTCTTGGTTGTTTTCTTGCAGACGTTTTATGACCCAACTAGGGAACATCATCAGTACTAGAAAGGAATGGGGTTTGTGGCGAGGAGGGGGGGGAGGAGGAGGAGGAGGAAGAGGAAGAAGAAGAAGGAGAAGGAGAAGAAGAGGAAAAAGAAGAAGAAGAAGAAGGAGGAGGAGGAGGAGGAGGAAAGGAAGAAGGAAGAAGGAGGAAAAGGAGAAGGAGAAGAAGAAGAGGAGGAGGAGGAAGAGGAGGAGGAAAGGAAGAAGGAAGGAGAAGGAGAAGGAGAAGGAGAAGGAGGAGAAGGAGAAGGAGAGGAGGAGGAATGTGAGTCCTTGGTGCCCTCTGAGCTTGGTGGTTTTCTTGCAGACGTTTCATGACCCAACTAGGGAACATCATCAGTGTTGGAAGGGAGTGGAGGAGGACAGTGGGGTCCTTGGTGCTCTCTGAGCTTGGTTGTTTTCTTGCAGACATTTCATGACCCTCCCAACTTTGTTGTTCTGTTAATTTTGTTAATTGGATTTTGGCAGCCCAGAATCATGGAATTCCATCTCTTACCTGAGTTTTGATCCCATCGGAGGCAGACGGCAGTTTTGATTTACTCTCATCTTTTTCCATTTCGAAATCACCTGAGGGGAGACAGGAAGGGGAGTTTGCTGTGATTTTCCAACGTAATATTCCTACCTTGAAGCTGCCACTCCAATTTCCAGACCCTGGCTTCGCTGAGTGGTGCTCGCTCCAAAGAGCAACAATTGGGTTGGATATTTATGCTGCTTGTTTTCGTGAACATTCAGCCTATTTCCTGCCATTCCAGATGTGTCTTTGGTAGTCCTGTTTGGGACTACACGACCCACTTATTCCAGGGCAGGGGGCCACCCTGCCCTGTTCGTCTCAGCCTGGCTAATCAAAATGATTACTTACTGGATGCCTGCACGGCTCTTTCAACGCCACCCCTGCAGAGTAGGTCAGGCTGAGGGGGTAGCAGCTAATCAATAAAGATAACCCACTCCACACAAAGTGTGTTTCTCTCAACCCCATGGCAACAGAATTCCGCAGAACCCGGAATTCCATTTATCGCTCCGTCTTCCATGAGGCTGACTTCCCTTTTTTTTTCTCTTAATCTTCCTGTTCTGCTGTCTTTCCCATCAGCTGAATGTTACTTTAATAATGATGATGATGGTGGTAATAATAATAATAATAATAATAATAATAATAATAATAATAATAATAATAATAATAAAGTTGGAAGGGACCTTGGGGTTCATCCAACCCCCCTGCTCAGGCAGGAAACCCTAGACCATTTCAGACAAATGGCTGTCCAGTCTCTTCTAAAAAACTTCCAGTGTTGGAAATGATAATGATAACAATGATAATAATATGATGATGATGATGATGATGATGATGATGATGATGATAAGGATACTACTAATAATAATAATAAAGATGGAAGGGACCCTGGAGGTCATCTAGTCCAACCTCCTGCTCAGGCAGGAAACCCTATAGGGGGTTGGGCTAGATGACCTCTATGGTCCCTTCCGACTTTATTGTTGTTGTTGTTGTTGTTTCCAACACTGGAGGTTTTGAATGGTATACCATTTCAGACAAATGCCTATCCAGTCTCTCCTTAAAAAGTGTTGGAAACAACAACAACAACAACAAAATTGAGCGCTCTGGTTACAGCAGCAGAGCGCTTCATGTGCCAATTCTTTGAGTGGCATTATTTTAGCCAAAGGCCCCAAGGGAGAAGAATTACAGGTCTAAATAATCAAGAGTCCATTTGGTGGCTGCTGAGTATTCATTATCTCTCTGCAAAACGGGCCTTTGATCTACAGGTGTATGTTTTAATCAATGTGAACCTTGTGCAAATTAAGAAGTTCACGGGGCAGATTCTGAACTAACAGGAAGGCGGTGTAGATGCAAAGGTAGAAGATAAAACAGATTTTTGCTAATTTAACCTCACAAATCAATAAAGGCAGCCTAACGCTTCCATTTTATCTTGGCTGCCTAAGCAGGAGTTCCCGTCAAACCTAAGGGCATTCTTTCTTTCTTTGAGTTTTTAACAACGGTTAAGACCTACGTGAGGTATTATTTCAACGCAGTAATAGTTATATTGTACGGACCACGTCATCCAACTGGCTCTAGACAATTTCACAGGACCATTGCACAAACTGGATCTAGCGAATTTCACGGAACCATTTCGTCCCACCGGATCAAGTCAGTTTCAGAGGATCATGTCACGAACCGGATCCGGTCAATTTCACAGGACCGTTTCATCCGGATGGATCTAGTCAGTTTCACCCTACCTGCTATCAGTTTCAGAACGCAATTGCAACAAGCCGGGGGCCTCTTTCCCACCACTGCAATCTCAGAATTGACAGCCCTGAGACGCACTGGATTTGAAACTCTGTTAAAGACAAGATTAAAAAAAACAAAACAAAACAGTTATATATAAAGAGAATAATAAGTCGGGATAAAAGTAAGCAAATAAATAAATAAATAGAAAACCACCCCCACCCTCCCAAAATCAGGTAAACGAGGGAGGAGAAAATAATGGAAGTTTGAAGGCAAAAGGAATTAAGGCACCATTTGGTCTGAATTTTGAATGAGCGAAGGAAGCGATGCCGGACACAAACACACACAAAAGGCCAGAAGAGCTGTTGTGTTGTCTTAATTTCTTTAATTTTCATCACAGCCCTACTTGATAAAATACACAAGATAAGAACAGGCACATTTGTGAAGTGAAGGATGGAAGACAGGAATGAAAAAGATGTTTGTCTCCTTGTAATCTTTCTCTTTCTTTCCTTTCTCCTCTTTCTTTCACTTTTTCTTTCATTCCTTTTTTCTTTCTTTTTCACTTTTTCTTTCCCTTTTTCTTTCCCTCTTTTTCTTTCTTTCCTTTATTGCTTGCTTGCTTTTCTTTCTTTTTTTCCTTTCTTTCTTTCTTTCTTTCTTTTTCTTTCTTTCTCTCTCTCTCTCTCTCTCTCTCTCTCTTTCTCAGAAGATCCTGGTGCTCTACAATTTTATCAAGTCCACAAAACGATACAGGTAGTCCTCAACACACAACCTACAATGGGGACCCAGAATTTCCTTTCCTTAGCGAACTGGTTACTAAGCGAGTCACACCCAATTTTAAGTTTGTCCTTAAGCAAGTCCCTGCAGTTCTTAAGTGAACCATGTGCTCGTTAGGCGATTCCAACTTCCCCCATTGACTTTGCTCATCAGGAACCAAAAGGACACACTCACACCACCCTGGGGATGCTGTGACGGTCATAAGTGCGTAGACTGGCCGTAAATCTCTTTTTTTCAGTGCCGCTGCAACTCTGAACGGTTGCTAAGCAAATGGTCGTAAGCTGAGGACTACCTGGGGCGCTGAATGAGCCTGTTTTACTCCGAGTCTTGGACAACGTCTTTCGTAAAGAGACCGCTTTCTCCCCCTTTCTTCTCGGAACTACATGACCCAGAATTCCTTGGGGGAGAGGCAGAGAGGGACCGAGGACTGACCCCCCCTTCTTCCTGTTGTGTAGATATGCTCCCAAACCTGACGCCCAAGAGAGGAAAGGGTTGTGTGTATGTGCAGAAGAACATGCAAAGAGAGACTAAACCAACGCTCAGAGCTGGGCTGGGTGGCAGCGGTGCCAATGTGCCAAGATGTTCAATTTCAAAAGCCTGGAAAAGACCCTATTACAGCTACCACAGGCACATAGGTGGAGATGCCCCCCCCTGTAAATTTTAGAAGCGCAAGGTGTGTGTGGGGGGGTCCTCAGGGGGTGCTGAGAAAGAGTAGCCATTGTGCAGAAAGGATCCTGTCATGGTTTGCGGGAAAGACCTTGGGAGAAGGATGAAAGGAGACTGCCTGGGGAACAGTCAAATAAGAGAGGCACTTCCAACCTCCGGCAACTTTAGACTAGTGGACTTCAATTCCCAGAATCCCTCAGTGAGGTGAGTTTTGCCCCATTTCACGACCTTTCTTGCTGCATCGATTGAGTCACACAGTTGCAAAATGAATCTGACTTCCCCACTGGAGGTCGCAAAAGGGGATCCCATGAATCCTGGACGCTGCAACCGCCATCAATAGGAGTCAGCTGCCAAGCGTCCGAATTCTGCTCACGTGATCATGGGGAGGCCGCAACAGCGTGAAAAATGTTGTCATTTTCAACGGTCGCTCAATAAACGGTTGTAAATCGAGGACCGCTGACAGTAGCTGAGGCAAGGGGCTCAGAAGGGACCCTCCCTAGTTTCTCTGGCTGAAAAAGAGACGGGGAGGAAGAATTGGACTTTCAGAGAAAGTAGAATTTCTTCTACTTGGGACATGATAGCAGCGTTCCAGTATCTCAGGGGCTGCCCCAAAGAAGAGGCAGTCAAGCTATTCTCCAAAGTGAATCTTCTGAGCCTGTCCACTATGCAGCCAATGGCTCAGCTGCCTCTTATCAGACTGTTCCCTAGGCAGTACCTCTTCACCCTGTCTTCCGGGGTTCTTTCCCACTTACCATTCCAGAGAGGGGGAAATGCTAAGAACGTGGGCACAGCCCAGTCACTGCCAGGAGGCCCCCGTTGTCGCCGCAAAGAGGATAGACACATGCCAGAGCAGTAAACTCTCGTGCAAAGAAGGACAGAATTGCTTAGGATTTCGCTCCGCCAGGAGGCGAGGGAGAGAATGAATGGATGGATCGGCACCACGGCTCAGACAATCCCTCCGAGTTATGCACGGACCCGCTCCTGTCTTCACACCGATTCGCCTTTGTCCCGGGTCCGGCTCAGAACAACCATGGGTAACCCCGTGGGCACGGCGGGGTCCGTGCGATGCCGTGCCCGTGGGCGCCAGCGACGAGGCAGACGGGTGGAAGGGGGCCCTCCTTCGCTGAGAGTGTCGGAGCTCTCGTCAATGAAAGCCAGATTTTCTCCCGTGTAGTCTATCGGCCGTGGGGAAGCAGCACGGCGGGCGTTCGGTGGAGGGGTGTTTTGTGGAGGGGATGAGGAACGTCCCGGGCAGAGCATCGGGACAGGTGGCGTTACATCCGGGTGCTGCAAGAGAAATGGAGGCGGCGACAAAGACAGCGGGTTTTCCCCTTGTGGCAGGATGGCGGAAGGCGACAACGGCTTCCCTTTTATGGAGGTGACACGGTGCGACTTATCCGGGAAAGCTACGCTCGGGACACGGAGCTGCGATGCCACGTTGCCGGTCCAGGAGGCGGCGTGAGCTGTGAAATCTCCCATCTGTGGAAAAGCAGGAAAATCAAGGTGCAAAAGGGGCCAGGCCACCCAGGCCTCCGCGAACTCCAGAATGCCCAGAATTCCTCGGGGCTGGTTGTCCATGGAGATGCTCCATCCTCCCAGTCAGGGATTGTCCCAAAGGCGCTTTTGCAGGAGGCCCCTGGACTTTCTTTGTTTCTCTTTGAAGAGGTTTCTCTACTCATCTGGGAAGCTTCTTCCAATTCTGGGGAAGCAACTTGGAGGAGAACGCCAGAACCCGAAGAAGCTTCTGGGATGGGAAGCGAAACGTCTTCAAAGAAAAACTAGGAAGTCCGGCGGCCTCGCAAAAAAGCACCTTTGGGATCCCCAGGCCTGGGTTTTCCCAATAATAAAATTAACCCTAACGAAAACTCGATGCAAGCTAATGCTCAGGCTCAAAATGGGAAGGAGAATCTGTCGGGATCAAGTTAAGTTTGAATCTGATGGTTACACATAGTCCTTGACCTACAATAGTTATAACAGTTCAGTGACTTGAAAGTTACAATAAGGTACTGGAAAAGGTGACTTATTGTCCTTTTCACCGTTGTGGCAGCCCCGTGCTCATCTAATCAAAATTCAGACGCTTGGTTAGAGATGGTAGTTTATGAGAGAGGTGCTGCTTGGGCATCTCCCCTATGCTGCGTTCATGTGTGTGAGAGGGATGAGAGGGGAGGAAGGAGTAGGGAGGAAGTAGGATGGTTAGAGGAGAAGGGGAGGGGAAGAGAGTAGGAGGGGAGGAGAGAAAGAGGAGGGAAGTAGGGAAGGTTTAGAGAGGGTGGACGCAGCCTGGGGGGAATGGGCAGGCGGTACCAATGGTCCTGAATTTATTTTATTTTGTTAATTGTATTTTGTATTTTGTACGATGAATAAATGGAAAATTAAAAAAAAAGCAGGAGACCTTAAAAAAAAAATTCAGATGCTTGGCAACTGACTCATACTTATGACAGCTGTAGTGTCCTGGGGTCACGTGATCCCCTTTTGTGAGTTTCTGACAAAGCCAGATTGACTTAACAAGTACTGCGTGTTAGTAGCTTAACAACTGCAGTGATTCCCTTAACAGCTGCAGCCAAGATCGTAAAAAGGGGGCAAAAACTCACTTGACAAATGTCTCGCTTAACGATGAAAAAATGGGGGCTCAGTTTTGGTCGTAAGGCGAGGACTGCCTGTACTGGGGAGACTTTGCGTTGTAGGCTGACTTTATTGCAATTTTAGGGATTGCTTTGTTTCTAAATATTGTGCTGGGTAGAAACGTCAAACCAGTCCTCAATTTACAGACATTTGTTTAGCGACAGTTTAAAGTTCTGACAGTGCTGAATAAAAGTGATTTAATAATCAATCCGTGCTTTTATTTCTTTATTAAATTTAGATCCCACCCCCGTCTCGTTTTCTCGTATCGATGACGGTTGCAGCGTCCCTACGGTCACGCAATTGTGATTCGGGCCTTTGCCAGAGGTCTGAATTTTGATTACATGATGCTGCGACGGGCGTTAAGTGTGAAAAACGGTCGTAAGTCCCTCTTTTTTTTCCCAACGCAGTTGTAACTTCCAGCGGTCACTAAACGAACAATGGTGTAAGTTGAGGAGCACCTGTATTTTAAAAAATGCAATGGGGTAACCCAAATCTGCCTTTTTTCAAACAGGAATTCCATCCCGGATGAATTGTAGGGCAGATGGGGCTTGTAGTCCAAGCCATCCCAAAGGGGCCTGCAGAAAACTAGAGCCGGCTTCTAGTTTTCTAGTTTTAGTTCTAACTTGGTTTGTTTCTCTGTGCTTGCCCTTTGCCCATCAAGCATCAGCAGGAGAGAAACAGCTTTCAATTAAGGCTGCTGATGAACGAGCGGGCGTGGGAACAAAATTAACACCATCTGGTTTTTTTGGAGTGGCAAAATGGCCTGGTGCCCAGCCAGAAGTGTCTCAGTGTGTCTCTCCCCGTGCGTGCGTGCATGTGTGTGTGTGTGTGTGTGTGTGTCAACTCTCCAGCTAGGAAATTGCCAGCTGCAGTTTAAATTAATTCCTCCTTCCACAACGAGTTTGGGATATCGGGCAGATTAGAACAAACGCTCATGATCGTTAAGTGGGCCGAATGCAACAATTAGAGCCAGTAATCCAGTTTTAGCGCCAAAGCATCAATCACTAGAAAACAAAACATTAAAAAAAAAAGAAAAGGATTTGAGATTCCAATAAAGGAGAATGCTTGTAGCTTGGGGATGGAATGAGAGGTGCTTGGTGCTCTGTGAGCTGAGTTGTTTTCGGGTGGCCCTTTCATGATCCAGCTAGGGAACATCATCAGTGGCAGAAGGAAATGGGAATTGAGGAGGAGGAGGAGGAGAAGTAGAAGGAAGTAGAAGGAAGAAGAAGAAGAAGAAGAAGAAGAAGAAGAAGAAGAAGAAGAAGAAGAAGAAGAAGAAGAAGAAGAAGAAGAAGAAGAGGAGGAGGAGGAGGAGGAGGAGGAGGAGGAGGAGGAGGAGGAGGAGGAGGAGGAGGAGGAGGAGGAGGAGGAGGAGAGGAGGAAGAAGAAGAGGAGAAGAAGAAGAGGAGAAGGAGGAGAAGAGGAAGAAGTAGAAGAAAGAAGAAGAGGAGGAGGAGGAGGAGAACGAGGAGTAAGAGGAAGAAGATCAGTGCTAGAAGGGAACGAGGATTGTGGAGAGGAGAACTGTGGGGTCCTTGGTGCTCTCTGAGCTTGGCAATTTGCTTGCAGGCGTCTCATGACCCAACTAGGTAACACCATCAGTGCTCCAAGGGAGGGGGGTTTGCAGAATGGAGAAGGAAGAGGAAGACTGTGGGGTCCTTGGTGCTCTCTGAGCTTGGTGGTTTCCTTGCAGGCATCTCATGACCCAACTAGGTAACACCTTGTTACCCCTGATGATGTTACCTTGATGTTACTATCAAGACCCCCTCAGGATTTGCAATTCTTTTATCTCTCTGTTCTTTCCCGGATCAATGTTTTAAGAGGCGGGCAAGGTGAGGTCAGGGTTTGGCTGAATTTGGCCTGAGGTTTTTGGCTTGGGAACGCTGGACGTTTTCACCAGGCCAAAGCTTCCGTCGGCTTAATGAAACTATTGACTTGATAAACATTTTAGATACCTTGAGGTTGGTTCGTTTGCTTCCCTTCGATGGCCAAATGCAACGGACCTCTTCTAAGGGTTGCAAAATCGAACTGGCGTCCTGAGCGTTTTCCAATGTTCCAGATTAAAACGGAGACGCTTTAAGTGCGGCCTCTGAAACCGGCGTTCCGGTTTTTATGGCTTTTACGATCCTTCTGAAGGCATCGTTTTGGGAGTGCAATCTTGGGGCTGATCCCAGAACTACCCAGTTTCAAATCTGGATTTGAAAACTGCCTACAAAGATTCTCCTTTTCTGGGGAAAAAAAAGATTAAGAGTCGATGGGAGAATCTACTTGATTTATATTTAGATTTTTATATAAAGCAAGCTGATTTTAGTTATGAGAAACCAAGTAATTTTAGGCAATAAAGTAACGGCTTTGGTTTAGCCAGGGCTTAAAGACACAAAAACGTGCCTCTGGAAAATAGGCAAGGTTTACTGGATTTTAACCATGGTCTGTTGCGGAAGGGCTCAACTCCTAACTATGATAGTTATCCAAATCCAGCAACTGGTTTCATTTATCTAACCAAAGTGGTTTGCTGTAATGTGAGGACATTTTCCTGGCTAGGGTGGGTGAGGATTTTTTTTACGTGCACTTAAACCAACTTATTTTCTTTTCAGTTAACTTGGGAAACTTTCAAACGGGGTGGAAAGTTTTGATAGGGTCGTGTGGATCTGCTCTTCAGCCACAATCATACTTTTTAGGAAATAGTTTCCTAAATAGATCCTAAATAGATCGAGGGGTGCACAAGGGACTGCAGCTAGTCCTCAACGTACGACTGCAAGTTGGGAAGAGGGCTGTTAAATGAGTCATGCCTGATTTTACGACCTCTTTGCCGCGGTTGTTAAGCAAATCCTTTCGGTCTTTAACTGAATCATCTAGTCGTTAAGCGAACCTGGCTTTTCCCCTGGACTTTGCTTGTCGGAAGCAGGCTGGGAAAGTCACAAATGATAATCCCATTGTAAAATTCAGGCTGGTTGCCAAGCGCTCAAATTTTGATCTTGGGACTGCGGGGGTGATGTAATCGTCGTAAGCGTGAGGATCGGTGGCAAGTCCCTTTTTCAGTATCGTTGTAACTCTGAGCAGTCACTAAGCCAGTGGTCGTAAGCTAAGGACTTACCTATGCAGTCCTCTCCTTTGTTGGAAATTCTGTGGTAGGGGCACGTCTCCAACACAACCAGGCGGAAAAAACCCTCCCACTTTTAAATAAGGGGGAGGGGGGGTTGCTTGTGGCATGCTCACCTCGGCTCTTGTGCGTCTGGACAACACCCGCAGCCAGTTGCCAATCATGGTCAGAACGGAAGCGAAATACGCCATTCCCAGGAGAATCCAGACTATCACCAGCGGTTGGTACCAGAAGTAAGAGTTGCGTCCCTTGTCACCTGGCAGGTAGAAGGCAGTGGGAGCTGGAGGCTCGCAACCCTTGCTCAACGTCTCGCAACCTGCCAGAGAGGGCCCATCGCCCGCCTGCCTGCCTGCCTTCCTTCCTTCCTTCCTTCCTTCCTTCCTTCCTCCCACCCTCATCTTCCTTCCTTCCTCCCTCCATCCCTCATCTTCCTTCCTTCCTTCCTCTCTCTCCCTCCCATCTTCCTTCCTTCCTTCCTTCCTTCCTTCCTTCCTTCCTTCCTTCCTTCCTTCCTTCCTTCCCTTCCCTTCCCTTCCCTTCCCTTCCTTTCCTTTCCTTTCCTTTCCTTTCCTTTCCTCCCTCCCTCATCACTGGAGGTTTTCAAGAAGAGACTGGACCACCATTTGCCTGAAATGGTCTAGGATCTCCTTCCTGAGCCGGGGGTTAGACTAGAAGACCTCCAAGGTCCCTTCCATCTCTGTTCTTCTGTTGTTAACTTCCCCCAAGAGGACTAAATGCTGCAATCCTGCCTGGCCCGCTTTGCCAAACACGTCCCTCTCTCCTCCGGGCCTCACCTGCCACGTAGTCCCCAAAGCCCACCGTGGTTAGCGTGATGACCACAAAGTAGATGCTCTCCAAGAGGCTCCAGCCTTCCACGTACTGGAAGATGAGGGTGGGCAAGGAGACGAAGATCAAGCAGCCGACCAGGATGAACAGCAGGGCCGAAAGGACGCGGACGATGGTGGGGCTGACCTGCCACTTCTGCGGAGGAGAACAGAACCCAGACTGAGAGGCAGGTCCTATGCAGGGAGTCCTCGACTTTACGACCACTTGTTTAGTCACAACAAGCATTGGGAAAAAAAAGTGACTGTTTTCACACTTGTGACCGTTAGAGCGTGATCAAAATTCGGATGCTTGGCAACTGACTCGTACTTACGACGGTCGCAGTGTCTCCCGGGGTCACGTGATCCCCTTTTGCGGCCTTCCGACCAGCCAAATCCATGGGGGAAACCAGATTCGCTTAAACGACCGTGTGACTTACTTAACAGCCGCAGTGTTCCCTTAACGACGGGGGCAAGAAAGGCCGTGGAACGGGGCAAACAACAATCGCCTCGCTTAGTAACCAAAATGTCGGGCTCGGCTTGACGTCGTAAGTCGAGGACCGCCTGTATAGCACGCTTCCAATGAGTTGCTATTAAAAACGGGTAATTCCTGGAAGAGGATCGCCAGCGAGAGCTCACCAGGAAAATATCTTCTATTTTTCCGATGCCTATTCGGAGAGAGGAACCCAGTTGATCACCGACCCCGGCAAGCAGCATCCCAAAAAGAGGGATTCCAAACAAGGCGTAGAAGATGCAGAAGAGCTGGCCGTATCGGGTCTTGGGAGAGATATTGCCAAATCCTATTTGGATCATGGAGAGACAAGACGAGACGTCGGAAAAAGAAGGGGGGGGGGAAAAAACCAAGAATCCGTAGCTGAATAAGGGTTTCCATCAGAGCAATGGAACGAAGCCTCCAGATTCAGTGGCAGTCTACTTGAAGCCATTTTTTTTTTCGAACTCGCAATTACAACTCCTACAGAATTCCCACGGTCACGTGAGATCAAAAAATCCTGCGGCTTGGCAACGTGGCACGTACTTATGACCGCTGCGTGCGTCATGTGACTACCATTTTTTATTTTATTTTTTTAACCTTTCCAGATGGCCTCGGAGAAGGAAAGTCAATGGGGGTGGGGGGGAAAGCTGGGCTCGCTTAACAACCGCGTGCTTCACTTAAGAACTGCAGTGATCGACGTAACAGCCGTGGGGAAAAAGAATCCTAAAAAATCACTATTTGCCTAGTGTGGGAAATCGGGAACCGTAAGAAGAAAGGAAAGATTTGATGGTTCTAATATTGGACCTAATATCAAAGAAGTTAATATAGATCCCTGAATTACTAATGGACCCAGACAACACGCTGTCTGTGAAATATTTGACTGTAAAACTAGAAAATTAATAAAATATTTATATGTATATATATATAAAAAAGAATCATAAAATCACTATTCGCCTAGTGTGGGAAATTGGGAACAACCGTAAGAAGAGAGGAAAGATTTGATGATATAATATTGGATCTAATATTGAAGACGTTAATATAAATCCCTGAATTACTAATGGACCCAGACAACACGTTGTCGGTTAAGTATTTGATTGTAAAGCTAGAAAATTAATAATATATATATATATATATGTGTGTGTGTGTGTGTAGGTCTTTGGTTGTTCGGGTTTTCTCCCGCGTAAAATTGGAAGTGTCTTGCCGATGTTTCGACGAAGTCCCATTCGTCATCTTCAGGCTGGTGCTTTCAGCTTCGTGCTTCGAGGAGCAATGTGTGGTCTTAGCTGTTTCTTCCACACATTGCTCCTCGAAGCACGAAGCTGAAAGCACCAGCCTGAAGATGACGAATGGGACTTCGTCAAAACGTCACCAAGACACTTCCAATTTTACGCGGGAGAAAACCTGAAACAACCAAAGACCTACATACAAACACCCGCGAAAACCTCAGAAAACACACACACACACACACACACACACACACACACACACACACATATATATATATATATATATATATATATATATATATATATGAATCATAAAATCAGATGTGACACACTTAGCTTAGCTAAGTAATCATAATTCAAGGATGACCTGTATTTGCCTTTCTTTAGGGGAGGGCGTTAAGGGGGAGGCCCTCTCCACTCACTTAAAAATGTGATTTTTCCATTTGAGTCCCGAATTTATCTCTTTTATACAACGTAGCCCAAGCCAAGCTCCTAAACTATAAACTAAGCTAGGTCAGGGTTTCGTTTAACCGTTTTAAATCAAACAATTAGAGCCATTGCACATTCATCAAACTACCCGCCCAGCATGTTTATGCGATCAGCCCAACTTTCAAACAAGGCCTGGGTACCAATTGTGGTGATCACAGTGCCGGCGAAGAAAAAGGCATTGTCCATATCCCAGCGGGAGATGTTGGCATTGCTACCGTTGACCGCCGGATTCACGCCAGCTCCCGTAGCCTCGTTTACTTGCTAGGAAGAAGGATGGAAAGAGGAATTACTGGCGCTTTGGTGTAAATTTCCCAGCAATGCGACATAACTTGCTTTCTTCCACCAAGTTCTTTTTCACCCCCTCCACAATACCTTCCTGGTATAGCCACATGGTGGATTTCCTGGTGGTGTCCCATCCAACGATTAAGCAGGTCCCAATTTTACGTTTTGAGCTCGGCCCAGGTTGGTGAAAAGAATACTTACACTCATTTAATGACAGCTCAAAGTTATGACGGCACTGAAAAGTGAAGGACTACCTGTATAAAACTTAAATGGGGGTTCTTGCTGACGATTCCCTGGCTGGGGAATTCTGGGAGTTGAAATCCACCCATCTAAAAATGGCAAAGTTTGAGGAAAAACTCTGAGCTAAGGCTGGGGGATTCTGAGTTTTGAAGTCCATCCATCTGGAATTTTATACGGCTGAGAAACACTGATCTAGAAGCTAGGGGATTCTGGGAGCTGAAGTCTCTAAAAATGGCTGAAGTTGAGAAAAATGCAAATCTACAGGATGAAGAATTCTGGGAGTTGAAGCCCACCCATCTAAAAATGGCTGAAGCTGAGGAAAAACTCTAACCTACAGATTGTGGGAATCGAAGTCTGCCCATCTAAAAATGGCTGAAGCTGAGGAAAAACTCTAATCTACAGACTGGGGGATTCTGGCAGTTGAAGTCCATCCATCCAAAAATGGCTGAAGCTGTGGAAAAACTCTAATGTACAGACTGAGGGATTCTGGGAGTTGAAGTCCACTCATCTAAAAATGGCTGAAGCTGAGGAAAAACTCTAATCTACAGACTGGGGGATTCTGGGAGTCGAAGTCCACCCATCTAAAAATGGCTGAAGCTGAGGAAAAACTCTAATCTACAGACTGGGGGATTCTGGGAGTTGAAGTCCACCCATCTGAAAGTAACCCACTTGCCCTCCCCTTACCTGGATCAGCTCCGCCAGGTCCTCCAGCGCCACACACTCGTGAGTCTTCAGAAAGTGCTCCAGGTAGGCCTGGATCTTCACCTGTTGGAGAGCTTCCTGAGGCTGCTCCAGCAGACGGAAGACGAAGGCGCCCATCATCAGGTAAAGCACGACGACAGAGACCAGGGTCAAAACCGTCGTCCAGCGCATTACCGTACGGGCTCCCGCGGGCGGCTGGCTCAAGATGGAGTCCTTGGAGACGTAGGAGACTATGGGCAGAGAGCTGTGCTGGTCAGCGGCTGACGGATAACTCACTGCCAGAGGATGGGCAAAGAAGACGGGTAAGCAGGACCGACAGGATCCGAAAAGGTTGGCCTTTGCCGAAAAGCCAAGCCACCCGGTCTTGAGAAGGACCGAATGGGCTGCACGGAGCTTCCCTGTTCAGGAGCAGTCTACCTTCAAAACTCAAAAGACGCCAGAATGGGAGATACGATTGCTCTTTTTTTTTTTTTTTGGAGTTCTCTCTTGGCTCTTTTCTCTCTGGTTTGCTAAGAGGAGCAGCGTTTATCCATCCGTCCGAATAGAATTGGAAGGGGCCTTGGAGGTCTTCCAGTCCAGCCCCCTAGTTCAATACGAATCTAGCTGAGAAATTTCGGCTTGGGGAATAAAGTGGGTGTTTGTTTTGAGGACACCCCCTGACCTTTCCCTTTAAGCCTGAGAAAAATATTCCTTTCCAGCTATGCACCCCGAACTCTTTGTACCAGTTACCCTCCACGGACAATTGGAAAAGCCAGGACCCCCCCCCAACTCGAAAAAAAGCAAGAAAGTAGTCCTCAATTTACCACAACTGGGACTAGAATTTCTGTTGCTAAGCAAGGAGGGTTAATGAAATGATCCGGGCCTGATTTTCGGGCCACTTTTTCCCTTTTGGCTGTTAAGCAAACCACTGCCGTCGTAAAGTGAAACAGGCAGTCATTAAGTGAATCCGTCTTCCCCCTTTGAGTTTATTCGTCAAAGGCCGCCAATGGTGATCGTGTGACCCCAGGTCACGGCGACCGTCATAAATACGAGTCCTTTGCCAAGCCTCTGGATTTTGATCACAGGACCTTGGGGGACGCCGCGACCGTCATTAAGCGTGAAAAACGGTCGTGGGTCACTTTTTCCAGTGCCGTTGTATAACTTCGGTCGCTAAACGAAAGGTTGTAAGACGAGGACTACCTGGAAGTTTTTAAGAAGAGACTGGACAGCCCTTTGTCTGAAATGGGATGGGGTTTCCTGCCTAAGCAGGAGGTTGGACTAGATGATCTCCGAGGTCCCTTCCAACTTTATTTATTTATTTATTATTACTATTACTATTATTATTATTATCATCATCATATCACTCTCAACATCTCCTTACCTTCTAATCTGTGCCGGTTCAGAGTTCAAGAATAAAGCGAAGAGTTGTTATTATTATTATTATTTGCAATGCTGAAGAACAATTTTGCGGTTGAGGCGGGCCTCGGCCGCCTTTGCCAGCAACGAGGAGAGCTTTGCGGCAAAGTGGGAGCCCTGCCAGACCCCCAAACTGAAGCCCAGTTCCGATCAAGAGGAGAGGATGCAATTAAATGCCATCAACGGCATCAAATGTCTTTCTCTTTGGCTCCGGATGAGCGGATCAAATATATCTCCAATTCTCCCTTTGGAGAGCAGGAGATCTGAAGCCCAGGGGCCGGTGCCTGGATTGAGCAGGCAGCAATTCAACAGGGGCTTCTCCCTCTAGAGCTAAGGGCGACTTTTTCCAGTGAAAAAGCTGGCTCCCAACCCTTCGGTGCAGCCAGCTTGTGGATCCGACAGAACGCTTCAGCCGGAAGGAAAGCCCCCGCTCGGACTGGGCAGCCTGAAAGAGGGAGGTTGAGTTGTCAATCAAATCAAAGCTTTAGACCAGCGTAAGGAAGGTAAACTACGAAGCATGAATAATTTCAAAAGCCAACTATCTGAAATACACCAAGTTAAGAAATCTTTCTCTCTCTTCTCTCTCTAACAATCCGTCTATCCCTCCATCAATCTATCCATCCCTCCATCTACCTGTCTCTCTCTCTCTCCATCTTTCCACCTATCCAGGTGTCTCCATGTGTCTATCCCTCCATCAATCTATCTATCCATCCATCCGTATCCCTCTATCCATCCATCTATCCCTCCATCCATCAATTTAGCTGTCTATCCACCTCTCTCTCCATCTTTCCAGCTATCCCTCCATGTGTCTCCATCCATATGCCTCCATTTTATCCATCCATGCATCCCTCCATCTATCTATCCATCTGTTTATCTCTCTCTCTCTGTCCGTCTCTTTTAAAATTATTGGCATGCCACTTTTCTTACGCCGGCGTACACTTGTTACAAAGATTTGGTCTGATTTGAACTGGAATCCTGCGAGGTTGCCTCTTCTAGGCTGCAAGCAGCGTTCTGTGCGATCCAAAAGCTTGCTCGGTTGGGTCTCATGGACCTGATCGGAGCTTTGGGAGGGTCGCCCTTTTTCTGCTCAGACAGCATTCCTGTTCTGAGCCCCTAATTTTGATCCCTCAATCCCATTTCTACAAGCAAGAGGCGTGCAACGGCTGTTCACCTGCTCCCCTCTTCCGGCTATGCGCCCTCAAAGTGCACACTGATAAATCCTGCACTTTTTTCCTTCTTCAGTCGCACGCATGCTCATGCACACCTATTTCTCTCCCACCCAGCCCCCCCCTCCCAGATCATATTGGGGTCTCGGGATCGGCCGGCATTGGGGAAAGTTGGTCCTAATCACCCCTCGGGATGAGTTCGGCCCAATCACCCCCTCTTGGCCCAGCCTACCTCGCAGAGTTGTTTTCCAGGGGAAATTTGCAGAATAGGTTTTAAGAGTCATTTGTCCAAAATGGTACAGGGTTTCCTGCCTGAGCAGGGGGTTGGACTAGATGACCTGCAAGGTCCCTTCCAACTTCGTATTATTATTAATATATTTCTAGAGACAAGGCAAATTTCCCTGGAAAGCCTGGTGGGACACGAAGGTGAAATGCAGGCGAGGGGTGTGTAAATTAAAATACACATGCCAAACTCAAACAAAGCAACATTACGGACCTCTTCACACAACATACGTGATCTTCTGGTTTGACACTTGTGCTTGTCAAACCCCTCACAAGCTCGCGCTAGCTTCACCTACCTGCAAAGCAAAGTTTTTGATTTCAAACTCACTTACCCACTTACAAACCGTGGGGTTTGTCTCTTTTGGGGGCAACCTGACTTCTAAAAATGCAGGTATTTCCTTACAGATCCTGGCTCCGTCTCCGATTTTGCCCCTTATCGTGTGCACCCCCAATTTGTGTTAACACACACACACACACAAACACCCTCTTTTTTGACCAAGAACCAGGATGCCATGTGCTTTGGGACTGGCGTGTCCGTCACTCATTTTTCACAATCCCTGAGTTTTTTTTTCCTCATCCCCTAGCCCACAACTGCCTGCACAGGAACCCACACAGAGACCCACGCACACAGGTGTGCTGTCCTATCCCGTCGCACGGCCAGGTCAGATCGCGCAAACCTTGCATCCAGAGTCCCCAAGCCATTTTAACGTGCGAGCCCCTCGCCCTGTCACTCCTCCCAGGTGTGCACACCTGCCCTGCCCTCTGTCCCCCCCAAACCTCTTTATGCTCCCCCCTCTTTTGAAAGAAAATATAAACCCCACAATAACAACAAAGCAGCTACATACTTACCTGGAGGTGGGGAAGCAGGCTAAGAGGCTGTGTGGCTGAGTGATAAAACGCTTGTGCACATTTAATGCTGTTTTACCATCTCTTAGTCCCAGTCTGGGCTCCTAAGTCCTCCCTCCCCCCAAAAATAAATCACACAGGAGCCCCTTTCCAAAGAGCCCTGGGAAGGGGCAGTGATGCCTAGGGGGTGGGGAGGGGCGGTGGGGAGAGCTCAGGCACCCCCCCTCCTTTGGGTGTACTCACTCGCTTCGGTTGCAGCAGCTGTGGATTAGGATGGACGGTGGCTCTCGCTGGCCTCGGGCAGGGGGGAGCCTCCTTTATCTGCCTTTGCCCCCCCTTCCCCTTCAGGCAGGACTGTCTCACCCATCACCCCCAGCCTGGCCAGCCCCCAGATCCAGCCCCACCGGTGTGGAGGCGAGCGAAGCGTTGTGGGTTAACTCTTTGGGTGACGCGAGCCAGGGATGACAAGGGGAAAATAAGCAGAAAGCCACACAACTCCACAACGGACGCAGCATGGATTTCCTCCCCCCACCAGGGGCTTTCTCACCCCCTTCCTCAATCAAAGGTGGGAGGATTGGGGGGGGGAAACAGGGAAGGAAGACTAGGAAAATAGCATCCTTGGTGGCAGGGGAATTTAGCAGGGAGAAAAGGGGGGGGGGTTGGGCAACGGATGCCCACAAGCTCTGGGGAGGATTGATGGGCAGGCAGGGACCCCCCCCAGGAAGGGGGGGCAAGCAGAGAGATGCCAGAGGAGAGGGAGCTGAAGGCGCCTGGGTCAGTCTCGGAGCCCCAGAATGGCAGGCCAAATTTTGTTCCGGCTATTAGAAGTCGCCTCCCCCCCCTTTTGCAAAAAATGAAGAGAAGGAAACAGGATCCGTTCACACAACCCGTTTCACTCTGTTGAGGAATGGACCTCTAAGTGAGTGGGATTTGCACAGAATGCAGAGGGGGGGAAGGAGGGAAGAAAGGAAGGATAACAAAGGAAGAGAAAAAGAAGGAAGGAAGGAAGGTAGGAGAGGGAGGGAGGGAGGGAGGGAGGAAAGAAAAGAAAGAAGAAAGAAAAAGTAAACATTTGGCTCCTTAAATGAATATGATTCAGCAGCCTCGTCATATTTACTGCCCTCAATGTGGACTAGTGTCCTGTATAGGATTTGACTTTAATCCGTTAATGTATGGTGCAAACCCGTTTTACCCTCTGCAACCACATTGCACACAACAGCTGGACATGGGTGAATTGTAGCCACAATTGAATTGTAGTTGAACAGTACCTTGGCTTGTATCTTGTATTTTGCAATAACCCAATTTTGCATTAACTGGATTTGATACGCATTGTTATTTTTTTAACTGCTTAAGACTTTTTTGCTTGATTTTAATTATCCTTAAATATGAAAGAGACTAATGATTGCTTACCAGCTCGATAGAATTCAGACCGGCATATTGGCTTGGTAAAATAAAATAAAAAAAAAATTGTCTTTTTCTCTGAAGAAGTGGATCAGGCTTCAGCCAGGGAGCCCTCTGTATTTTAATTAACTCAACGACACTCATCTGCAACTGAATAACATTGGCTCAAAATTAAAGAAACAGACAGGAAAACCCCAGGAGACTCAGATTTGTTTCTTTTTGCAGGCCTCAAATTCAAATGGCCTACCGCGCAGGGTTGTTTGCCGAAATCAACGAGGTAATTCCCAATTTTGTATTGTTGTAGTGATGGACAGACTGCAAGTCCTCAAGAACCACCTGGAGAAAATCTTTGGATGGGGTTGCTAAGAGATGTGGAAGACTTGACGACACATGTACCTGATCGATCAATCAATAAATCAGTCAAAGATGGGAAGCAATTTGCGTGGTTCTGAAGTTTGTTAAAAAAGGCAGGCCAAAGAATTCTTCAAATCAGGTTTGTTCCAACAGATCCAGACCTTGAATTATCCCGACCCAGAGACCCCCACCCAAACTTCGGGGGGGGGGGTGTACAAATTCTGAATCCCCAATCAGAATTTCCCAAAGGCCTGTTGAAAGCTTGGATCCCATCCAGATTCTCAAGGCCAGGCAAAAGGTGATGATTGAATTGCCTCTAAATGGATTATATAAATCGTCTGTCTTTATTTCGTAATGGTTTCCCGATGCTCTAGGGCAGTGGTTCTCAACCTGTGGGTCGGGACCCCATTTGGGGTCGAACGACCATTTCACGGGGGTCGCCAAACAACACAACCCGCCATTTTTTTCCCCCTTTTCCTTAGCTGTGCTAATCCCTTTTATTCTCTTGGCTTTTGAAAGCCAATAGAAGAGACTCTCTTGAATAGAGTCTAATTCTATTGGCTTTCCAAAGCCAATAGGAATTGTACAGGCTGTCTCTGCCCTGCTGAGCCCGCCAAAAGTCCCATTCTGCAACTGATGCTGCACCAGTTGGGTAGTCCTCGACTTACGACCGGTTGAGTAGTCCTCGTCTTACGACCGGTTGGGGAGTCATGGCATTAAAAAGGTTGAGAACCACTGCTCTAGGACTCCATGTTACAATTTAGCTGGATCAGAGTTATTGGTAGCTTTCAGATGTCTGGACTTCAACACCCAGAATTCCCCAGTCAACATGTTTTAAGATGGGTGGGCTTCAAGTCCCAGAATTTACCAGGAGGCGTTGAGTTCTAGTCCCGCCTTAGGTATGAAAGCCGGCTGAGTGACTTTGGGCCAATCACCAGGAGACGGTGAATTCTAGTCCCGCCTTAGGCAGGAAAAGTGGCTGGGTGACTTTGGGCCAATCACCCGGACACAGTGAGTTCTAGTCCCGCCTTAGGCACGAAAGCTCGCTAGGTGTCTTTGGGCCAATAAACAGGAGACGGTGAGTTCTAGTCCCGCCTTAGGCATGAAAGCCAGCTGAGTGACTTTGGGCCAATCACCAGGAGACGGTGAGTTCTAGTCCCGCCTTAGCCATGAAAGCCAGCTGAGTGACTTTGGGCCAAAAACTGATTTCAACATTCCTAAAGGAAGCATTTTTTTTTTTTAAAAAAAAGCATTCTTTATCCAAAATTTCACCCGTGGGACGGCAGAATCCCAGGAAAGAAAAAAAAAGGGGGGTGTGTGTAAAAAAAGTGGCCACGCATCCTGTCGCTAACACAAAAATCCATTTATTGGAAGGGGAGGGGCAAGCGATGAGATAGCACCAATAACGGCAAAGTGGTTAGCGAAGGAACACAGAAGCTTATTCCGAATCCTACGGCTTTGTGGGGAAGAAGGGGAGGGGAAGGAGGGAGAGAAAGAGAGTGCCCCTCTACCCAGTTCACAGAATCCGTTTCAACAACATCGAAGATAAAACCAGGCCCCCCCCGCCTCCCGAGTCATTTAAAGTGCTAGTGTTCTCAAATAGACTATGGGTTAAATATCTAGGGAATATTTAAGTAGGAACGGGGAGGTTTGAGGTTCCAGCAAAATAATAACCAGCCAGCTCCGGAAGGAAAAGGATGGAGCTGAAGGTTTTCAGGCTAAAATCCAGGGAAGGGTGGGATAAGGGGAGGGGGGTTTGTGTGGATCTAAATACCCTGTTCGCATGCCGGTCGTCTTCCCCCCCCCCCGTCCGCACTCATTTATACACACAGGAAACCTTTAGCAGCAGCAAGTGTGTGTGTGGGGGGGGGGAAGGTCTTCCTCCCGTCCAGCATCCGTGTCTCAGTTCTGCGGGGTGGAGTAAAGGCTGTGGTGGTGGCTGCCGGAGACCGCAGCCTGTGAGAACAGGAGGGGGGCGGTGGGTGGGTGGCCCCCGAACCAGTCGTGCTCCCCGTTACGATTGATCGAACCGTAGTAGCTCCCGCAGCTGGATCGCCCGGCCAGGCTGGAAAAGGAGAACAGGAAAACAAGCAGGTGGGAATTATACCACTGGGCCTCCGAGCAGTTTTTCCTTCTCCCTCCTCGCTCCTCTTTCCTCGTGTGTCGTTATCTCTCTTCTTCTTTTTTTTTTTCTTTTTGTAAGTGTGTGCATTACTGGAAGGTTTTTGCTGGATATTTTGAAGGATTAAAAAGGAGGGTTTTACCTGCTGGTCAGTCCTTCGTTTTCACGCTGCCCAGGATAGTCGAAGAAATAAGATCGGGAGACCCCCAGCTGCCGATGGAAGACGCGGCTGGCACTCTGTGGCAAGGGAAAAGACAATTAAAATATATAGAATGGAATGGAATGGAATAGGATAGAATAGAATAGAATAATGAAGTAGAATAGAATAGAAATAGGAAATATAGAATAGAATAGAATAGAATAGAATAGAATTAGAATTAGAATTAGAATATAGAATGGAGTGGAGTGGAGTAGAATAGAATAGAATAGAATGGAATAGAGCTGGAAGGGACCTTGGAGGTCTTCTAGTCCAGCCCCCTGCTTGAGCAGGAGAAAGTAGTTTAATTGAACCTTCATGCATGGACCTGGTCTTTTGAACCTGATGGTTGACATCCAGCTCAAGAATCCAAATCCGAGAATCTGAACTGTTTATTGAATACACTGCGCGGTAATCTCGAGGCAAAACTAACTCTGAGGTTCCCAAACACCAGTTCATAGAATGAAACCACGGTTTTTTCCCAGCCAAAGTCTCAACCTCGTACGTAGCCCATGTAAACAAGACCACTTTGTTATGGGAACCATCCGCTTCAATTCCACACCGGTTATGGTGTCCTTGAAAAGATCTCAGGCTCTCATTTCCTTCAGTTGAATTGTAGAAGTTTCGCTTCTCCATCTAGCCCTCTCGAAAGTAACGCCTCCCTCGCCTTTACTCTTAAAGGCAAATTGAAACGCAGAGGCATGGAGCTGCCCAGGTTTCGGCCTTGACACAGATATTTGAGACTGATCCTCTCCGAACGTCCTACTCACCGTATCCTGCGCCGGCCGATGCACCCGGAAAAAGCCCACCAGCAGCGTGGTGGGCAGTAACTCCCAAACGAAGAGGATGAGTCCAAAGACGATGTAACCTTGATCCCCGAGATCTGTTATTAGGTCAGCCTGGAAGGGGGGGGGGAGAGACTGGGAGGTAAAAGCCCACCCCTTTACTCCCAAATCTTTACAAGAAGTCCCCGACTTAGGACAGGCCCTTCAGCAAACATTCAAAGTTACGACGCACCACCCTGAGGGTTACTCGGGCCCACGTTGACGGCTGTTTGCCTTGCCCGCCCCCCAGTCAAAATATCATCAAACCAAGTCGGTCGTGTGGGTTATCCGCTTTACGACCATGATGGTCACAACTTGAGGACGGCCTATAAAGTATGCCAGCTAACCAGCTTTGTCAGAGTTGGGTAGTACAAGCTCGGGTGTTGAGTGTTACTCTTTTCGGGGCCTGGGGGAAACCGCCCCACGCTCCCTTGTTCAAGGGAGGGGAGGATGGGAACTGGAGTCCAAGACGCTGGAGCTCCCCTGCCCCAGCTGCTCTCCAGCCACCACCGTCCCCGAGGATTCACCTGGTCGGAGACGTTGTACCAGTCGTAATCGAAGGAGTCTAGCCGGGTGCGGGAGGAGAGCGCCAAGGCAGCCAGGTTGTAGCAGGCGCGGCTGGCGTAGAGCAGGACGATTGTGCCTCCCATGGCCGCCGTCTGGCACAGGGTGGTGCCCTGTTTGGGAAAGAGGCGATTAATCTGCAGGTGGGCTACTGGGAGATTAAAACCCGAGGCCGGGTTGGTGCGTCCTCATACATTTTTGTTATGGTGCTCAAGCAGCACGAGAAAGGCAGAAGGTGAACCGTGAATAATTTTACAAGCTAAATAAAATCCAAAATACACAAACTTTATATCTATCTATATATCTATATCTATGTAGGTCTTTGGTTGTTCGGGTTTTCTCCCGCGTAAAATTGGAAGTGTCTTGGCGATGTTTCGACAAAGTCCCATTCGTCATCTTCAGGCTGGTGTTTTCAGCTTCGTGCTTCGAAGATGGAAGGTGCCACCACTACTGACTGTATATAAGCAGAGAGCAAGCCCCACTCCTTTCTAGCACTGACGATATAATCTAGCTGGGTCATCAAACGTCTGCAAGAAAACCACCCAGCTCAGAGAACATCAAGGACCCCACATTCCTCCTCCTCCCCTCTGCAAACCCCCCTCCCTTCTAGCATTGATGATGTTACCTAGCTGGGTCATGAGACGTCTGCAAGAAAACCACCCAGCTCAGAGAGCCCCCCCAGGACCCCACATACTTATACAAATATTCTGCATTGTGCAGACACGAGAAGGCGCACCTTGGCTTCCAGGTAGATGCGTGTTGAGGGAGAGCCACGGGCCACGAGGAAGAGGCAGAGGGCGAGGGAGACGGCTCCCAGCACGAAGAGCGAGTCGCTGATGAGAACGCGTGCCAGGACCACGGCCCAGGGTTCCGCCTGGCGTGCCCGCACCAGCACGGCACACGCCACGTTCACCGCCAGGAAGAGGACGCTGGCCCCGAAGCACACCCCTCGCACCAGCAACCTGGGGGGGGGGAGGGAAAAACCCCACCCTGAGAAGCGAGACCCTCAAGATCCCAAAACTATTTCTTCGGGATCAACAAAACCTGGAGCTGTTCCTTCCCACCCAGCAACTTTGCCCTGAGGCTGCAACATTTCAGATACAGAGAAGAAGTCCCCGACTTACGGCCGCAAACCGAGTCCAAAAGTTCGGCTGCCAGGCCAGACAGTTGTTAAGTGGGTTTCCTCCCGTTTTACGACCTTTCTTGCTGCAGTAGCTAAGTGAATCACTGCAGTTAAGCTAGCAACACGGTCGTTGAGTGAAACCGGCTTCCCCCATTGATTTGGCTTGTCAGAAAATCGCAAAACGGGATGTAAATACAAGCCGGTCGCCAAGCGCCCGGATTTGGATCACGTGACCTGCGGGGAATGCCGCAACGGCCATAAGTGTGAAAAATGGTCCTAAGTCACATTTTTCTCAGTACCGTTCGGAACTTTGAACAATCACTAAACGAACAGTTGTAAATCGAGGACTGAGTGTAATTTTGTGCGAGAAATCCCACTAGCCACAGACCGCTGGAGAAATAGGGATTACTCACAGGCCTTTGATCAATTCAGGACGATATTTCGCTTTAGCTTTGAAAACCACCTGAAAAGGAGCAGAAAACTGACCATTACTATTATTATTATTATTTCAGCGGCCTGGTTCCATTGTTTTGATGGGCAGGCGTGGCCTGCATTGGCTAGAAATGGGCGTAACAATTAAACATTGCATCAGAAGCCGTAAACAGGCTCGGCTCTCTTTGCTCCAGCCTCCAAACATTAAGACTGCATTCCCCATCATCCCAACCCACCCACGTGGCTGGGAATGATGGGAGCTAGGGAAAGAGAAGGCTTGGGCTGGGGGAAATCCTAGCTTGCTATGGTAAATGAGGGGAGGAACAGGATCAATTTACTGCCCAAGCCACTGAATGACCTTGGGGGACTGTCTAATGCACAGCACAGAGATGCATCAATGCTATTATTAGGTTAAGAAAAGTTGGACTGCAAAGCACAATTCCGCTAAACCAGAACAATTTTGCACACACACACACACACACACACACACACACACACACACACACTCTCTCCCTTTATCTGGTTTAGGGTGCCTCCCCTTGACCACATACTTATTAGCAAGACGTACCCCATATATACCAGAAATGCTAAGGTAACAGAGTTACTACTCAGCTGCAATTAGGAAAGTCAGGTTTTGCACCCCCCTTTTCAGCCACAAAGCAACAGGACAATTTCCACACGTTGCTGCCACCGGTATCAACGGAATATACAAACCAAAGCAATCTGCGCCAGGCATTTTTAAGCCACTAGCTACTCTCCTATCGTAATTCACCGATAAGGCTTCCTGTGGTTTTGATACGGTCATGAGTACATTATTTTTGTCCTTTTTCAAAATACAGAGGTGCTAATGTTGCAAAACATTAGTGCACTATTGTGGGGTGTTTCCCCCCCCCCCCCGTGGTTTTTAAAAAATTGCATCCTGGATGGAAAGGAAGCTAATCCTGTTACTTTTAATCCTCCACTAAATTTGACCCCTGTTATAGGCCTTTGTTGTGAATTGGGATAAACTACCAACATGATGAGTTAAAAATACTCAGGATTCTTATCTTTATTCTGATCTTCTTACCTAAATGAACAGAAAATACCCAATGAAAAAAAATCGGTCTCATCTACAGAAAGAACCAGCCTATCAAGATATATGCCAGCTGGGGGAATTCTGGGAGTTTTAAGTCCACAGATTTTAAAGTGCCCAAGGATGAGAAACACTGATTTGAAGGAAGACAATAAGTCAAAATAAAATAGATATTTAAGATCTCCTTAAGCCAAAACATACACAAAGCAGATAGAACCAAGTTGTCATTTGTGACAGATCGGTCTTTGATGCCAATTGAGCTAGCCTCTTTACAACGAGTCCTTGGTGCTCTCTGAGCTGGCTGGTTTTCTTGCAGATATTTCATAACCCAAACTAGGTGAAATCATCACAGCCCTGATGATGTTACCTAGCTGGGTCATGAAATGTCTGCAAAAAAACCAGCCAGCTCAGAGAGCACCAAGGACCTCACAGTCTTCTTCCTCCATTCTGCAAATCTCACTCCCTTCTAGCACTGATGATGTTACCTAGTTGGGTCAAGAAATGTCTGCAAGAAAACCACCCAGCTCAAAGAGCACCAAGGAGCCCTCATTTCAGCCCTGACTGAATATACTTTCTTGGTTTCCACTTTACCCAGAAGTCCCCAGCTACCAGGTGGCGAGTTCAGCCTTTACCCAGAAGTCCTAGGGACCATGGCTTCCATCTTGGCATTTACCCACAACCCCAGCACTGCATTTACCTGGGCAAAATAGAGATTCATGAGGGTCAAGGTGAAGAACTGGAGGCAGACAGGGCAGCAATACAGCAGCCAGAAGAAGAAGGGGTGCAAGCGGTTGGCCTTGAGGGTGTTCCGGAAGTAGAAGGAGAAGAGGGTGGTGCGCAGGGCGGCCCAGAAGAGGCAGAGGAAGAGGAAGACGGTCTGGTAGCTGAACTTTTTGTGGCGGTAGAGGAGGACCAGCCAGAGCTGGGCGTAGACAGAGAAAAAAAGCAAGGCGTACAAGGCCGTGTAGAGCGTCGTCAGGCCCACCTTGACGGCGGGCGGGAAGGCCGGCGTGAGCCGCGAGGCTGGCACAATGGCGCTCAGATTGCTCATGGCCTTCTCCATCTTCGCCAGCTAGGAAGCCATCATCCCCCCAGACTGCGGAGAGAGGGGGAGGGGGGTGTCGAACCACCGCGGCCCCCTCTCTTGGCCAGAGCAGTTGCCCCCGCACGGAGAGGGCGTTACATCCTTTGGGGAGGTGGGGGGCTGGCCCCTCTGGTGGAAAAATCAAAGGGGGCCTGCCCGTTCCATGGGAGAGCCTGGCTGGAGGGGCAGGGGACAGCTGCGGATCAGCTATCTTCCTCTCGGGAGCCCGTTGTGGGGCGTGGTGCCCCCCTTTTTGTCCCAATGCGGAGCCTCTCCAGGAGCTGCAAAAGAGACAAAAATTGGGGTGCTTCTTTTGAGCCGCGATCCCTATCTCCCTGTTGCCCCCTCCCCAATCCTCAGAGGTCTGGGACCCCCACCTTGCAGGCCCAGAATCCTGGACAACCTCCATCCTCCCTACTCCCAGCTCTCCAATGTCTCGGTCCCTTAGAGCCCCTCCCCATTCTCCTTGAAGCTCTGCCTCCCTCAGACCCCCCCACCCCTATTCCCGTTACCCCAATTCTGGGTCTCCCTCCCCAATCCTCCCTTCTCCCATCCTTGCAATATCTCAGTCCCTAGGAGACCCCTCCCCGTTCTCCTTGAAGCCCTGCCTCCCTCGGACCCCCCCACCCCTATTCCCCTGCTACGCCAATTCTAGGTCCCCCAATGAAAAAAAATCCTCAGAGGTCCGGGACCCCCCACCCATCCCTTCTCCCATCCTTGCAATATCTGGGTCCCTAGGAGACCCCTCCCCATTCTCCTTGAAGCCCTGCCTCCTCGGGGACCCCCCACCCCTATTTCCCTGCTGTCCCACTTTCACTTCTGGGGCCCCCTCCCCAATCCTCAGAGGTCTGAGACCCCCCCACTCCATCCTCCCTCCTTCAACCCTTGCAATATCTGGGTCCCTTAGGAGACCCCTCCCCATTCGCATTGAAGCCCTACCTCTTTGCGCCCCTTCCCCCTCCGTCCGTCCCCAGCCTTATTCTAGGGCCTGGGACCCTTAAATGCTCCCCCCCTCCTTCTCGGCCCCCTTTGCCCCCCCCCGGACACCTGGGTCCCTTGTCGCCTCCCCAGATACCTGGGTCCCTTAACCCTCCCCTGCTCTCTCGGGCCCCCGAGTCCCCGGGCTGCCTCTCTGGCCCCACTGCCTCAAATCTGGGGTGGGGGGGAGAGAAGACGCCCCCTCCCCACAAGTCCCAGGCAGCCGCAAGCGCGCGACCTCCCAGTTGCTGCCAGCTGCGCCAAGTGCGCTCGCCCCGCCCCCTTTCCTTGGCCGCGCCGGCTCGGCGTGCCGGAAATGACGTTTAGCGTCTCGTTTGAGTTGCGCCAAGGGCGTAGAGCGCGTTTCTGAATGGTAAAAGGCGGGGAGCGGGGAGGCTGACTCTAGAGCGGCGGCGGTCTTTTTTTTTTTTTTATGGTCCGCCATCTTAACGACGGGCATTTGTGCTCGCTTAGTAATGGAAAAGGGGAGGGGGAGGAAATCCACAGCCCGGAAGTGCTTCGTGCTAAAGGTTCCCCCTCCCCTCGGTTCCGTCCTCGGCTTCCGAGTGTAACTCTTCTCTCTGGGTCCTTCGTTCCGTTACATTCGTTTTACACTTATACGTTCACACGTTCCTGCTTGTACAGTTTAAGAGACAAAAATGACGAACAATGGACTGTGTGGATGCAAGAGCTCTGGGTCGGAGTCGGGCGGGATCTAAATCGAATAAAATAATTGTAATTTGGCAACAGCCTGACCTCCAGCTGTGTAATGCTTAGAATGAAGGCAACTTTTAATATAAGCCGTGTGGACTGCAACTCCCAGAATTCCCCAGCCAGCAATGACCAATGCTGGTTGGGGAATTCTGGGAATTGTAGTCCACACAGCTTAAAGTTGCCAAAGCCGAGATGCAGCAAAACCAAAACGTCCTTTTAACACTTACAAATTGTGGCATAAAATATGATGCTACCCAAGAGCCAAAAGGAAGCCTACCCAGTTTTTATGCACTTTTTAAAAAAGACAAGAGGCAAATGTAGCCCCAGAGGGAAGGAAGGCAGAAAGAAAGAGGGAGGGGAGGCGACTGAAGAATGGAGGAAGATGGAAAGGGAAGAAGAAGGAGAAGCAAAAGGGGGAGGGAAGGAAGGAGGAAAAGAAGTGGGGGAGGAAGGCAAAGAAGGAAGGAAGGAAAGAAAAAGAATGGGAAGGGAAGGGGAGAGAAAGGAAGGGAAAGAAGGAGGGAAGGGCGAGGAGGGAAGGGACAAAGGGAAGAAGAGGGGGAGGAAAGATGGAAGGAAAATGAGAAAAAAAGAGAGGAAGGAAGGAGAGGGAGGAGGGAAAGTAGAAGAAGACGGGAGGAGGAGAAAAGAAGGAGAGGGGAAGAGGAGAAAAAAGAAGGGAGAAAAGAAAAGAAGGAGGAAAAGGAAAGAAGGAAGGCAAAACTGTAATGGCAAACGCCCCCTCCCCCCTGGGGAAAGAGGACGAGGGGGCGGAGCCAGGCCAAAGACCGCGAGGGGGGGTTGCCTTGATGTGCCCAAGGGGGCGGAGCCTCCCCCGCTTCTCCGCCCTCTCTGACGTAGCCACTCCTGATTGGGCCCCGCCGGTGGCAGTTCTTTATCGCCTTGGCGACTCCGGCTGTCTCTCCGCTCGCGGTAAACAGGAGGAAGGGCGCGCAGGCAGCGTTCCGTCCGCAGGTAGCCGCATCGGGCAGCCCCGGGGAGGGGGGAGAGAGGCAGGAGGAGACGGATTTAGAGCTGGGCGGGGGCTGCAATTCCCCCCCTCCCCAATCTGGGCAGGGGGAAAGCCTGGGGGGGGGAGACAGCTTTGCAAAAAGGGAGCATCCCCTCCCCAGATCAGGAAGCGAATGCAAAAACTGGGGGGTCGGCATGGGGAGGGGGCGCTTGGCTGGGCATGCAGGGACACCCCCCCCCACTGTTTGCAATTTGGAAGGGGAGGGCAGGAGGCAAAGCGGGAAGCGTGCAAGACGTGGGGGGGGGGGTGGAGGGGCGAATGGTTGGATTTGCAAAAAAAGGAAAAAAGGGGAGTGGGCTTGCATCTGCAACCTTGCGCACGCATCTCCGGGGCTAAGCTGCGGTGGACGGAGTGGGGGTGGTGGTGGAGGGAGAGCTTTGCTTAGCCCCGCGGGGTGAGGGGAGGAAGGAAAGGAAGCCTTTGCCCCGGGAAGCTTGAGTGCATATTGGCTTGCGGAACTGCCTGCCACTAGATGAAAAGAATTGCAGGGAACTGAGCCAATGGGCCAAGAAGGCAGAAGAGAATCGGGGTGGTGGTGGGGTGGGGAGGCTTGCCCAGAGCATCTGTCTAGCCAGAGGTTTTGTTGCGTGATTTGCTGAAGCGAGCCAGGCCAGAATCTTTTGCCAACCCGGGTCTGCCCGAACGTGGGAACCAGATCCATCCCTCTGATGGCAGCCCGACCATTTTGGGTTTCTACTGCTAAGAGGAGTGGCAGGAGGAGAGTTCCTGGGTTTTGTGAGCTCATCTTTTGTGAGTCAAGATTGTGAAGTTTGAACTGGACGTTTCCTGGTGTGTAACTCGGCCCTTTCGGCTGCCAGCCTAGCTTTGCTCACTGGGAAGTTGGGTTCACACAACACCAGGCTAAGTTAGGACTGGGTAAGGGAGATTCGGTCCGTTGTGGGAAGCCTACCCTTGTGGCGTGAGTTTGCCCAGCTGTTATGCCAGGAAATGGGGATTTGGTTTTTTTTGGTTGGGACCTGCTTGGTGAACATTGTCATGTGGTGTTAACCGGGTTTAGTTTGTCTGATAAACGCTGGCATCTCAGCCACTTTTAAGATGGGTGGACTTCAACTCCCAGAATTCCCCAGCCAGCCAGCCATGCTAGGGGAACAGTAGGCTGGGGAGACAAAAAATATCCTGCCGGAAACTTGCAAGGATGCTACTGGCCTGTGTCAAAAGCAACACATCGGACAAGATAATAATCAAAATCTGAAGGTTGGGATATTATATGGGGGAGTTTATGTTGCTTTTGATTGCTGGGGCGCACAGAATCAGGGAGATGGGTGGCGTAATATATTTAATTAATTATACACCTACGCAAATATAAATATTATAAATGCCTTTCTCCTTCCTTCCCTATTTCACTCCTTTTCCTTCATCACTTCTCTCCCTTCCTTTCTCCTTTTGCTTCCTCACTACCTTCCTGTCCTCCTCCCCTTCTCCAATTCATCTTCCTCCTTTCCCTCCCTCCCTATTCTATCCTTTTCCTTCCTCCCTCCTTCTCCAATCTTCCTTCTTCCCTTCTCTAAATCCCTTCCTTTCCCTCCCTCCCTATTCTCTTCTTTTCCTTCCTCCCTTTCTCCAATCTTCCTTCCTTCTTCCCTTTCGCCTCTAATTGGCCTCCTTTCCCTCCTTTCCTATCCTTTCCTTTTCCTTCCTCTTCTCCAATCTTCCTTCTTCCCCCTTCTCCTCCCTCCTTCCTATCCTTTCCTTTTCCTTCCTCTTCTCCAATCTTCCTTTCTTCTTCCCTCTTCTCTTCTTCAACCTTCCTTCCTTCCCCCCCCCCCCAGGCAGCCACTACGTCTAAGCCTTCTGGAAAACACGGAGTCAAGAGGCAGGGGCAATGCCAGCCCCCTGATCATGTTCCAGATTTCCGAATTTCAAGACGAAACCTTCGCCGCCGCTGAAAAGGACCCCGCGGATCTCAAACTGAGTGTCGGGGCCCCCAAGGATCTCAACAGCCCCTATCATGAGAACCCAGGTGAGCGGGAACGGGGTAGGGCTTCCTCCCAGCGCTCTTATCTCCACAATTCCTCCGCTCTTTTGACCCAGGCGCGTGAGAAAATGGCCCTGGTTAAATCCTGGTTTGCTTTGTTACGGTGCGATGGGTTCACGCAAGGTGCGAACAGGAACCTGTTGTTGGGCTGGAGCGCAGGGGAAGTTTGAAAAGAGGTCAAATAAAAGCAGTTCTCCATTTATGACCTTTTTTTTTTTTGCCTTGGCTGTTAAGCGACTTAAGTCCATCTGGCTTTCCTACTGATTTGTCAGAAACTGGATGAGATGGTCATAAATGGGGATCCGAGGAGCCTGGGATATTGAAACCGTTGTAAATACATGCCGGTTGCCAAAGCATTTGAGTTTTCATCATGTGATTGCAGAGACATTACGACGGTCTTAAGCGCGAGGATCGGTCGTCGCTTTTTCAGCACCATCGCAACTTTGAGCAGTTGCTGAACGAAGCGTCTGAAGTCTCAAATCAGATAAATCAGAACTTCAGTTTCAGGCCAGCTAAGCTTTCCTAGGTGATCTTGGAAAAGATAATAATTCAGCAACATATACATGTCCCTTTGCCACATGAATTAATATATACATTAATTTATTTTTTGTTGATGAGGTCCATAAATCTTTTCTAGCAGGCCACGATTCCAAATTATTCACTGAATTAATCCCTTTCCGAACTTTTAATTTTAGCTTGGGCTAAATTTAAGTTAGCTTTCGACAGAGGAGATTCAAAAGGAGTTTGGGGATATGTTGTCTTTAAACCCCCCCTCCGCCACCTTCGGTATAAGACTTTATTCAAAATCTGAGCCTTGCAGTTGAAAAGAGTTAATGACACTGCTAGCAAGACTGATAGGATGCGTCTTCTGATAAGCTAAATCCCATTAAGTGACGTAAAAATTGCTGCTGTCCAGCTGAGCGTGCAATTGGGACCTCACCCTAATTCAGTGATCTTAAATCCACACCCTCTGGAGTCCACCAAAGGGAAGGGAACAGAAGCCTCAAATGTATTTTTCTCAGTGAAGAAAAATGTCAGTAAGATTTCGTAACGTGTTGAAAATCGTCCGATAAATGCCTGGCTCTCCAGACATGACAAACTACAAGCCCCAGAATCCCTTGCAGTCTTTTCAGCAATTTGGGGAGGATCACAGAGTCCCAACTGATAGTCTGGGATTCTCACCTGGTGGGAGGGTTGGAGATGTGGGGTCCAGAAGCAAATCCAGCTACGAGGAAAGCGCGTCGTCTCCAGAATTCTCCAGTTCTTACTCCAAGGCCATGTTCTCAACCTGGGCCACTAGAAGAAGGGTGAACTTCAACTCCCAGAATTCTTGGTGCCCTCTGACCTTGGAGGTTTTCTTGCAGACATTTCATGACCCAACTAGGTAACATCATCAGTGTTAGGAGGGAATGGGGTTTATGGAGGGGGAGAAGAAAGAAGGAAGGAAGGAAGGAAGGAAGGAAGGAAGGAAGGAAGGATCTTTTGTGCTGAGTTTGGTTATTTTCTTGCTTAGCGATGGAAATTCTGACCTCTGCTGTGGTCGTAAAGTGAGGACTAACCGTAATTTTTGTTAGTGCATTGTAACATCCACTTCGTTTCACTGAGATTTCTTTGCTTTGCCTTCGTCGGCAGAACTGAGACGTCGAATTGGGTCGGACCAACTAGATTCGGAGACCTCAGATGAGGTGGGGGCTTTCCGGGCACGTTCACGCTCCGCCCCTCCCATCCTGTGGGCCGCGCAGCGATACGGGCGGGAGCTACGCAGGATGAGCGATGAATTTCACGGTGCCCTGCAGGTAAGGGTGGCGCCGTGCAGGGATACGAGCCTTGCAAACTCTGAGCAATGCTTATATTTAGGGAATTCTGTTCCAAATGAGCTTTACTAGGGGAGTATAACCCACCCCAAAACTGGGTTTGTATTAAACCACTGTTTGCAGAATCCCTTGTACACCTGGATTCTCCTGCTGGCCACCTTTAGATACAATGGCTAATTCCAAATCGAATGGAATGGAATCAAATAGTATAGAGGAATGAAGAATAGAATCGAATAGAATATGGAATGGAAGAGAAGAATGAAGAAAAGAATAGAATAGAATAGAATATGGAATGGAAGAGAAGAATGAAGAATAGAATAGAATAGAATAGAATATGGAATGGAAGAGAAGAATGAAGAATAGAATAGAATAGAATAGAATAGAATAGAATAGAATAGAATAGAATAGAATATGGAATGGAAGAGAAGAATGAAGAAAAGAATAGAATAGAATAGAATAGAATAGAATATGGAATGGAAGAGAAGAATGAAGAATAGAATAGAATATGGAATGGAAGAGAAGAATGAAGAATAGAATAGAATAGAATAGAATAGAATATGGAATGGAAGAGAAGAATGAAGAATAGAATAGAATATGGAATGGAAAAGAATGAAGAATAGAATAGAATAGAATAGAATAGAATTAGGAATAGAATAGAATTAGGAATGAATAGAACAGAACAGAATAAGGAATGAATAGAATTAGGAATAGAATTACGAATAGAATAGAATTAGGAATGAATAGAATAGAATAAGGAATAGAATAACAGAGTTGGAAGGGACCTTGGGGGTCATCTAGTCCAACCCCCTGCTCAGGCAGGAAACCCTATATCATTTCAAACAAAGGACTGTCCAGTCTTTTCTTAAAAACGTCCAGTGTTGGACCATTCACCGCTTCTGGAGGCAGGTTGTCCCACTGGTTAATTGTCCCATCAGGAAATTCCTTCTTAGTTTTACCGATTGATAACGTGCTAATCAGCCGAGTACGTCACTCTCCGCTTTCCCCACTCTTTTTCAGAAGCTGCCGCGCCCCAAAAGCGCAGGGACCTGTTCCCACATGGACCACCCTCCCAGCTGGAAGGACACTCTGCGGTCATGGTGGCGCCGAAGTTGCCCGGAGAACGGACCCTCCGGTTCTTAACCGGGTTTTGCTGCTATCTGTTATGGGGGTGAAGGGGTGGTGGGAGGGAGAAATTCGGTGGGGTCTCAGCGGCACCCTTTTCCCTCTGTGATGTCTCAAAATTATTCCCGGTGCCAAGTTTGTTCCCTAGCACTTCCATTCTTTACGCCACCTACAAGAAGTTTACTCTGGATCTGACATTGTGGCACCGTCCAGATTTTTTACCCTCTGCCCCTTTAACCCTAAATTAAATTCTGGGTTTTTTTTTTCCTTCTCAGTATCCAACACCCCCCAATTTTCCAGAATCTCCATCTTCTTCTTTCTACAAAACCAAGCAAATTTACCTGGATTTTATTTTAACAAGGCCAAAAAAAACCACCATTGGATTTTTTCTCTCTCTCATGTTCACCCTCTGTATCGTTGCTGTTTATTTGTCCAATTCCTAAAGAAAAATGTATATATAAAGGTTGTTATTTCTGGCTTCTCATTGGCCTTTTTCCAGTTTTTTCACCCCACAATCTCACAGCTGGCTGGGAGGCTGGGATCCCCCCCCCCCGAAACGAGCAACTAAAATAGCCTGACATTCCTAAACCTGGCTAATTTAGGGTTGACTCAGCCCTAAATGACTCAAGTTTTTGGTAAGGCACTCAACCAACAATTAAAACCACCAGCATTGGGACTTGATAAGACAACAAGCGTCGAAATGGGAAATCAACTTCGTGAACAGGGTGACCTTCTCAAGAGTTGGAGGAATCCCGGTGGAAGCTGGCTTCTTACACGACCCCAGTGGGATCCCAGCAGTACCGTTTCCCGGAATCCAGATGTCGTAGTTGTTCCATGTCGGCTGGACTCAAGTCCCACGACCACAGCTGGCCATTTTCAGCCACACGGTGTGGCGACGCCGACTTGGGAATCACGCTGACGCCTTGGTGCAGAGCCCAGCGCAGCAAAACCTGGGCGCCCGTGCGACCACGCCGCTGGGCTACGGCCCGTATTTCGGGATGCTCTACCAGCGGTCCGGTCCCCAGCGAGGAATAAGCTTGCAAATGGATGCCCTTCCGGGTGCAAAATTCCAGCAGCTCCGTCTGGGCGAGTTCGGGGTGGAATTCCACCTGCAGCACGGCAGGCGTCACCCGGCAGTTGTCCAGCAGTTCCTGAAGGTGACGGACGGTGTAGTTGGAGACGCCAATCGCCCGGAGCTTGCCGGCTTCGTGCAAGCGCTCCAGGGCGCGCCAACTCTGCAGGCGACGTTCCGGGTTCCCAGCGTCGTCCTGAGGCTGGCCTTGAGTCCCCGGCCAGTGGATCAGGTACAGATCCAGGTAATCAGAGTCTAGCTGTTGCAAGCTGTGGAGGCAAGCCTTGTGGGCAGCTTCCTCTCCGTGGTCTCTCGGGCTCAGCTTGCTGGTCAGAAAAACGTCCTCGCGAGCAAGATGGTGGCGAGGCAGCAAATCCTTCAGGGCCCGCCCGAGCGCAGCTTCGTTGCCGTAGACGGCAGCCGTGTCCACCAAGCGGTAGCCGTTCTCCAGGGCCGCATCCAGGCTGGCCCAGACGGCCTCGTCCCCCTTGAGACGAAAGGTGCCGAGGCCCAGAAGTGGCATGGGGGCGCCGGTGTTTAACCAGACGGTCCGTTCTGGGACCCTAAAAGAGAATTGGATACTCGTGTGTGCTGTACAGGCTGGTCCTTAATCCTCAGCTCTACACAGTTCTTGAACGGTAAGAATTCATTTAGTGGCCAAAGTTACAGATGAAAAAAGTGACTTAGGACCGTTTTTCACACTCACGACCGTTGCAGGATCTCATGATTGAAATTCAGACACTTAGCAACTGACTCGTATTGAGGACGGTCGCAGTGTCCCCGGGATCTTGTGATCCCCTTTTGCGACCTTCTGACAAGTTAATGGGGAAGATGGATTCACTTAACAACCGGGGGACCAATATAACTATTTGCTGCGATTCATTTAACCGCGGTGGCCCGGGAGGCCGTAAAAGAAGGCAAACATTTATTTCACCACTGTCTTGCTTAGCGACAGAAATCCGGGGCTCCAGAGTGTGACTGTGCGAGGAGGACTGCCTGAATGCATTGCACAACTCACTGCGGGAAAGGGGGGAGGGGAAAAACCACACACAACACTGGCCATTCCTTTACACAGTCACACTGGGAGGCACATGGGTGCATTTGGATTCCCGAGGTATTTTTCAGCCTGACTTTGGGATCACCAGATGGTGCCCCATCCGAGCAGGGCTCAGATGTGGCTGCAGCTTTTTCAAAACTGGATTAAATGACAGGAAGGCCGAAGCCAAATCTCCAAGTCCCTTCGGCTTTGATGGGGTTGCGCAACGCCATGTACACAGGTCACACTTTCCAATGGGCAGCAAGGAGCCCTCTAGCGGCTCCTTTGCGCCATGCACCCTGCAGGTAGCTGAAACGTCCGCCCTCTAGCGGCTGGCTTTTACTACTGCACCCCTTCCAGCAGCCGCTTTGCAGAGGAACCCCTTTTAGGAAAAAGAATTGCAAGCTTTCGGGAACTGCAGCACGTTTCGTCACTGCAAAAACAAAGAGGGGAGGGGGCGCTGCAAAGGACTTCAAAACGTCCTGCTCTCTTGGGGGGGGGGGAGAAGCATTGCATTAGGAAAGGAAGCGCTGCTTCTCACGAGCCAAGGGGCTTTGCAAGGGGCTGGGCCACGATCAAAAGCCCCCCTTTTGGGGGCGCCGTTTTGCAACCCCAGGGGACCCCCCACCCCCACTTTAGGCCGGTTTGGACGTGGGTTTCGCCGGCCCAGCACGCAATCCTAAGCATGGCTTAGCTAGCAAGCTGGGTTTAAGCCAGCATTAAACCCAAACTGGGCCTTGCTTTTTTTTCTTTTTTGCAGACCCGCTATAGCCTGCCTCCTTCCCTCTTTATTTTGAAAAAAAGGGGGCGAGAAGACCCCCGCCCACAGCCCGCCCCCGGCTTACCAAGACACAGGAAGGGCCCGCTCGGTTGACTGCATGGCTGATCAACAAGGGGAGGAGGCGGGACCAGAGCCCGGATGAGAGGCGGGGCGGCCGCCCAATCGGCGCTAGAGGAAGAGAAGGAGAACCCGGGAAAAGGGAAGGAATTTAAAAAGAGAGAGAGAAGAGAGGGAGGGGTGAGAGAGAGAAGAGAAGCTAGCAAGAAGAGAGAGAGAGAGAAAAGAGGAGAGAAAGAGAAAAGAGAGAGGAGAGAGAAGTGAAAAGAGAGAGAGGAAAAAAAAGAGAAGAAAGAGAGAGAAAAGAGAGAGAGAAAGAGGGACCTCTCGTGTGGACTTAAGTTTCCATCGCTCACAGCCAGCGCTGGGTGGGCAACATGAGATTTGTAGTCAGTCCACAGACACACCCACCTCCCAATCAATCAGTCCGGATTGGGGTTGCCTTCAATTCGGGGTGTTCTCTGCACGTACAAATACACGGAGTGTTACAAAAGTCACCATTAACCTGGTTCACACCTGTCTTTTTTTTTTTTACATATAAATGATCCTCCACTTACGAATGATAAAGTGGAATTAGAATAAGAATAGAATAGAGAATACAGAGAATAGAATAGATTCTATTCTATATTCTATTATACTGTTTTCTATTCTATTCTATATTATATATTCTACTCTATTCTATTCCTGTATTATATATTATATATTCTATTTAGATAGAATATATAATACAGGAATAGAATAGAATAGAATATAGAATAGAATAGAATAGAATAGAATAGAATAGAATAGAAAATAGAATAGAATAGAATAGAATAGAAAATAGAATAGAATAGAAAATAGAATAGAATAGAATAGAATAGAATAGAATAGAAAATAGAATAGAATAGAAAATAGAATAGAATAGAAAATAGAATAGAATAGAAAATAGAATAGAATAGAATAGAATAGAATAGAATAGAATAGAAAATAGAATAGAATAGGAGAAAGTAAAGATGTTTTTCAGATAGCTTTCATTGCAAAACTGAGTTTTGTTTTCCATTCTGTGGCTTCTCTTTCCAAAGAAATTTCTCCTTCACTACTTCCTGTAATAAACCCTCATCTGCCTCAGTCTGCTTCAGTCATCCTGGATGCTGCCAGACATCTCTGCTGCCCCCAGGAACCTGGACAAACGACCGCTGGTCCAGAGTCCTCGGTGTGCAGGTTTGTGACCATCTCCATCTGTCGCTTTGCCACTCGGCCCTCGCTGCAGAACTCAACGAATTGGGTTCAGTTTAGAGGGGATTTGTAGATGGGGATGGTAACAAACTATCAGAGTTGGAAGGGACTTTGAAGGTCATCTAGGCCAACCCCCTATTCAAGCAGGAAGTCCTATAGCATTCCAGACAAATGGCTGCCCAATCTATAACAAGGTAGTTATAGCTGGCTTGTGTGTAGTCATAAATCAAGAATTATCTGCCTCTAGCTTAACAAGCCACCATTTGGGATAGAGTCCCAAGCATTTCTGCTTCTTCACTGTCAGCTGCAGCTCTTTTGCATTTCCGCACCCCAAACTTCTCTTGCATTTCCGCACCCCAAACCCCTCTTCCATTTCCGCACCCCAAAACCTCTCTTCCATTTCTGCACCCAGAATCCTGCATTTCCCAGTTCAGTCCTCGCGTAATTATTTTCCATCCTGACTCCCATGATTAAACTTCAATCACAACCGTCTCCCTAGAGCCACGCCAAGAAAGCTCAATAAAAAACACACCCTTGACAGCCGCCGGGAGAGTTGGCTGATCAGTCCAAATATTTTTGGTCCAAATTTCCATTTCTTGCCAATAAAAAAAGAACCAGCTTCAAACCGGGGGGGGGGGACTTTGCTAGATAGGAAAAAGCACCGCTTCGCGGGCAGAGGAGAGTAGCGCGGGATGGCCGGCAGGGGGCGCCAGACGCCGCTTTTGGGGGGGCGAGAAAAGCAGCTTTTGGGGGTGAAAATCGACGCGCAATACCGGCTCGGCTTACACGCTTGAGACGAAGAGTGCGGAAAAAAAAAAAAAAAGACACGGATCTTCTTTTTCATCACTTCCCCTTTTTTTTGGTTATTGTCCTGATCCCACCAGCTGGGGGGGGAAACCTGACTAATGAGGGGTCGAGCTCCTAGCCTGCGGGGGGGCTTCTTCCAGGCACCCCCCACCCGAAAAAGCCCCTTCCCCAATTCGGCTATAGAGGAGTAGAGTTCTCCGTTTTTGCTTAAGTCCCGTTTCCACTGGATCGGAAGCGTGGAAAGTGGTTTTGCTGGACCAGGTCGTTTCTTACCCCCCCCTCTTCTAGATAGGCAGTGGGGGGGGAGTCCCAGCTGTCAGGGAAGGGGGGAGCCGGACCCCCCTCCCTCCCCCCCCAATGTCTCTGTCTCTGCTGGCCTCTCCGTGCCAAGATTTGGGGGGCTGGAAGGGGGAGGGGAGAGGAGGACCGGGGGGGCAACTTCTTCTTCAGCTGCACCCTCTCGCCCTCCCCCCCTCAAATCCCAAGCCCCCCAGTGGGTTTTTTTTCTTTGCAGTTGCAAAAATGGACAACAGATGCAATGCACTTGGGGGGGGGGCTTGGGATTTGAGGGGGTGAGGGAGGGAGGGCGAGGGGGTGTAGCTGAAGGAGAAGTTGGCCTCCCAGCTTCCTCCTCCCCCCACCTCCGCCTTCCAGCCCCCCAAATCTTGGCACGGAGACGCCGGCACAGACGCCGACACCGCAGCCAGAAGCGAAGAATTCAAGCTGCGTGCGCGGAATGCAGAAGCCACCCCGGCGGCGAAGCGCCCCCTAGCGGCAGCCAAGCGGAATTTACAACGATGGGTTTTGGGGGAGGGGGAGAAAGAGCGGGGGGGGTGTTTCTCCCTCCTGCATCTTGATTCGTCCTCTGCTCCCTTCATCCTCATCGCCTGATAGAAAGAGAGGGTTCAAAAGAGTCTGGCTTTGGGGAGAGGGGGGGGGGAAGGAAGTACAGTAGCAGGGAGTTCCGCAGGCCCCATCTGCGCGCCAAGTTAGATCTTGATTCTTCCTTGAGGAGCGGGGGGGGATAGACGAAGCTCTCCCTCTACCACCCCTTCCTTGATGGGGGGGGGAGCGAGGAAAAACCTCTCCTCTCCTGCTCCCCTGCCTTTTGTAGCTCGCCTTTCCTCCGGTCTAAAGCGCTGGAGGCGGCGCACAAAAGTCGCCCTCCGGGCGCCCGCTTTCCCTCTCGCCGCAGCCCCGCTTCCCAGTCCGAAGCCCCAATCGAAACACCAAGCTTGCCGTTGGACTGAGCACAAGCCCCAGCAGCCCCGGCTGGCGGGCTAAAGGACTACAAGCCCCATTGTCCCCAGCCCAGGGAAGCAAAGGAACCAGGTGGCGTTGGCGCGCGCCGTTTGGCGACCCCATTCCACCCCCCGCAACCCCTTTTGCACAATCTCCAACCCGATCCGGGTCAGAGGCTTCGTGCGAATGCACGCCTCGCGCCGATCGGGTTAAAAGCACCGCGCGGATGCGGGGAAGCCGGTTTCTTTCCTTTATTCTCTCTCTCTCTCTCTCTCCTTCCCTCCCTACCTTCTGCCGTCTTTCCCGACGGGGTCTGTTGGGGGGGGGTGAGGTGAAGGCTGCTGCAAATTTAGCTCTCCCTCCTTCCATCGGGGGTGGGTAGGGGGCAGGCTGGGAGGGGCTGATGGATCCCGGGGTACCTGCCTGAAAGAGAGAAGGGGACGCAAGCTGGAAGCCACCAAAGCTTAGTTGATCGGGAGCAGCAGGATTCCCCCCCCTCTTTTTCGCCTCCCCCCCCCCGCTGTATTGCAGAAGCGGCGAGCGGTGCCCCCCTCTCCTTTTAACAAAGCTCTCGGGGTGGAGCGGCCAACCAGGCACAGATTGAGCATCTTCGGGGCCAGAAATCCAGCCGCTTTGCCAGCCTACATTGGCTGTATCACCCCCCCCCTTCTACGGCCCGCCGCTTGATCTATGGGATCCGTTCTTGCTTTGTAAGCAAAACCGGTGGGGGGGGGGCAGCGAGAGAGCGAAAGGAGAGCCGGAGGGGGGGGAAGAGAGAGAGAGAGAGAGAGAGAGAGAGAGAGAGAGAGAGAAGCAAAGCCACGCCAGGCAGCTAAAGCGAGAATTCATTGCAACGCGTCCCCCCCCCCGCCTCGGTCATTCAAGCTTTGCCTCCCCAGCTGGGCGAGGGGGCACCGATCCCTAGGGGGAAAGCGGCTAGACGACAGCCCCGCCACCCCACCCCACGGCCTCCGTCGCCTCTCTCCGACTCATCACCGCCAGGTAAGCAAATTAGGAAATTAAAAAAAAATAAGAAGTGCCGGGTGGCGGAAGGAAGGAAGGGAAGAGAAGGGAAGGAGAGAAGGAAGGGAAGGGAAGGAGAGAAGGAAGGAAGGAATGGAAGGGAAGGGAAGGAGAGAAGGAAGGAAGGAAGGAAGGAAGGAAGGAAGGAAGGAAGGAAGGAAGGAAGGAAGGAAGGAAGGAAAAAAAGCCAATTGCGGATGAATCCGCTTCAAAGGTGTCTTCCTCTTTCCTTCCCCCCCTCTACTTTTCCCAGCAGACCGAGAAAGTTGACGGATGAGCTGTTTGGGAGGGGGAACCCGCACTACAAATTTTAAAAGAAGGGGTGGGGGGGAACCGACCCCCACCGACAGGGAAAAGGAGATTTAACAGGAGCCAGGAAAGAAACAGACGATAAAACTCTGCATGAATGTCTCCAGTGAGGAGAAACGAAGTGGGGGGGGGACTATAGATAAAGGGGAGGCCAGGTGAAGCTTATTTTGGAGGTGGGGGCAGCCAAGAGGAGAAAAAAAACCCCAAGAGAAATTGACCCAGCCCAGAATAGGGGTATTAGGATGGAAGAGCTGGTTTGGGTTGGGGGGGGGGGCGTCCTCTCGCTGCCCCCTCCCAAATGTGGGTCACGCACCTCAGTCTCCACCCCCACACCCGGGAAGAAGTTTGAGGAGGGGGCACTGCAGATTTTTAGGCTGGGCTTTCCCATTGGAGGATTCCTTCCCCCCCCCATCACTTTTTTTGCAGTCAAAACAACTGCTAGGGTCAAAAGGATTCAAGTGGATATTTTTCCCCTGCAGGAGCACTAAAAGGTGTGTGTGTGTTTGTGTGATGCTGGACTCCTTCATGGGTTAGGGATGAGCAACAGGGTTTGAGAAAGAAGGACACCCCCCCCCCAGAAGGAAGTGGACCAAGGGGGAGAGCACCGCCTAGCACTACACCATGAATTAAACCATTCTCATTCCTTTGCCCAGCTGCTTTGCGGGACAAGCTGTGTGAGCACGGTGCCCAAGGGAAGGGCTAGTTGAGTATGAGGGTACGTGTGTGTGTGTGTGTGTGTGTGTGTGTGTGTGTGTGTGTGCACCTCCCTGCTCTATGGGCACCTGCCAGCGCACCACTCTGGGTGCTGCAGATCCAGCAGGCGTTGTGGGACGTTGGGGTTTGCAGCATAGCACATGTGGAACGACACAAACAAGCCGAGGCCGGACCGTGTAGCTTTGGGGGAATGGGGTGGGATGGCTGGAGTCCTTCCCCCCCACACACACCCCTAGCAGGTTGGGAGAAAACCCAGCCACACGTGTGCCCGCATAGATATGTGCAGGCACGTCCCGTGGACCGAGCGCCCGTGTTTTGAAACTGTACATGTGGGGCAGAACCCTGGCATCGAGGGCTGAGCCGGGCAAAGATGGGTCTGGGGTTTTGTGAGGATGCCACATGCTTGGGAGACGCTGGCGATGTGCCAGCCAGGAGCTCCCTTGGCTTGTGGCGGGGCTTCCCACCGAGCCAGTGGCTGGCACCGAATGGGTCTGTGGATCTCCAAGGAGCCTGGTCGAACTCGCATCCAAGAATGGAGAATCCTAGATGGTTTTATCCGGTGAGCCAGAGGGTGCCTGGGCATGCGAGGAGCGCCGAGGGCCAGGCCTTCTCCCTGGTACCAGTGTCTCCCCATCGGCTGCTTCAAGCTGGGATGTGCAGCTGGGCATCCCAGCGCAAGAGCCCTCTTGAGCACGTGCAAAGAGCAGCCCTTTGGAAGGGCCTGCGGCTCTTGGCGCAACCGCCAGGCAGCTCTGTCTGTGTGCCTGCGCATTTCCAGGTGCTTCTAAACCTCCCCCAGATTGCTCAGACCTGACGCTGATATGGGGTGGCCCCATGGCTGCTGGCCCCGTCTTCCCTATTCCAAACTAGACTTTTATTTTCCTTTGCAAGGCTCTGGCTGTCTCCACGTGTTCACTGCAGCAGTGTGCTGATGCTACAATGACACTTTCTTATTCTTGCCTTTAAAACCCGAGGCCGGCTTAGTAGAGAGGCTTAGAGCCTCAGCTGCAAAGAGAAGAGTGCCTTTTTTAAGAAAAAAAAGGGGGGGCTTAATGGGGTCAGTAAGGGGGGGGTGGAGATAGGGGGGAACAATCCAGGAGGCTGCTCAGGCAGAGGGGATATGGTGCCTGTAACTTTCAAGGCTGGCTTCTCCCGTGCTCTGTCAGGAGGAGCGTGGGAATTTGGGAACGGTTTAAAAGAGGACGGAAGAAATGCGTTTAAAATCACTCTGGTGGAGGCTGCAGATTTTTCCAAGAGCACAGCTCTGTGTGTGGGGGGGAAACTGGAGGGTTTGGGGTGCAGAAAAGTCCCTGCAGAAAAAGAAAATGCAGCAGGACTGGATTTATTATATGGCAGATTGCCACCCAGGGGCTGTTTTAGGACAGGGGATTGGAATTTGGCCCTTTTGCTCCCGGGAAGTGAAAAGGGTGGGGGGGTCTTCAGACCTCACGGCATCTACCTTCCTTTAAGAGACCAAATGCCTTTATGGATCTTCCGCAGTAGCTTTAGAAATCGGGTGAAGGGGAGAGACGGCTTTCAAAACTACGTACTACGTGGAGGAAGGTGTGAGTATTTAGGGGTAGTGCTGCTTCTCTGGACTGCCTCGAAGGGCTGGCATCAGCTAGGCGAGTCTGAAAGGACACGGCCACAAAATTAAGCCCCCCAACCTTTCTGTGGCCAAGCAAGACAGTCGTTAAAGGGAGCTTTTTCCTACCCTCTCTCTCTCTCCCCTGTTACTAAGTGAATCACTGCAGGTGTTTAGTTACTCAGTCGTTACGTGAACTGGGCTTCCCCTCTCACCTGACACACACACACCCCGGGACACACTGCAAGTGTCGTAAATAGGAATCGGTTGCCGAGCGTCTGATCCCGCCACCCCTGGGGATGCTGCAACAACGGTCGTAAGTGCGAAATACGGGTCATAGGTCACTTCGAAGGATTGCTTAAAAAATGGTTTTAAGTCGAGGACTATCTGTACCTCTTTCCCCACCCCCCAGTTTATACGGTGCAAAAAACTAGGGAGGGTTTATTTTGAGATGCTTCCTACACCCCATTGCTTCCACAGGCTAAGCTAATAATAATAATAACAACAACAACAATAATAATAGTAAAGTTGGAAGGGACCTCAGAGGTCATCTAGTCCATCCCCCTGCTCAGGCAGGAAACCCTACACCATTTCGGACAAATGGCTGTCCAGTCTCTTCTTAAAAACTTCCAGTGTTGGAGCATTTACTGCTTCTGGAGGCAGGTTGTTCCACTGATTAATTGTATAATAATAATAATAATAATGTTGGAAGGGACCTTGGAGATCATCTAGTCCAACCCCCTGCTCAGGCAGGAAACCCTATATACCATTTCAGACAAATGGCTGCCTCGTCTCTAAATGTTGCCTACTTCTGCAACATACTCCGCCTAGTAGTGTTTCTTTCGCCTCCCATGGAGAGTCTCACAGACCATTAGGCCAAACTGCCTCTTCAGAAGCACCCCACCATCTTGAGCTAGCCAGCTGCCCCCCCCCCGTACCCCCTATTCAGTTCCCACTTGGCTCCGTTCCTAACATGTGCAGAGGTGAGACTCACTCTGATGTTTACTACTCATAGTTCTCGACTTAATGGCAGTTTGCTTAGTGACTGTTCGAAGACTTACGGCTGTTTTTCACACTTACGGCTGTCGCGGCGTCCCCTGTGGTCACATGATCAAAATTCGGACGTTTGGCAACTGACTCACACTTAACAACGGTCGCAGCATTCCCGGGAGATCACGCGGATCCCCTTTTGCGACCGTCTGACCAGGAAAGTCAATGGATTCCCAGATTCCCTTCAAACCGTGTAACCTCACAACTGTGGCAGGAAAGGTCAAACGTTTGACCAATGTTTCACTTAGCGACACTAGGTATGAACGCCAACTGGGTGCATGGGCCAGTCCATCTCTCTCTCTAAGCCCAGCCCACCTCACAGAGTTGTTGTGGGCAAAATAAGAGGACCGGGTCTTTGGCATCTTTGCTATCTTGAGTTATTTTACAAATATTAATAATAAAGGCGGGATATGAATTAAACAAAGTTGGCCAACAATTGGGATTCCTTTTTCCAAAGCAACAAAATTCCAGAGACCTCAAAAAGCAGCCCTTTGAATCCCACACAGACCCATCCAGAGCCTAGTTGATCAAACGCAAGGCTGATTAATAATTAAACTAATATTTATTACCCAGATTTGGCACCCGGTGCTGGACAACTGTTGAGCTTAAAGAAATGGCCCAGCCAGAAGATTTACAATTTATAATTTACGGTCCAACCAATCTAATTTTTTTTTTTTTAATCCCCCTGCTCAGTTTTAACTCTTAATCTCTCGGAAGCAAATTTGCACGACTCCAATCGCAGGTCGCCTCTCCTGGAGTAAAACCAAGGGAACTGATACAGCTCGGAAAATAAAAATTTGTCCTCCTTAATCTGATTTTTTTATTTTTGGGAAGGTGAAGACGTGAATCCAATAGTCAACATTAAGAATCGCTAAAAGAATATTTGGCCTGTATTTGCAGAATTGGCAGGATGGATGCCAGAACAATCAAATGGCTTCGGCAGCACTTACTGTCTAATGAGAAAGGATGCACAGTGTTGACACAGGAAGGTTTTTGAGTATACAGAAATGCTGGGGTTAAAATTATAACTGCCAGCCTTGCCTTTCTGTAACCATCAGCTGGGGATGATGGGAACTAGAATCTGCAGTAGCCCAGGTGTGTTAAAATACCAATTATCGTAAAGGAATAATCAATCAATAGATAATTAGACCCTATGTACTAGATAAATAAACAATAATAAATAATAAATAGACAATGAATGGATAATAAGTAAATAATAAATAGAAAATGGACAATTCGCCACTAAATCAATAACCAATAGACAATAAATACTTAATAAATAGAAATCGATAATTAGATAAGTAAATAATAGAACTGATCATGAGATTCTGGATAAATAACCAAGAGAGGATCGATATTTAGATAAGTAAATAGAAATCAATGAGATACTAGATAAATAAATAACAATAATGAGACAAATAATAGAAATCGATAATGAGATACTAGATAAATAAATAACAAGTGATAATTAGACAAATAGCAAAGGGAAATCGATAAGGAGATCTTAGATAAATAAACCATTGATAATTAGATGATAAATAATAAAAATCAATAGATACTAGATGGACAATTAATAAAGAGTAGATAATAAAATAGTTGATAATAATTGATCAGTAAGTAATTGAATGACCTCTATAAAGGCCCTATGCTAAATAAATAGTCAACAAATTGTCATAAATAAACTCAGAGCTCTGGATTCTAAGAAAAGAGGGGAAACGCCCTTCTTTCGTCTGCGTGGTGGAAGTCGGGGGGAAAAACAGAGCGAAGCGGAGTGGCGGTTAATCTGAATTAATGATGGGCTGGTGGGGCTGGCTGAGAACATGTTTTTGCACTTCCATGTCCTCGTTGTGCGCTGGGAAAGAGGTGCCTTAATAGCTTAATTGCTCTGGCATCCTATTCCTGCCTCTACGCAGTAACGTCAAAAAACGGTGAGATTTTTATTTAGGTAAACATGATTGCTGCTGGGTGAATCCGTATACGGCTGTGAGGAAGAGGTTAACGTAAGGCAGCAATTTAAGACATCCGAGATTTACATTTTATTTCATTTATTTGCCTCCCTCTGATATGGTTCTACAATTAGCTCTAGGCGGCGAACGTAGACTGGAAGTTTTTAAGAAGAGATTGGATGCCATTTGTCTGAAATGGGGCATAGGGTTTCCTGCCTGAGCGGGGGTTGGACTAGATGACCTCTAAGGTCCCTTCCAACTCTGATATTCTATATCCAGCAAACTTTCATCCTCCTTTCCCCCCCCCAAAAAAACAATAACCCTGTGGGGTGGGTTGGACTGAGACAGAGAGACTGGTCCAAATTCACTCAGTTGGCTTTCATGGCTAAGGTGGGACTAGAACTCACCGTCTCCTGGTGATTGGTCCAAAGTCGCCCAGCTGGTTTTCATGCCTAAGGCGGGACTAGAACTCTCATTCCCCTGGTGATTGGCCCAAAGTCACCCAACTGGCTGTCATGTCTAAGGTGGGACTAGAATTCACCATCACCTGGTGATTGGCCTAAAGTCACCCAACTGGCTTTCATGCCTAAGGCAGGACTAGAATTCACCATCACCTGGTGATTGGCCTAAAGTCACCCAACTGGCTTTCATGCCTAAGGCGGCACTAGAACTCACCGTCTCCTGGTGATTGGCCCAAAGTTGCCCAACCAGCTATGGAAAAGATCCATATCAAAATCAAGATGCTTTAAAGTTCAGATTCCCCATCCTCCATCTCTGGTTTCGAAAGTACTTTAAGAGGGTTCCCTGGTACTAAAACCAGAGAGAGAATTCACACGTGCAAAAGCGAGTCTTAGCTTGCATTGTGCAGTTAGCCCATTGTTAAATTAGTCGGTTGTTAGGTGAATCCGCCCTCCCCATTGCTCGTCAGAAAGTCGCAAAAGGGGATCACCTGATCCCGGGAACCTGCAACCATCATAAATATGTACCAGTTGACAAGGATTTGAATTTTGATCCCGTGACCCTGGGGAGGCTGCAACGGTCCCAGGTGCGAAAAACGGTCGCAAGTCCCTGTTGCAACTTGGAACGGTCACTAAGCGAACTTTTGTAAATTGAGGGAGCCCAGTATATCCCTCCCCATGTCTCCTTACCTGCAAATCTGGGCCAGTTCAGAGTTCAGGAATGTAGCCAAGTGTTCCCCACTATCCAGTCAGAGCGGAAGTAGCTTCTGGGAGGAGAAGTGACACGTCTTCAAAGAAAAACGAGGTCCAGTTGGGATAAGTGAGACCTGGATGATGGAGAATCTCCAAGGATACAGCAAAACGTTCTTACGATGAACGGGCGTTAAGGGGAGGGAGTCTCTTTCTACGTGTGTCCCCTGTCCCGAGAGTTTTGCAGGAAGTTCTCGCCTCCAAGGTCACCTCCCCGAGAAGTTCTCACACTAGTTATTATTCAGCCGGAGTGTAATTATGGCCCTGATCAGGATGTGAGGCACACAATGGTTTGCATTGGCTGTCAAGAGGGCAGAGCAGAAAGGCAGCTTCAGGTCTAGATAAAGCTGACCGCCTTCCAAATTCTCCTGGACAACATCCAGGCGAGACTCTTCACGTTCCTGCAGGCAGAAGAAGCTTCAGTGGGGGAAGTTGCTGGTCTCCGTCCAAACACCGCTGGCAGAAAACCAGCCCCCTTGGGAAGCAGGCCTTACTCCCAAGTAGGCCGTTGCTCTCCTGTAGACGATTAGGATGCGTTTTCCAAGCAAGCTTGTGCGCCTCTACAGACGGAGAGTCCTCGGGTTCTGATCACAATTGGCAACCCGAGTGTATTTCTGATGGTTATAGTATCCTGGCATAATGCGATCCCCATCGGTGACTTTTCTAGGCAGCTTCCGACAACCAAAGTCAATGGGGGAAGTTGGGTTCGTTTAACGACTACACAACTTGCTTAACAACCATGAGAAAAAAAGTTGTAAAACAGTACGTGGCTCAGTTAACAACTGCCTCGCTTAGCAATAATTTGGGCTAGTGCTTAAGGCAGCAGGCTAGAAAGCCGGGCACTGTGTGTTCAAGTCCTGCGTTAGGCATGAAAACTAGCTGGGTGACTTTGAGCCAATTACCAGGAGATGGTGAGTTCTAGTAGTAGCTTAGGCATGAAAGCCAACTGGGTGACTTTGGGCCAATCGCCAGGAGACGGGTCATTGTAGTCCAATAAAGGTTACTCCAGGGCAGTGTTCCCCAAGTTCAACAACTATCAACGCTGCAAATATTGTATATTCTTGCTTTTGACAATATGTAGAATTGTCTGGTAATTATGGGGTTAATACAGAGCAGAAGGGGGGTCGGGGGTAAAGCCCTGGAAAGAAAGAGGAAGAAAACATTTGACCTTCACACTAATTGGGTAATATGAGATATGACAGCTAATTTAGGGAGGGAACATGCTGATAATTTAACTGCTCAGAGGAAGAGAACTTAGATCCTAGCATCCCTCTGTTGTGCCTGTGCCGACATTTTGTAACAATAAAAGACTTTTAGGAAAATAAATGCCTGGAAGTTCTTTGGAATGTTTTATTAGCCAGAACCACAACAACCACAACCTCAGCTCCCAGAATTCTCCACTCAGTGTGTTTTAAGATGGGTGGACCAACTCCCAGAATTCCAGTATGCCTGGCTGGGGAATTCTGGGAGTTGAAGTCCACCCATCTTAAAGTTGCCAAGGTTTGAGAAACACTGAAAGGATAACTTTGTGAGCCGTGTGGAGTGTTTGTCATTCATCTCCTGGTGGTCCTCAAAAGTCTCCACCAATGATCCCACCATGTCAAATCTTCTGAGAGGCCCAACTCTCCGTCCTGGTCTCTGTTATCCTTTCTTTCCTCTCTTCCCAGAGTCACCTTCTCTATCATGTCTCCGCTGAAGACCTCGCTCCTGTTCTTGGCAATCTTCCTCCCGTCGCTGCTTGCTACAGTGGACGACGCCTTGGGCCCACCCAGGATTGGGTCATCTACTCCAGATGATGGCAACCGTAGCGCCAAATGTCAGGAAAACACCGAGTGCCAGGAAGGTGTGATCTTACCTGTGTGGCTCCCTCAGAATCCTTCCGTCGGAGATAAGGTGGCCCGGGCCATCGTTTACTTTGTGGCCCTCATCTATATGTTCCTGGGCATGTCCATCATTGCCGACCGCTTCATGGCCTCCATCGAAGTGATCACCTCACAGGAAAAAGAGATCACCATTAAGAAACCCAACGGGGAGACCACCACCACCACCATCCGCATCTGGAACGAGACGGTCTCCAACCTCACCTTAATGGCCCTGGGGTCCTCTGCCCCCGAGATCCTCCTTTCCATCATTGAGATCGTGGGTCACGGCTTTCAAGCAGGCGACATGGGTCCCAGCACCATCGTGGGCAGCGCCGCTTTTAACATGTTCATCATCATCGCCATCTGCATCCACGTGGTCCCTCAAGGGGAGATACGGCGCATCAAACATTTGCGGGTATTCTTCGTCACGGCGGCCTGGAGCATCTTTGCTTACATCTGGTTATATCTTATCCTGGCCTGGTTCTCTCCCGGCGAGGTAGAACTATGGGAAGGTCTTCTCACCTTCCTGTTTTTCCCAGTCTGTGTACTCCAGGCTTGGGTGGCTGACCGAAGACTCCTCTTCTACAAATACGTCCACAAAAAGTACCGGGCCGATAAATCGCGGGGTCTCATCATTGAGAGCGAGGGCGAAGTCGGTTACCCGAAAATGGACATCGAGATGGATAATTCGCTAAAGGAAGGCTCTGAAGGTCTGGGGGATACGGGTAAGGATCAAGACGAGGAGGCCCGCCGGGATATGGCTCGGACCTTGCGGGATCTGAAACAAAAGCATCCCGAAAAGGACATGGAACAACTGATCGAAATGGCCAACTATCACGTACTCGTTCAGCAGCAGAAGAGCCGAGCTTTCTACCGCATCCAGGCGACTCGTATGATGATCGGAGCAGGGAACATCCTCAAGAAACACGCGGCCGATCAGGCCCGCAAAGCCATCAGCATGCAGGAGGTCCAGACAGAGGAAGACGAGTCGGTGACAAAAGTCGGCTTCGAGCCAGCCCATTATCAGTGCTTCGAGAACTGTGGTTCGGTGGTCCTGACCGTGGTCCGCCGAGGAGGGGACCTGGCCTGCGTCACTGTGCGAGTGGACTTCCGTACAGAGGACGGAACGGCGAACGCCGGTTCCGACTACGAATTTGCAGAGGGGACCCTGCTCTTCAAGCCGGGAGAGACACACAAGGAACTGCGGGTGGGGATCATTGACGACGATATTTTTGAAGAGGACGAGTATTTTTACGTCCATCTCAGCAACGTCAGGGCCACCTGGGCCGAGCCGGGTCTGGAGCCTCCTCCGAAAGCTTGTCTTGCACCTTCCAAGATGGCCACCGTGACGATCTTCGACGATGACCACGCGGGTATCTTTACCTTTGAGGGACCCTCCATGCGAGTGAGCGAAAGCGTAGGCGTGGTGCACATCAAAGTGTTGCGGACTTCGGGGGCCCGCGGGCGAGTGGCCATCCCCTACCACACCATCGAGGGCACGGCAAAAGCTGGGGAGGATTACGAGGAAGTCGCTGGCAAAGTGGAATTTCAGAACGACGAGACGGTGTAAGAGCACGGTGTGGGGAGCCTGATGGAAAAGGGTGGGGAGGGGAGGGAAGGACGGTGAATGTGTGGGGAAGGAGGGAGAATGGGTATGGACACAGGTGGTCCTCGACTTATTTCACTTATTTCTAAAATTTGTTTGCTACCCGTCTTTTTTCAAAAAAAGTTTGAAAAAATATTAAAACCGTGACTCGTCAAAAGACAGCGGGTAGAAAGGTGAACGAATGACTTACAATCACCGTTGGCTCCAAAGCTTCCATTGCTAAGCGAGGCAGGGGTGAAGTGATTTGGCGCCTCATTTTATGATCCCTTTTAACCATGGTTGTAAAGCAAATCCTTGCAGTTCTTAAGTGAATCGTGGTCGCTAAGCAAATCTGGCTTCGTGGGAAGCTGGCTGGGAAAGTTGCAAGTGGTAATCAGGTCCACGCATGGCAAATACATGCTGCTTGCAACCACCCCGATTTTGGCCACAGGACCCTTGTGATGTGGCGACAGTTGTAAGTGCGAGGACTGATCCTAGGATCACTTTTTTCAGGGCTGGGGTAACTTTGGATCATTCAGGGGTAGGCAACCTTGGCTCTTTTATGACTCGTGGACTTCAACTCCCAGAATTCCTAAGCCAGCATGGCTCAGCTTGGAAACCTCTCCCTTTCCCCTCAGCATGGCTGGCTCAGGAATTCTGGGAGTTGAAGTCCACGAGTCATAAAAGAGCCAAGGTAGCCTACCCCTGAGCTAGTCACACGGTTGTTAAGTGAATCTGGCTTCCCCATTGGTTTGGCTTGCCAGAAGGTCCCCAAAGAGGATCACATGACCCATCTCCCCTCCCTGGGAAACCATCACCTTTTTCCAGGGATGTTATAACTTTGGTTGCTAAATGAACTGTTATAAGTCAAGGACCCTGAAAAGGAAGAGATACAGCTTACAGCAGCTCACAACAAGGAGCGTGGCCTCCTTAGTGGTGGCGCCATAGTTGAGTTTCAGTGGCTTTTCTTTGTGGCTAAGATTTCTAAACCGCATCAAAACACAGACCAGAAATTACAAACACCATAATCCAATTCCCAAACAATTACAGGTTTTGTTTTCTTTTTCCCTAGTTCCTTTAGGAAGGTCTTAAATATCAGACACATCCCCGCTTCCGTGCTTCAAATTGCTCCATTTTTATCTCCGCTCAGAGCATTAGTGGTTTGCTATTAAAATTTTCCAGCTTTCGGTACACCGTTTGTCAGATTTAACTGTTTTTAATTTGTTTTAATGTGTTTTTCCGGCAGGAAAGAGTCAGCTACTATGGGAATTAGGTGGTGGTAGATGATAAATGTTTATAATAATCCAGAAAAGATATAAGCCACAGGAGCAGGGCAGCCACGGATCTGTTTTTGCTACGTTTTGGTACAAAATGTTCGGGTTTTTATTTTTATTATTATTTTATAGCGCAAACTCCAAAAACTTCTGTGCACCTTTAAAAAACTGTTTTCCAGTTTTACTTCCTTTTTTCAAGATGGCGAACAAAGCATTTTTTTAAAAAAAATATCAGGAAATAGGCAGGTTTATGTTCACGTAATGACTATGGTGCCTCTCGTTCTCCCCAGTCCAGCCCACCTCACAGGGCTGTTGTGGAAAAACTTTAGGAGAGAAAAACGAAGATTAAAAAAAAAACACAGGAAAGAATTAGACTTCATGCTTACGACCACAACGGGGGCCAGAATTTTTATTGCTAAGCAAGGCGGTTGTTAAGCAAGTGGCACCCAAATTTATAACCTTTTCTGCCACAGCTGTTAAACGAATTGCTGCAGATGTTCAGGGCCTTGCAGATTTTGCAGACTGCATTAAAACATGGCTCACCCAGGTGTTGCTTCGTTTTATTGCTATTTCTGACAACAGCTTCTCTACTGCTGAATTGTATTGACCCTCTGTGGCTTACAGGATCATAAAACAGCCATAAAATCAACATACATCATTCGTAATCAAATAATATTTAAAAAGAACAAGTACAGGTAGTCCTCAGTTACAGGCTGCCTGGTGCAAGAATCAGATAGATAGATAGATAGATAGATAGATAGACAGACAGACAGACAGACAGACAGACAGACAGACAGATAGATAGATAGATATAGATAGATAAAGAGATGATATAGATAGATGATTGAAAGGATAGATAGATGAGATGAGATGAGATGAGATAGACAAACAGACAGACAGATAGATGGTGGATGGATGGATGGATGGATGGACAGACGGACGGATACATAGACATACAGATAGATGGATAGATAGATGGGTGGATGGATAGATAGATGGATTAGGACATAGATTGTTAGAGGAATGGATAGATGGATTAAGATATAAATAGATAGATAGTTGGATTGATGGATGCCTAGATAGAGATAAATAGATAACGTGGATGGACAGACCAACAGGTGATGGATGGATTTAATAGACAGACAAACAGACAGGCTGGTTGGCAGGCAGACAGACAGTCAGACATAGAATGATTGAGATAGATTGAGAGAGAATGAGATAGATGGAATAGATATATAGATGAGATGAGATAGAAATAGAGATGAGATAGAGAGATCATATATATATATATGTGTGAGAGAGACAGAGACAGAGAGAGACAGAGAGAGAAGCAGGATGAGGTAGGTAGAATGAGATAGGTTGAAAGATTAAATATAGAATGAAATAGATTGATAGAATGATAGAGATTGGATGAGATTGATATGTAGAATGAGAGAGAGAATGAAAGAGAATCTCTTTATTAAGATCATGTTTTGTGTTGACACTATAGTCTGCTATTAAAAGTATGCAAGGGGGTCCCAAGAGTTAGTTCAATCCATGGCACTTTACCCACGCTCAGGGGTACCATGGTTTCATGCTAAAAACACAACCGTTCCAGCAGCAGAAGGGCTGGGGGGGGAGGGGAGGGCTTGGAGAGGCATCTCCCCATCTCAAACCATTTTCCACCCTGGCTCCCTTCAACTCAGCCAGCTTCTCCACCCCTCCAGCCTCTGACACATGGCATTAATGTCTGGAAACATTTAATCTTCCCTCTATCAAGCATCTCCTCGCATAGCCTCCCCATTTGACAGGCATTGACCTATTTGGCGAGAGCGGGGAGGGAGGGGACACTGGGTCAACAGGAGGGTGTGAAAACACGGGGAGGGGGAGACCCACAAGCCGGCCCAGAACGAAGAGGGGACGGCATGAAACACGGCCACCCTGGCATGTGGGGAGGGTGCCACGCAGAGCGAGAGGAAGGTGCCAGACACGACTGAGGAGGCGCAGAAAGTTTGAAGCTAGCAACAGGCCCATCCATCCAAAATAACCCAGCGTTTTTTCTCCTTTAACCCAGTTTGGGTTTCTTTCGGCAGACCGGAATGAAACCCTGTAAGTTTTCTGTATCTGTTGATCACGTTTGTGAGAGAAAAAAAATCATAAGGACCGGAGAAAGAAATATAAAGTAATAGCTGAAAAAAATGTTCTTTCTGTGGTCCGGGCTGAAAGTCACAAAGCTGAACTTTGTGACTTTCCTCGACTTTGATGTGCAGGCAGTCCTGGACTTACAACCATTCGCTTCTTGACTGTTCCAAGTTACAACGGCCCTGAAAAAAATTACTTAGGGCCATTTTCACAGTTACGACTTTGGCCGTATCCCCACGGTCTCGTGATCAAAATTCAGACGCTCGGCAACTGGTTTGTACGCATGACGGTTGCAACGTCCCGGGATACCGTGATTCCCTTCCCCCCACCTTGTGACGTGCAAAGTCCAAGGGGGAAGCCGTTTAACAACTGCGTGGCTAAGTTAGCAATGGCAGTGATTCGCATGGCGAGAAAGATGGTGCAATGGGGCAAAGTTTAACTGTCTCGCTTAGTCCCAGAAATGTTCGGCTCCATTGTGGTTGTAAGCCAAAGACTACCTTAACAATCTATCAAAGTGGTCTAGTTGCACGGATTTCCCCCCCCCATCCCCTGCGCCTCTAGTCTTATCTATAAGCTGATTTTCGAACTGATTTTCCTGAGGTTTTGGCAGTGCAGAGAGATTGAATAGGGCAGCTGTCACTGGGGGTCCTGGCTATAAATCCCTTGCCTATCTTAATTCTCTTGGGCTATCCATCTTTTTTTTTTTTTTCTTGCTCATCCTGTTCATTGAAAAGGACCTCAAGGACAAATACATCTGCCTTGTCCTCTTTCCGAAGCCTGGCGGTCAAATGGCTGCCAACAGATGTTCCACCCCTGGGAAGCGGAGTAAAGTTTTGTGGCCTCTGGAGAAAGTGAAAAAAAAATAAAAATAAAATCAGAAACGGTTTTCTTCACATGATCCGGAGGCCACGAGTGGAAAAATGGCAGAGAAAATATTATCAGCGCCGAGTTGTGGGTTTGTTTATAACTGCCGGGGAACATTCAAGTGGTCCTCAACTTAGGACAGCTGTAAGGGTGAGGACTAGCCATAAGTCACCTTTTTTTCAGTGCCGTTGTAACTTCGAATGACGGCTAAACAAAAAGGTTGTAAGTCCAGGAGTATTTGTAGTTTGGCATGCTGAGCCAAAAAAATGGGGTTTCTAAGACTTCACGAATTCTTTGTTGTTGTGTCAAAGTTGCTTTTATCAGCGCTGGAAAAGCTTTGTAGACCCCGTTTTTTTTTTTTCCCAGAAAGTTGGAAAACTGAGAAGCAATTTTTTTTTTTTAAAAAAAGAAAGTTGCAAACATTTTAAAGTGTTTGTCCTGCCTACCTTTGACGACGTTGAAGTTTTACTTTGAACTGGTTTTTCTCTCTCTCTCTCTCTTTCTCTCTCTCTTAGAAGATACATCGAGATTAAAATTATTGACGATGAGGAGTATGAAAAAAACAAGAATTTTCACCTGGAATTGGGACCCCCAGTCATCTTGGACATTGGAGTCCGGCACGGTAAGGATAGGAAGACAAAAAGGGAAAGGAATAGAAGCCTCAGAAATGTATTTATCTCAGTAAAGAAAAATGTCAATAAGATTTGTAACAAGTTGAAAGTCGTCAGATAAATGCCTGGCTCTCCAGACATGACAAACTACAAGCCCCAGAATCCCTTGCAGTCTTTTCAGCAATTTGGGGAGGATCACAGGGTCCCAACTGATAGTTTAGGATTCTCACCTGGTGGGAGGGTTGGAGATGTGGGGTCCAGAAGCAAATCCAGCCATGAGAAAAAAGCTTCGTCTCCAGAATTCTCCACTTTTTACTCCAAGCCCATGTTTTCAACCTGCGCCACTTGAAGAGGGGTGAACTTCAACTCCCAGAATTCCCCAGCCAGTATAGTTGGGGTCCTTGGTGCCATCTGAGCTTGGTGGTTTTCTTGCAGACGTTTCATTACCAACTAGTTAAGATCATCAGTGCTAGAAGGGAATGGGGTGTGCGGAAAAGAGGAGGAGGAGGAGTCCTACAAATTTAGGCCCCAACTTCTTAGAGGGCTGCAAGGATTGTAAGTATTGTAAATATTTTGTAGATAGAAGCACGAAGCCGAAAACACCAGCCTAAAGATGACGAATGAGACTTCGTCGAAACGTCGCCAAGACACTTCCAATTTGACGCGGGAGAAAACCCGAATAACTAAAGACCCAGATAGATAGATAGATAGATAGATAGATAGATAGATAGATAGATAGATAGATAGATAGATAGATAGATAGATAGATAGGGATAGATGGATGATAGATAGATAGATAGATAGATAGATAGATAGATAGATAGATAGATAGATAGATAGATAGATAGATAGAAAGATAGATAGGGATGGATGATAGATAGATAGATAGAGGAGAAGGAGGAGACTGTGGGGTCCTTGGTGCTCTCAAACCTTAGTTGTTTTCTTGCAGACATTTCATTACCCAACTAGGTAACACCATCAGTGTTAGAAAGGGAGTGGACTTTATAAACAGCACAAACCCCACTCCCTTTTAGCATAGCTGGCTGAGGAATTCTGGGAGCTGAAGTCCACAAGTCTTAAAAGTTGTCAAGGTTGCAGACCCCTGGCCTAGGCCCCTCCATCACCCATCTGCTTTCCCCCCATCCCATCCTAGGTGACACCAACGAGAATCAACTGCCTGCAGGGGAGGAGGAAAAAATTGCTAAGATGGGGTACCCCAGTTTGGGAGAAAACGCCAAACTTGAAGTCATTATCGAAGAGTCTTACGAGTTCAAGGTAAATAAGAGACTTTCTCTTTCCCTCACCCAAACCTTTTCATGTCTTCTTCGGAGTCCGTCCATCCCCAGTTCGCTTCTGTTTCAAATTCAGGTAGTCCTCGCCTTACAACCGTTCATTTAGTGACTCTTTGACATTTCAACGGCACTGAAAAAAAGTGACCCAGGACCATTTTTCACCCTTACGACTGTGTGAAAGCAGGATCCCCCCCAGGTTCACGTGATCCAGATTCAAACCCTTGGCAATTTATTTGTATTTATGACCGTCAACGTTATCACGGAGGAAGCCAGATTCCCTTCACACACGTGTGACCGACTTGAGAGCTGCGGCGATTCCCTTAACGGCCGTGGCGAGAAAGGTCGTAAAGTGGGGCAAAACTGACTTAACAGCTGTCTCACTTAGCAACATACATTTTGGGTTCAGCGGTGGCTGTAAATCGAGGACTACCTGTATTTTTTTTTAAAACCTCCCTCTTGTAGTCCAGGCTGGGCTGTGCTCAGTGAGCTTCCATCGGGGGCGACACCAAAGGGAAAAAAATCATCTTTAGATTGCTATGGGGGGGAGGGAAGGAAGGGAGCCCCCCCCTTTCCCCCATTTCACTTCTACCAACCTCTTCCCCTCCAGAGCACTGTGGACAAATTAATCAAGAAAACTAACCTGGCTCTCGTGGTGGGAAGCAGCAGCTGGAGGGAGCAATTTGTAAGCGCCGTGACGGTCAGTGCCGGTAAGGGAACTGAATTGAATTAAATCGAATTGAGCTGAACTGAATCTAACTGAATTGAATTGAATCGAATTGAATTGAATCTAGTTGAATCAATCAAATCGAATCAATCGAATTGAATTGAACTGGATCTAGTTCTGAATTGAACTGAATCGAATTGAATCAAATTGAGTTGAATTGAATAGAATCAAATTGAAGCTAACTGAATTGAATTGAATTGAATCTAGCTGAATCGAATTGAATCTAATTGAACCGAATCGAATTGAATCAAATTGAACTGAATCTAGTTGAATTGAATTGAATCTAATTGAATCGAATTTAGTTGAATTGAATTTAATTGAGATGAATTGAATCAAACTGAATCGAATCGAATTGAATCTAGTTGAATTGAACTGAATCCAGTTGAACTGAATTGAATCTAATTGAATACTTTATTTGGGGAAGTGTGATTCAGCGCACAAGGAGGCTTTTAAAAAGAGACCGGGTGGCCATCCATGGATCAGAAATAGTATCAGTCTCCCGCAAGAGCGGGGGGTTGGACTGGATGACCTCCCAAGGTCCCTTCCAACTCGGCCGCTGTTCCTGAGAGAGGCTGAATCCCTGTTTTGAATGACCCCCCCGACAGGTGACGACGAGGATGAAGACTCGGGCGAGGACCGCCTCCCTTCCTGCTTCGATTACATCATGCACTTCCTCACCGTCTTCTGGAAAGTTCTTTTCGCCTTTGTACCGCCCACCGAGTACTGGTGCGGCTGGGCCTGCTTCCTGGTCTCCATCTGCCTCATCGGGGTGCTGACGGCCCTCACCGGGGACCTGGCCTCTCACTTCGGCTGCACCATCGGCCTCAAGGACTCGGTCACCGCGGTGGTGTTCGTGGCGCTGGGGACCTCCGTGCCCGGTCAGTGACGGGTGGCAGAGAAGATCTCTCTCTCACACACAAACACATACACACAACAACACACAGAGTGGGTCGTGGGGATGGCTGGGCATTCTTCGGTGAGGAATCTGACCTGGGTTCCTGGAATACCGTCCTCAACTTATAACCACTCTTTAGTGACCGTTTGAAGTTTGCAACGGCACGGCAAAAAGTCCACAGGTATCTTAAAGTTGTTGCGTTTGACAAACACTGGTGGAATCAATGGCCAGGAATTCAGCACCATGGACAAAGGCACATTTCTCCCTGCCTTCCATGGGCGCCCCTGGAGCAATGATGGGGATCCCCAACTTTTTAAGAAGTTACCCCAAAGGAAAGATTTAAAGATTTCAATGCATGTGCTTGGGTGAAGAGTGGGGGCCCCCCAAACTAAGTTTAGTTTAATTGACCCACCCATACTAGTAGTCCTTGACTTAATGACCATTTGTTTAGTGACTGCTCAGAGATAATAATAATAATAATGATGATGATGATGATGATGAAGAAGAAGAAAAGGAAGAAGAAAAGGAAGAAGAAGAAGAAGAAGTAGTTGTTGTTGGAAGGGACCTTGGAGGTCATCTAGTCCAACCCCCTGCTCCCAATTGTGTTCATAAGTCGAGGACTAGGAGTTAAGTTGGGCTCTGCAGGCTGAACGAAACGCAGCCTCTTTGCACCTTTAACAAAATAAAAAGAAAACAGAAATTGAATTGCCCCAGAGAATTAGCAGTTAGACCGCTCCGTTGTGCAGAGGCTCTCTTAAAATAATCACTGGTGTCCCCAGATACACCCCCTGCGCACCAGTGCTTTGACAGCCCCCCCCCCCCCTTCAAGAGCAAATCCTAAATTTGCTTTTGCTATTTTTAAGGCATCTTGACTCACTGGAAGGCAACATCAGGACTCGTGGCTGAGAGAGCCGAAAAGTCAACCGGCTAAACACGCAGCTGACAAAAACTCAACGAGACGTAGAAGCGGCTGGGTGAATTTTAAAGCAGGCTTGTGCAAAACGCCCTTTCGCTGAACCGACAACAGGAAAACACAATCCTTGCAATTAAAACCAAACAAACAAAAAAAAAACCCAAGTCCCCGAATCTTTTTTAAGCTGATAGCAATAAGATCACATCTCCGAATCGGTGAGCGGTGACGTGCAAATGTTCACTTGCTCGCCTCTGCCAACTCGTCGTTCCCCCCCCCCCCCGAATTCTGATCAGTGACTGGGAAGTTTGTGCTCTGTTATTAGGGCAAACCCACTCATTCCCCCAAAAAGAAGATTTGGGAGTTAAATCCCTTTTTGGAAAAAGCTGGGCTGAAGAGCTTGGGTGGCTTTGCGCCAGCTGAGCTGCAAGCGTCTCTTGCTGGACCTCAAGTGCTTTCCAGAGACGCCAAGCAGCCACTAGTATTGGCTAAATTGCCCGATATAATTGAGATCAAAAGGCTGGAGAGCTTGTTTAATTGAAGTGTTAATCAAAATCGGGCTGAGAATGCGGTCCTCTTGACAACGTCAAATAAATTCAACTTTATTTAGGAGGATTAAAATCCCTCGAAATAAATGGAAGGTTTTTTTTTTTCCCTAGACAAAGCTGATGCTTTTCCTAGAAGCCTTTTGTCAAAGACAGTTCCAAAATCCCTCCCCCCCCCAAACACACATCTTCCTATCCTGAAACAGATATAAAGTATAATCTTACCTCTTCAGAGGGGGCCGCACTACAACACCCATGTGCCCCAGCCTGTCTGGTTAAAGTTGAGGGGTGCTGGGAAACGAACTTCAGCCCCGATCTGGGTGGCTCCAGGCCAAATGCTTTGAGGATGCTCCAGATGCTGCTTCTTTGGGTTGAGAAGCTACAGGCCTGCTTAACAAATTGCTTCTAATGAGTAACATTTGCTCAATTAATCCAAGCCAAATCATGTTAGTTAATTGCTTGGCACTAACGTGAAACTGTGGCTTAATTTGTGGAGCTTGCGCAAAACTCTTTAACTGTGGTTTATACGATTATTCGTTTAGTGGCCTACGTTACGAGATTGCTGAAAAACGGCGGCTTGCAGCCAGTCCTCACACTTACGACCGTGGCAGCTTCCCCATGGTCATCTGATCAGCATTGGTGCATTGGCAACTGGCTTGTATTTATGACGGGGTCACGCGATAGCTATTTGCAACCTTCCTATCTGTCTTCTGACAATCAGAGTCGGTGGATCCACTTAGTGGCCAAAGCAAAAAAAGGTTACAAGATCGGATGGGTGATCTGATGACTTGTTTAACGACTGCATTGTTTAGCAATAGAGGTTCCGGTCCTCATTGTGGCTGTTAAATCAAGGATTAAGTTAAGTCAAGAAGCGTTTCTCAACGTTGGCCATTTTAAGACGGGTGGACTTCAACTCCCCAAGTTCCTCAGCTAGGGAATTCTGGGAGTTGAAGTCCACACACCCCTTAAAGCAGGCCAGCTGGGGAATTCCATCCAGCAGTGAATGGAAACTAATCAAGGAGAGAAGCAACGTGGAACTACCTGCCCCCAGAAGCGGTGAATGCTCCAACACTGGAGGTTTTTAAGAAGAGACTGGACAGCCATTTGTCCGAAATGGTATAGGGTTTTCTGCCTGAGCAGGGGGTTGGACTAGATGACCTCCAAGGTCCCTTCCAACTTTATTATTATTATTATTAACCTTGCTATCCTCCGCCCGGAAAAAAAGGTGTCCCTTTGCCCCTTGAATTCCAGACCAGTCCCACAAACCCACATTCGTGGCTTGTCTCACGTTGAGCATGCTGTCTGTCTCTTTTTCCAGATACCTTTGCCAGCAAGGTGGCTGCCATCCAAGACCAGTATGCCGACGCTTCCATTGGTAACGTGACGGGCAGCAACGCGGTGAATGTCTTTCTGGGCATTGGCGTGGCCTGGACCATCGCCGCCAGCTACTGGGCCAGCCAGGGGAAGCCCTTCAAGGTGCAGCCGGGCAGCCTGGCGTTCTCCGTCACCCTCTTCACCATCTTTGCCTTCATCAGCATCGCGGTGCTGCTGTACCGGCGCCGGCCTCCCGTGGGGGGAGAACTGGGTGGTCCCCGAACCCCAAAACTTCTAGCCACCCTGCTTTTCATTAGCCTCTGGCTGGTCTACATCCTGTTAGCGGCTTTGGAAGCCTATTGCCATATCGAGGGCTTCTGAAGCGGCGGGTTCGAATCGAGACGCTTCTTTGGGGGGGGGGGGGAGGAACGAATCCAGAAAGGACCTCACACCACTCGGAGAAGCCCTCCTGGTGGAAATATGCAGGATGCCTGCTCCACGCCCTTTTATTTTCCTCTCTCTCCATCCGTCTCGCCACTTCGGCGGCCGATTTGGGGCGTGCTCAAGTGTCCGTTTCAGCAGGGGCCAAGTGGGACACTTCCCTCCCACACACACACCCCTCAGTTTTGGAGCACCCCAAGTCACGAGTTCGAGATGGTGTCTTGGAGAAGAGTTGGGGGAAAGAGAACTTTTTGGGGAAAGCTAAGCCTGAATGAGGGGGTGGAAGAGATGGATTCGCTCCTGTCCAATTTCTCTGTTATTCCTGCATTAATTGAGCAGTTTGGACCTCGGGCGAAAGAAAGCACGCCTTTTGGGCCAATGCTGATGAATTTAAAAAAGGGGAGCAGGACACGTTATCTCTCTCCTCTACTCTGCCCCTCCTTCAAGCCACGGTTTAATGGAAGGAAGCTGGCTTGTACCTGGACATGAGGAGCGCCTTCCAAACCCAGGTTTTTGGAACAAAGGAACGGAATTTGCACAAAATGCTCTCCTCTTGGTCCCCCATCCATGATGGGGAGAAGGGAAGCGACCAGGCCAGGCTAAAAAAAGGGACAATCTCAAAACTGCCAATTTGTCTGAAGCACAGTCGTCTCTCTTAAAAGCCAACCTTTGCGCTCTTCCGGAAAACAGCACAAAACATCTCTCCAAACAGCCAAAAAAAAAAAAAAAGAAATAGTAACAGAAGAGTAGCTGCATTTCTTAGTATATAGCTTCCTCCCCCCCCCCCAGGGTTCTGCGTTTCTGTCGTCCATTTTGGGGTGGGACACTCTCTACGGAACCCCAATTTTTTATTTTTTAGCCTTGATTTTTACATGCCGGCCAAACCCAGACCCCTCCCCCCAGAGAGGACATTTATATTTTTGTGTGTCATTTCAAAACTGAGCCAAGGCGGAGGCAGTCCTCGACTTACGACTACTGTTGGGACTAGAACTTCGGTCGCTAAGCAGGGCATTGAATTTTCCCCTTTTTTTTTGCTGCAGTCGTTAATAGTCACGAGTTGAACAGTGCCCAATTTTCCCACCTGTTTTGCTCCGGGGGTGAAGCTAGTCACGTCACTGAGCCTGGCCCGATTTTATAACCTTTTTTTTTTTGCTGACGTCGTTAAGCGAATCACGTGGTCCTTAAGTAAACCCAGCTCTCCCCACTGCTTGTGAAGCTTGCCGGGAAGATCGCGAACGGCCACCATCGTCAACGTCTGCCTGAAGTTTTGAGTCACATGATCACAGGGACACAGCCACGGGTCGTTAAGCGAGACAACCCCCAAAGTCAGTCACTTTGTTCAGCAGTGTCCTCACTTTGAGCGGTCACTAAACAAATTGTCGTAAGTTGAGGACTTCCTGTACTCAGAGTCACTTAGTCAAACTGGCGTGTCTCCGTGTATTTTTCACCCCACTGTTCCCTCTCCCCACCAAAATGGGGGTGCATTGGGAAACCCCCCCCCCCGTTTGCATGGCAGCTCCTGTGCCCCCCACCCCACCCCACAGCCGGTCTCTCGCCTCTCTGTCACTTTGTCCTGACGCCCGAATGTCCGTCGTCTGCCTTTCCCTGTCGCCTGGTTCCTGACCGTGCACCGGGTTACGTCTCCTGCCTGCCTGTGCTAACTTCGGATCTGTTTCCTGTTTCGTGCGTGTTTTATTTGTGAGTTTGTGATTTTTTTCTAAAAAAAAAACAACAAAAACAACAAAAAAAAACAGAATATCAACAAGACTGTTGTGCATTGAACTGTAAATGATTTTAGCTTTGTTAAATGGTGCTTGAAAAATCTCGTCCCTTCGTGGCTGGGAAGGAAAAGGTGGATCTGCGAAAGGGATCGGTCGAAAGAGGGGGATTTATAAACGGGATCTTTTTAAAAAGATGACTCTGTAAGAGGGATCTATCAAAAGGGGGGTTTCCTATAAACCAGACTTATAATGAGGGAACTGTATAAAAGGGATCCATCCACAGAGGATTTCTACAAATCAAACATGTAACGAGGGTGGATCTATAAAAGGGATCTATCGGGCTTACAGCAAGAGTGGATCTGTACAAAGGATCCATCAACAGGATTTCTAAAAATCGAACATATGACGGGTGGATCCATAAAAGGGATCTATCAAAAGGGGGTTCTACCAATCAGACTTACAGCAAGAGTGGATCTGTACAAAGAATCTATCAACAGGATTGCTATTAAATCGAACATATAATGGGTGGATCTATAAAAGGGATCTATCAAAAGGGGGTTCTATCAATCAGACTTACAGCAAGAGCGGATCTGTACAAAGAATCCACCAATAAGATTTCTATAAATCAAACACATAAGGCTGGATCTATAAAAGGGATCCATCGAAAGGGGATTTCTATAACCTGACATAAAAAGGGGGTTTATAAACAGGATCTTTTTGAAAGGGTGGATCTATAAAAAGAATCTATCAAAGGGGAGGGGTAGTTCTATAAACCAGATCTATTAAAAGGGTGACCTTATAAATGAACTTGAAAATGAACCTGGCTGCAGCTCATTCTCCCCACTCACTTTCGGTTGACATCAGACTTGTGAAAAAGGGTGTTTTGCAAAACAGTCTTTCCAGGTTGGTAGCCCTCCAAGGGGTTGGACTACAACACCCATCATAACCCAGCCGGCTCAGCCAATATTTGGGGGCAGCGGAATAAAGCAAACTCGGCAACTTTTTAAGATTGGTGGACTTCAACTCCCAGAATCCCCCAGCCGTTCTTTGCCATCAGGAGAGGTGGAGGCAAGAACCCAACGGGAGTCCACGCTGAATTACAAGTTTATTACTCACGTTAAAAACAACAACAACAACAATAGAGAAAGAACAGCAAACGATGCCATTCAGGAGAAAAAGAGGCACGGTTGATCGGCCGATGGCCCGCCTGGACCCTCTCCTCTTTGTACCCATCCCGAAAGCAACGACGGACGGACCTGCCTACACCGTTGACTTTTTTTGTCCCTTTTCCCTCACGGTCCTTGGTACCCGGACAGCCTTCCACCCTACCCAGTGGTTCCGCCCCCCTCCCAATGCAGCTGGCAAAGCCCATCCAGCTGCAGGGAAGGTGAAAAATTACATTTCCCTTTTTTTTTCCTTCCCAGTGGTTGTGCTTTAAAAGGAAAAAAAAAGGGGGGGGTGCATTTAAAATAGCCCTTTGCCCCCCCCTCCTCAAAGTCGCAACGAAAAGATTGCCTTTGTCTCTAATCATGCATTCAACAGGGACATGCAGCGTGCGTATTTTTCCACTGCGAACAATGGCGTGCAAATACACGGGTTGGGGTGCAGGTGCGTGCATACACTTCGGGGAGGGGGGGGCGGCGAGTGGATTGTCCAACTGTTGCCCCCCCCCTCTGCCAAAAGGCTCCCCCCCCTCCCCGAGTCTTTCCCCAGTCTCAATGCACCACTGGGAATTGGGAGACACATTACACGGTTAGCAATAAAATTAAAAAGTTAAAAAAATAAAACTTTAAAAAGGAAAGGAAACGAGAAGTGCCTTTAGTGTGTGTGTGTGTGTGTGTGTTTTTGGGCCGGTCCTGCCCCCCCACCTTCTCCCACGTGGGGTGTTTTTAACTGCCCTCCCCCATGTTTCTCGTTCGTGGCTGGCCGGCCGTCAGCGACGTCCCTTGCTCTGTGTTGGCTTCACAGGACCGTCAGCTCTTCTTCGGGGGCCAAGGAGCTGACGCTGGGGCCGTGGGAGTGTCCGTTGCTGACTCCCCCGTCGAGTTCTTCCTGCAGGAAACGGCCGATTTCTTGGGTCAGGGACGAGCCCTCCAGCTGCCACTCTTGCTCCAGCTGAGCTATTAGCTAGGGAAGAGGAAGAGGAGGAGTGAGTGGAGGAAGCAAGCGGAAAACATCTGGCTCTCAAAGACACCTGAGTTATGCAACCGTCAGCCCTGCCGGGTAGATCAGGCGGGGGGGACACAAGCAGAGAAGCTAATTCTGCATGAAGAAGAGGCTGAAAATGCAAGCCTCCCGCTGTCTCTTTTCCAGCTGGAGAGACTGAGGCCTCTTGCCTCGCCTATCATGCAGCCGAGGGCTCAGCTGCCTCTTATCGGGCTGTTCCCTTAGCAGCATCTCTTCACCCTGAAGTCTTTCCCACGTTCCAGCTTTCTCCTTCACAGGCCGAGAAACTAGGGAGGGTCCCTTGTGAGCCCCTTGCCCTGCCTGTTGTACATCTGAGGGCTCTGCTGTCTCTTATTTGACCGTTGCTAGGCAGGGCTCTTTGCTCCGTCTCCCAAGGTCTTCCCCAGATATCATTACGCATACCTGCACACACTCTGAACTGTTTTCCATAGATCTAGATTCTCCCCCCTCCCCCCCCAGCTTTACAGCCTGAGAAATTAGGGAGGGTCCCTTCTCGCCCTCTTTCTCCACCCATTGTGCAGCGGAGGGCTCAGCTGTCTCTTATCTATTCCCTTAGCAGCATCTCTTCACCCTGAAGTCTTTCCCACATTCTAGCTCTCTCTTTTACTGCCTGAGAAATTAGGGAGGGTCTCTTGTGACCCTCTTTCTCCATCCATTATACATCTGAGGGCTATGCTGACTCTTATCTGACCATTCCTGGGTAAGGTCTCTTTGCTCCGTTTCCAAAAGTCTTTCCCACGTACCTGCACAACTCTGAACTCTTTCCACAGATCTAGATTCTCTCACCCCCTTCCTTTACAGCAGTGGTTCTCCACCTGTGGGTCGGGACCCCATTTGGGGTCGAACGACCATTTCACGAGGGTCGCCAAACAACGCAATCCGCCATTTTTCCCCCCTTTTCCTTAGCGTGCTACTCCCTTTTATTCTATTGGCTTTTGAAAGCCAATAGAATAGACTCTCTTGAATACAATCTAATTCTATTGGCTTTCAAAAGCCAATAGGAATTGTCCAGGCTGTCTCTGCCCTGCTGAGCCCGCCAAAAGTCCCAGTCTGCAAACGGTGCTGCACCAGTTGAGTAGTCCTCGACTTACGACCGGTTGAGTAGTCCTCGACTTACGACTGGTTGCGGGGTTGCGGCATTAAAAAGGTTGAGAACCACTGCTTTACAGCCTAAAGGAACTAGGGAGAGTCCCATCCATTACGCAGCCGAGGGCTCAGCGGTCTCTTATCTGGCTGTTCCCTTAGAACAGTGGTTCTCAACCTTTCTAATGCCGCGACCCCATAATACAGTTCCCCATGTTGTGGTGACCCCTAACCACTTATACATCACCAGGTGCCAGGGGCGTGGCCAAAGAAAAGGGGGAAAAAATGGCAGACAGCCTTGTTTGGCGACCCCCATGAAATGGTCGTTCGACCCCAAATGGGGTCCCGACCCACAGGTTGAGAACCACTGCCTTAGCAGCATCTCTTCGCCCTGTCTCCCGAGGTCCAAGATTGTTCTCGGTGACCCTTGTAAAAATCACCCACCCGGGGTTCTTCGTCCTCAATCAATTGCACCATTTCCTGGTGTCCCAAAAGTAGCTTTTCCTGGCGTCGCTTCTGGGCCTCTTCAAGCTGGAGGAATTGAAGGGAAAAAAAAAACACACACGAGAAAATAAGCAAAGGAGGAGAAGAGCAGCCTTCCAAATTCATCAGCTGGTTCACCACCCATCCTCTTTTCCAGGGGAATCAAAGTTGCCCCTGTTTTGTTTACTCCAGTCTAGACGACTGCCATGTGATTGTCTTGGGGCCACCCCTTGAAGGCCACACAGAAATATTCTCGGGTTCAGAATCTGGGCGCAGATTTAATCCTAAATATGGATTTTTTCACATTTTTGGAGGAGCTGTCTGTGTGCGTGCTCAACTCAAAGCATCACTCCAATAAATTAAGATTCATCCAGAATTGTATCCTTCTTGCCTGTCCTGGAAAGCTTTATAAGTTTGTAAACTTTTAACTTAGTTTCCTATTTATTTATTTTTTTGTGACGCTGATTTACAGTGGTGTTGCGGTGTGCGAGAACGATAGGCGTTAGAAAAAAGAAAACTGAACATTGACAATTAGGAAAATGCTAGATTGTTAGAGGCTTACCCTCCGGATGGAGTTTACGGATTCAGTGATGTGCCTTCTGTTTATCTCGGTTAACTCCCTGGGAGAGACAAAGCAGGTTAAGGACAATCCCTGATCATTCCTTCGTTCGCCCATACCAATCACCCGACATTTTTGCTCTTTCTTCCGGCCCCGCTCTAACTCACATGTCCTTTTTGCTCATCTCGCGAGATTTCGCTTCCGTGATGCTGTTGTGCCGTTTTCGATCCAGAATTCTCTGCAGTTCCTTCTTCTCTCTAACACGCAAAGGGACGACAAGCCACCTTAGTGCTCATCCCACAATGTGTGAATGATCTTTTTATCCCAAATCCTCAAAAAACTTGACCGGGCAGTGTGAGATGCCAAACGGGAGCTAAACGTTTATTATTGAAATTACAACTGGTTTTTGTTTTGTTTTTTTCCTCAACCAAATTTAAAAACGTTGCTCGAGGCTGACGAGAAGCCTTGTAGAGATCGTCCCCGACTTACGACAATTTGTTTAGTGACCGTTCGAAGTGACAACGGCACTGGAAAAAGGGACTGACGACCATTTTTCGCGCTTACGACCGTTGCAGTGTCCCCCCACGGTCACATGATCGAAATTCGGACGCTTGGCAACAGATTCGCATTTATGACGGTCGTAGTCTGCCGGGGTCACTTGATTCCCTTTTGCGAACTTCTGACAGGCAAAGTCAATGGGGAAAGCCAGATTCACTTAACAACGGAGTTACTCATTTAAAAACGGCAGCGATTCACTTAACAACTGTGGCAAGAAAAGTCGTAAAATGGGGCAAAACTCATTTCGCAAATGTCTCAGTTCACAACAGAAATTGTGGTCGTTAAGTCAAGGATTACGTGTATAAGGCTCCCACATAGGGGAGAAGAGGAATTAACAGCCTGATCAGGAAAAAAAAATGCTTTTCTGAAGTCCCAAAAGCCACACCCCGAGGGTGACGACAGGCGGCGGGATGAAGCGAAAGGCAAAATTCCCAACGCTCCTCATCGCCGGAAGCTTCTCGTCGCGTTACGAACTCACTTCTCGCTCGTTTCTTTCAGCTTCTTCAACTGAGCCGTCTGATAATCTTGAGCGATGTCTCTTAAACGCTGCTGAGCCTGGGGGAAGAAGCCAGAGGAAAGCAGAGCACAGGAACTTAACAACAACAACAATAATAATAAATTTGGGAGGGACCTTGGAGGTCATCTAGTCCAACCTCCTGCCTTTTTGCCACGAGGACTAGAAACAGGGATCTCCGCAGTCACCAATCGGGCTGTGCCTGGCCAGAGGACTGGGGAGAGCAGGGGTTGGTCCACAAGTCATAAAAGGGCCACATTTGAAGACCCCTGGTGTAGATGATACCTGGTGCAGGTGATCTCGCTTCATCTCCCTCTCCACCTGGTGCTGAGCCTCGCGTAGCCGTAGCAGACCCTCCTGCATTTGCCATTCCTGAAGATCCAGCTTCCGTTGAGGTTCCTCATGGTCCTGTCCTGGCCGGGCTCCCTCTAAAGAGCTTTGAGACCTGCCAAAAAAGAGGGCATGTTAGCAACCTTCCAGTATTTGAGGGGCAGCCACAGAGAATAATAATAATAATAAAGTTGGAAGGGGCCTTGGAGGACTTCTAGTCCAACCCCCTGCTCAGGCAGGAAACCCTAGACCATTTCAGACAAATGGCTGTCCAGTCTCTTCTTAAAAACTTCCAGTGTTGGAGCATTCACCGCTTCTGGAGGCAGGATTGTTCCACTGCTTAATTGTCAGGAAATTTTTCTTTAGTTCCAGGTTGCTTCTCTCCTGGATGAGTTTCCATCCGTTGCTTCTTGTCCTGCCTTTTAGTGCTTTGGAGAAGAGGGAGTCAACCTATTCCCCCAAAGCGCCCGAAGGCAGGACAAGAAGCAACGGATGGAAACTAATGCAGGAGCAGCCTGGAATTAAGGAGGAATTTCCTGAAAGTGAGAACAATTAACCAGTGGAACGGCTTGCCACCAGAAGTTGTGGGTACTCCAACACTGGAGGTTTTCAAGACGACACTGGCTAACTACTGGTCATCCTTGACTTACCACCACAAGGGAGCATAAACTTTCTGTTGCTAAAGGAGACAGCTGTTAAGTGAATTTTGCCCCATTTTACGACCTTTCTTTTCTCCGTTGTTAAGGGAATCACTGAAGTTGTTAAGTTAGTATCGCCGTCGTTTAAGTGCATCTGCCTGGAAAACCTGCTGTTAATCTCCTTCTAGGCCTAAAAAAAATTGCTCTAAATCTTCTTTTCTGCCTAGTAAATTGGCTTTAAAGTCTGTCTTTCTGCATGACGAATCTGCTGTAAATCTCCTTTTTGGCATGGAGAATCTGTCCTACTTCTCATTTTCAGCATGGAAAAATTGCTCTCAATCTCTCTTTCTCAGCAGCAGAAAACCTGCTGTAATTCTCTTTTCCCCCTGCATGGCAAATCTCATCCAAACGTCCTTTTTCTGGGCTTCTTGTGGGACACACTTGGCTAAAAAATCTGATATTATTCTCACCCTTCCCGGCTACGCAGCCGGCTTTTTTCCAGCTGCGCGTTCTGCTTTTTGTTGAGGCTGCAAATTTTTTTCATGTGTTTGCGACGGAGCTCCTTCAGCTCCCGATACTGCTTCTTCAGCAACTTCACAAAAGCCTTTTGCTGCTTCAGTTCTTCCACAGAAGGCGGGGACACCTCTGGAAGGGAAGAGCAAAGCATGAGGGTTTGCGGAGTCCAAGTCTCCGGTGAGAAGGAAACGGGAAGGGAAGGGAGACGGCGAGACGGCGAGAAAGAATAACAGATCGTGCCGTCCCCGGCTTCTCCGTTCTCAAGTTTTTTTTTTCTCCGCGTCAATATGGACTAGGAACTTGAGTGGCTGGTTTTTTAAAAAAAATATTTATTAAATTTTTATGCTGCCCGTCTGATGGATCAAGCGACTCTCGGCGGCTTGTAAAACCGGAAATGTAAATAGGCACGTAATCCTCGGGAATTTCCAAGGTGGTTATTAAAGGAGTTGCTTCTGATTTTACGATCTTACGGTCGTGAAGCAAATCACCACCGTTCTTAAGTGAAGTGTGTGGTCTTTAAGTGAATTGGCTCCCCCCCCCCTTGGGAAGGTCGTGAATATGGATCGCATGACCCCGGACGCTGCAACCGTTGTAAATACGTGCCGCTTGCAAAGTGCTGATCACGCAAATCGTGAGGATGCTGCAACGGTCGTGAGCACGAGGACCCGTCGTAAGTCGTAACTTTCCACTGCTGTCAACGGGCACCCTTTGGGGTTAAGGGGGCTGGCAAAACATCCCCATCCTTACCTGCCAGGACGCTTGCAATCAGGTCATCTCTCTGGCCTAGAGAATACAGGAAGAGAAGGAATGCAGAGTTTGGGAGGAAAAACGGACTTCAGAGCTTCTAACATTCCAATCTCAAAACTGGGCTGGGCAGAAAAATGTGGGGCCCCGTTCTTTCTCCCCCAACATTCCCACGGTGGGCAAAAAGACCCCACTCCCCCTCATTCCAGCAGCCAATAGGAATGTTATACAGGCTGAGGAAATTTCTCCATGCAGCATGTTCTTTCAGCCTTTGTGGCGCAGTGGTTAAGAATGCAGCATTGCAGGCTGACTCTGCCGACTGCCAGCAGTTCGATCCTGGGCGGTTCAAGGTTGACTCAGCCTTCCGTCCTTCTGAGGTCGGTAAAAACGAGGACCCAGATTGTTGGGGGACAAGAGGCTGACTCTGTAAGCCACTGAGAGAAGGGCTGTAAAGCACTGTGAAGCGGTATATAAGTCTAAGTGCTATTGTCCTTCCTTCCTTCCTTCCTTCCTTCCTTCCTTCCTTCCTTCCTTCCTTCCTTCCTTCCTTCCTTCCTTCCTTTGTATGATTAGAATGCAGTATTGCAGGATAACTCTGCCGACTGCCAGCAGTTTGATCCTGACCAGCTCAAACAGCCTTCCGTTCTTGCGAGGTCGGTAAAAACAAGGACCCAGATAAAGCACCGTGAAGCGGTCTAAAAGTCTAAGTGCTATTGCTATTGCTTCACCTTGACTGGGGATGATGCTGGGGGTCCGAGTTGGGGGCAACACATCCGGGAGGGGTTTCTGGACCTCCCGGGCCGGCCCCGTGGTGGTGCAAGACGGACTCCTCAATAGGGACTCCTTTGGCTTCTCCATGTTCTCCTGCCAAACGGGGGGGGGGGAGGGAATAGGGGGAAATGAAGGTGGGCATTCCAACCCTTTTAAATGCCCGCCCTCTCTCTCTCTGCCACCCCAAATTGCTCTGTGACACCCGCCGGGCCGTCTCGTCGCAAAAACGGACCCCTCAATTTAATGCAAAAATGACGCGGGCATCTCCACCCTCCGTAACCTGTCCGCCTCATTGCGCGTCGTCTCACTCCGGAAGTCCTCACCTCCCTCTCCCCAATCAGGGCAGCCAGCTGTTTGGCCCGCTGGTCCATTAAGCTGACGTGCTTAATTGGGTTAATCAACGCCTCGGCATAATCTGGGGAGAGAAGAAAGAGAGCCTTAAGGCCCGCCGCTTTCCTAAGAAAACATGGATTGGGATTAGACGGGGATTAGACAAGAGATGGCCGGAGAATCTGGTCCCGATGCTCAGAGCCTGGCTTTCTCTATCGCACGTCCGTATGCTACCGCGTCTATCCTACCGCGAGACGGAGATTACAGGGAGTCCTCAATTAACAACGGTTCGTTTAGTGACCATTCAAAGTTACAACGGCACGGGGAAAAAGAGACTCAGGTCCCTCCAGTGACCAGGGGGATGCTGCCCCATTTTGCGACCTTTCTCCGTTATATATCTACGTGTATTTACACGCTTTATTTCGGTTTTATTCAATGTATGATCCCTATAAGCCAGGGGTCTTCAAACTTGGCCACTTTTAAGACTTGTGGACTTCAACTCCCAGAATTCCTCAGGCTGGCTGAGGAATTCTGGGAGTTGAAGTCCACAAGTCTTAAAAGTGGCCAGGTTTGAAGACCCCTTGCAGTAAGCGGACTGCTGAAGTTGTTAAGTTAGCAACACAGTTGTTAAGTGGACCTGCCTTCCCCATTGGGCTTTGCTTGTCAGAAGGTCACAAAAGCAGACCACCACACACACACACACACACACACACACACACACACACACACAGGGACACTGCAAGCGTCATCAATAGGAGTGACCCTGAAAATGCCACAACGGTCGTTAAAATTGAAAAACGTTCAGAAGTCCCCCCCTTTTTTTGTGTGTGTAACTTTGATCGGTCGCTGAAGATAGGGTTGTAAATGGAGGATTGCCTGCGTGGTTTTGGTGGGCTAATCCGGTCTACCTTGCAGGGCCGACGGCATCAGAGTGTCCCCACCCACCCAGGAAGGACCCGCCCCCTTTCCACAAGCCATTATTACTTTGATGATCGTCGGGAATGTAGTCGCAAGCTTCCGTGTAGACCAGCAAGGCCGGGAGACAGAGGGGCTGGTTGCTTTCACTGCGCAGGGAAATGTAGTGGTATCCTGAGAAAGAGAAAATCACACACACACACACACAGACACACAACATTAGCACAGAAGTGTTAAGTCCTGATCTCCAGGATCTCCAGATAATTATAATATTGGAAGCGATCTTCTAATTGCATTTCCTGCCCAAAGAGATAAATAAAAACATGGAATATGATGCGCTGGGATTATTTGTATAGAGTCAGTTTGGTCTAATGATTAAGGCGACAGGTAGAAACCAGGAGACGGTGAGTTCTAGTCCCGCCTTAGATATGAAAGCCAACTCGGTGACTTTGGGCCAATCATCAGGAGATTTGAGAGTTCTAGTCCCGCCTTAGGCATGAAAGCCAGCTGGGTGACTTTGGGCCAATCACCAGGAGATGGAGAGTTCTAGTCCCGCCTTAGGCACAAATGCCAGCTGGGTGACTTTGGGCCAATCACCAGGAGATGGAGAGTTCTAGTCCTGCCTTAGGCACGAATGCCAGCTGGGTGACTTTGGGCCAATCACCAGGAGACGGTGAGTTTTAGTCCGCCTTAGGCACAAATGCAAGCTGGGTGACTTTGGGCCAATCACCAGGAGATGGTGAGTTCTAGTCCCGCGTTAGGCACGAATGCGAGCTGGGTGACATTGGGCCAATCACCAGGAGACGGTGAGTTCTAGTCCTTCCTCAAGCATGAAAATCCCATTATTCTGCAGAAGGGGGACGAGGGAACCAACTCTGCAATAACTTTGCCGCTGGGGGGGGGGGGGAATAGAGGAACTCACCTGCACAGATGGCAGAGACGGGCAAGATCCGATGCCCCACAAATTTGCCACCCTCCTCAAAAACCGCGATGCGCAGCGAGGCAAGGGTTGGCAGCACGACCTGGGCAAACAGAGAGTAGAAAGAACTGCTGGAGGGAAGAGCCGAGTTCAGATTGTGCCATGGATGCTCCACAAACACACACTCGTACACACACATAACACAACCTTTGTGAATGGAGCGGAACAAAACGAAAGGCCATTCACCTCAAAGAGACAAAATTTAATTTGGGGGCAGATCAGCAAAAGCTGAGATTCCGGGCGAGAAAGAGACGCACTCTGCACATGCTCAGAAGTACCCTGCTCCATGGCCTCAAGGAACGTCAATGCTGCCCACCTCCATGCTCACCTTCTGGAAGACAAAGGGCTCCTCATCCCAAACGGGGTTGAAGGAGTTGCCCTGGGAGGTCCGAGTGCGAAATTTGCGCTTGGTGTCCACCGGCAGCCCAAACATGTCCACCTCGACGTAGATGCCGATCCTCTTATCCGAGAGAAACTGACCGGAGATAATCTGAGAAGATGCGTTTCCCGTCTTAGTTCTAAAACTCTGGTGGAATTCGCTTGCCAGTTTCTGACACAGCTCTCTGTATATGCTCAGAAGAACTCTCTTCCACTCAGATTGCTGGCTCAAATAGGTTTGCTTGTCGATTTTCCTCCCTCCCTCCCTCCCTTCTTTCTTCCTTCCTTCCTTCCCATCTTCCTTCCTTCTCTTTTCCTTCTTTCCTTTTTTCTTTTCTTTTCCTTCTTCTTTTCTTCCTCCCTCCTTCCCTTTTTATTCCTTCTCTTTTCCTTCCTTTTTTTCTTCCTTTTCCTTCCTTCCTGCTTGCCTTCTACTTTCCTTCCCTTTCTGTCAATCTTTCTTCTCCTTCCTTCTTTCCTTTCCTTCTTCCGTCCTTTTCTCCCTCCCTTCTTTCCCTTTTTCTTCCTTTCTTCCTTTCTTTCCTTCCCTTTTCTTTCTCCCTCTTGTTCCCTTTTTCCTTCCTCCCTTTTCCTTTCCTTTCTCCCTCCCTTCTTCCCTTTTTCCTTTCTCCCTCCCTTCTTCCTTCCTTCCTTCCTTCCCTCCCTCCCCGCTCCCCTCAAAGTCACAACCGACAGGTATCTACACAGTTTCCACCCAATTTTACGCCCCGTCCACCTCGCCATGCCTCCCAACCTTCACTCTGACGGTGTTCGCCACGATGCCATCAACAATGTCTTCGGTGAACGGGTCGAAAAACTTGTCCGACCGTCGCATAAATTCGGGCTTGAGCAAGTAGCCGCTCCGGCGGTTGTATTCGAAGGTGCCCAGATTCAGCTGCATTGGCAAGTCTGCGTGGAGGGGGGGGGGAATACCGAAAATGCAAACCAAGTTCCTAGTCCTCATTATACTAGCAGAGGCCAAGCTGACGGCAACCCGCAAAGCCGCTGGGTACGCGCTGGGCAGCCCACAGCTCTCTTTCTCCCTTGTATTTAGAGGCGAAGATTATTTATCTAGAGGGGCTCGTGTTTTTATTGAGAATTTAAAGCGTCGAGGCATATTTTAGGGGCAGACAGGACGCTACAAAATGGTAGGGAAATTCATTTATCAAAGTCGCCCGCTTTTTGGCCAAGGCACCAAAAACCGTTTAAAAAAAATAAAGGTGAATTTTAGCACCCTGCGTAAAGCACAGAAACTTCTGTTTTAGCGGCCACTCAGTCGTCAGAGGGACGGCCCATAAATTTAATGAATTTAATAAATCATCGCCATTGTCCTTCCAAATTCCTCTGGGTTGACATTTTGAGGGTCAGCTAAACTACAAGCGATCTCATTCAACCGATCTAAACAAGGCTGCAGCGAAAAGTTCCAGGGAAACGGCTGCCCTTTGTAAACGCGTACACGCCTGGGCAAGTTCCTAGTCCTCATGGGCCTCCAGAAGGGGAACTCACCCAGGCTTTGAAAATTAAGGGCCACCATCTGACAGCCGGCGTTCCAGAAGAGCTGTGGCATGTAGTTGGAGGAATCCACGCGTGTCCCTTTGGGGTAGATTCGGCTGAGCTGTTTCTTGTTGTATCTGGGAGGGATCCGTGTCAAGGCCGCAAAGCTGGTAAGGGTGGTCAGCTGTCCAGCTGGCTATCAACGTGTGTCTCGCCGCGCAAAGCCATCCCATCCAACCTATTCCTCACCTTTCCTTTCAATTCAGCCTTCCTTCTTAACATTAGAATTATGAACCACACCATGGGGTGGGATCCGAGAGGTCATTTATTCCAACCCCTACTCCAGGCAGGATCCCTTAGAGCAGGGGTAGGCAACCTTGGCTCTTTTATGACTGGTGGACTTCAACTCCCAGAATTCCTGAGCCAGCCATGCTGAGGGGAAAGGGAGAGGTTTCCAAGCTGAGCCATGCTGGCCCAGAAATTCTGGGAGTTGAAGTCCACGAGTCATAAAAGGGCCAAAATTGCCTACCCCTGGCCTAGAGCAACGAGGTCCTAATATCCCTGGGGTTGACCCCAAAATTCTCTCAGGAGTCGTCAAAATTGACGCTGCAAGCAGTTCTCAATTTAGTGACCATTCAAAGTTATGACGGTACTTAAAAAGTGACGGTTTTTCACCCTTAACGACCGTTGCAGGATCCCCGTGGTCATGTGATCAAAATTCAGACGCTTAGCGACTGACTCACATTTATGACGGTCACTGTGTCCTCGGGGTTATGCGATCCCCTTTTTGTGTCCTTCCGATGAGCAAAACCGGGTCACTAACTTAACAATTGCAGTGATTCATTTAACAACTGTGGCAAAGAAAGCTTATAAAACGAGGCAAAAACTCCCTTAACATCAGATTCGAATCCCACCCCACCATCGTGATCACTTGGACCAGAGTGAAAACATCAATTTAAACGTTTAATGCAGGAAATACTGATAAATATCAGCCGTGCCAAAGCCTGATCATTTTAAAAAGAGGGAAGGGGCGTCTGAGAGACGAGAGACATGGGTTCGAGAGCTCCATGTTGGTTTGGGAACTATCCAGGATACTCAACAAACTCCATGGGGCTGTTTGTCAGCTGCTCCAGTCCTTTGGTCTCCACGAAGGAAGACATTTCATAACATTTGTTGCCTTCTAGAAGAGCAGAAAGGAAAGAAAAAGCAGGTCAGTTTTCTGCACGCGCCTAGGGCCCCGTTTTTCCCATAACGACAACCCTGCGAGGTAAAGGCTGGTTAGAAAGAGAGAGACTAGCCCTCCATCACTAAGGGAATTTGCCCCACCAAGTTTGCTTTAAATCTGGCTAGTGGAATTTTGGACACGCAAAGGAACCGGCTATCATTCAAATGAAACATCCTGAATTTGATGACTGTCCAGCCGCGTATTTAAGCACTCAAGACAAGTCTCTTCTCAAGGATCAGGGTTTTTGCAAGGAAGGAGGGAGAGTCCAAAATAAAAAAAAAAATCACAATGGTAGCCTCTACAAAGGAATGAAAACCCTGTTTTGATTATGGTTATGATTAGAGTTATCATACACGCTTTCTCATAGAGCAGGGGTCTGCAAACTTGGCAACTTTTAAGACTTGTGGACTTCCAGAATTCCTTAGCCGGCTAGATTGCTGAAAATCAGGGGTCTTAAAATTGGCAACTTTAAAACTTGTGGACTTCAACTCCCAGAATTCCCCAGCCAGCCAGCCCCCCCCCCAAAAGGCTGTAAAATGGGGTGCAGTCTCACGTTGCCTCAATTAATCACTGTGACAAATTTTCTGGCTGTTTTAAGTCGAGGACTCCCTGTATTTCCCTCCCCCCCCCCCGAGAAAATATGGCCACTGTAATTAAGAGTCACATTAATAACCAGGCACCCCCCGGGACACATTTCTACACCCCAAAAGGTCCCCGATTCAAAAGGCAGAAGCTGTCAATTCAGCCGCCATTGAGCTGGGCACCATCGCTCGTCCGTGTCTCCCCCCCACCCCCCCAACTCACTGCTGGCTGCTTCGAAGGACTTGAACTTGACCGGTTCGATGTAATTGACCAACGTTGACATCTCCTCTGTGGCGTTGACTTCGCTGCTGGCGGTGCCCTGCGGGCGATCGGGGAGTTGGGGAAAAAAAATGGGAAAAAGCAGTGACACAATGCAAAACTTTGAAAGCTGTCCGAATTGTCTTAAAACTCCATTTCCCAGAATCCCCTCTGGCTCCAGGCTGGTGAGAAAACCTGGGAAATGGAATCTTTACTCATCGGAGCTCTTGCGATGACTCCTGGGAGTTACAGAAATAAAACACAGGTAGTCCTCGACTTATAACTGTTCCAAGTTACCACGCCACTGAAAAAAAGGACTTATGGCCGTTGTTCACACTTACGACCTTTGCGGCTTCCCCCACTTTACACTTATGACCGTTGCCACATCAGGTGATCAAAATTCGGACACTTGGCAAGCGGTTCGTATTTATGACGGTCGCGGTGTCCCAGGGTCATGTGACCCGCTTTTGAGACCCTCCGACAAGCAATGTCAGTGGGGAAGCTGGATTCGTTTAACGACCGTGTGACTAAGTTAACAGCTGCAATGATTCACTTAACAACTCTGGCAGGAAAAGCCGTAAAGTGGGGCACTTAAAAAGTTTTCTGTTAGCAACATAAATCTTGGGCTCAATGGTGGCCATAACTTGAGGACTAGCTGTAACTCCACGGTTTTCTTTTGTTTCCTCTCCAAGGCCTCTTTGAAAGTCATTGGTGCACCCCAAAATATTCCGGATGTGCCTGGCCAAAGTTCCCCCTTGCACGTACCTCATCGGTGGTAGGTTTTTTAGGGTCTGGCTGTTCTTCTTCCTCCTCACTTTCAGCTTCCCGGTCTGGAGGTGGGGAGAAAGGAAGGGGTTAGGGGGGGATCTGTGGGATGGGTAAAACGCCACTTTGTCAGCTGAACCCCCAAAGAACTACAGTTCCCAGGTGAGTTAACTGTTAAAAATTACATAAAGATTCTATCTGGGCTATCATTTAAAAGAGAATTTTTTTTAAACTTAGCAAGTTTAAGATGTTTAGATGTCAGCTCCCAGAATTCCCCAGCCAGTAGACTTTAAGATGTTGGACTTCAACTCCCAGAAGTCCCCAGCCAGCATGCTTCAAAAGGGATGGACCCCCAGAATTCCTTTAAGTAGACTTCAACTCCCAGAATCCCCCAGCCAGCCTGCTTTAAGATAGGTGGACTTCAACTCCCAGAATCCCCCAGCCAGCCTGCTTTAAGGTGGATGGACTAACTCCCAGAATCCCCCAGCCAGCCTGCTTTAAGGTGGGTGGACTTCAACTCCCAGAATCCCCTAGCCAGCCTGCTTTAAGGCGGGTGGATTCAATTCCCAGAATCCCCCAGCCAGCCTGCTTTAAGGTGGGTGGACTTCAACTCCCAGAATTCCATAGCTGGCTTATTGGGAAAACCTTTTCTTCACCTTAGTTTGGACATGCAGCTGTCTGGGGATGTTTTCCCAGGGAAGTCTCACCAATAGATTTGCGGGGTTCCCCTAGTTTTGCCATCCTGTCGGGGGTCTTCTCCTCCCCGTTGGTCAGGATCAAGGAAAGGATCTCGGGCTGTTCAGCGAAGGGAGACCCTGCAGGAGAGGAAGACATGAGGAAGAAAAATCAACCGGCTTTTGGGTTTGCTTTCCCCTCCTCGGCTATTTTGCATTGCGTGCTGTGGCCGCTCAGACCGGGACGATATCATCAGCTTCTTGTTCCCGCTGAGCTGTCACGGATGGCTGGCCTGAGGTTAAATTTCCTGTGCGACATGAAATGATGGCTTGTGATTATAGATAGATTATGGAAAGAAGAGGGCTTGTTGTAAGCCTCGAGCGAGAGGCAAATTTAGAATTATATGTGCGGTAAAGAAGGTGGGAAGCGACGTCTTTGTATTGAATCTTTTTCTTTCTTTCCTGCCTTTTTTCAACTTTCCTTCTTTGCTTTCTTACACTGTTTTTTCTTTGACTCCTTCCCTTTCCTCCCCTCCCTCCCTCCCCTTCCTTTCTTCCTTCCTTGTTTAATTCCTTCCTTCCCTTTCTCCCTCCCTCCTCCCTTTCTTTCCTCTCCTTTCTTCCTCCCCTTCCCCTTCCCTCTTTCCCTCCCCTCCTCCCCTTCCCCTTCCTTCCTTCCTTCCTCCCTCACTGGAGGTTTTCAAGAAGACCGGATAGCCATGTGGAATAGGGTTTCCTGGCTGAGCAGGGGGATGGTCTAGATGATCTCCAGGGTCCCTTCCAACTCTATTATTCTGATATTCCTTCCTTCCTCCCTCTCTTCCTTCCTTTCTACCTTCCTCCCCCCTTCCTTTCTTCCTTCTTTCGTTCCCTCCTTCTTCGCTATTTTCCCTCCCTTCAGCCCCTGGACTTTGCATGGAGCAAAGATTCGGCTTCTTGGCTAACCAAGACTGAATCTTCCCCCCAAAAGAAAAGCCACCATCCAGAGTCGCTTTGGATGGTGTGATGGGCTGCATGTGGATTTAATAAATAAATAAACAAACAAAAAAACTTTGGGGCACCTACCCAGGGCGGGAGACCCCGGCTCGCCCACCCCAGAAGAGTCACTATAGGAGCTGGGCGTCTGCTCCAGAACCCGTTTGCGGACGCTGCCTTCCGTCCCCTTGGCGTGGGTGCGGCGCTTCTTGTTTTTCACCAGAATGCGCCCCAATAATTCCTGGGGGCTCGGTAAGGGTACGCCGGGCTGGAGCTGCAGGAAGAGGGGGAAAGACAAATTGGGAAACCAGCTGAGCCAAAAGACAAAAAGAAAAACCCTTAATTTGGAAAAAGAGGCAGACGTGGAGGACTATCAAAGATCATCTGTTCTTCCCATGTCTCTTATATATACAGACGGTCCTCAATTTACAACAGTTTGTAAACAATTGGTAAACAGCAAGGTCCATCGAGAGCAGGGGTCTTCAAACTTGGCCCTTTGATGACTTGTGGACTTCAACTCCCAGAATTCCTCAGCCAGGATGTGTGCCTGGCTGAGGTATTCTGGGAGTTGAAGTCCACAAGCTGGGATCTTCAAACTTGGCCCTTTGATGACTTGTGAAGTTCAACTCCCAGAATTCCTCATCCAGGCACGAGGAATTCTGGGAACTGAAGTCCACAAGTCATCAAAGGGCCAAGTTTGAAGAGCCCTGATCAAGAGTTACTCACCGGATATTTTTCAAAGGGATCGATCAGAAGGGCGTCCCCGAAGATGCTTCGGCAGTACTCGGCCATCTTAGCCTGCTGCTTCGCTCTGGAAAAGGGAAAATCAGTACAAGCCTCCGTAAAACAAGATACGAGAAAAAAAACGACGTCTCTCACGCAGGCTGCGAGTAGCTTACTCACGAATCAACGTGGTTCTCAAACGACAGGATGACGGGGTAGGGCGATGTCTTGAAGGCGCTTTCCGCAATGGCCTCAATGACCTCCTGCAACAGAGCCGAGATGAGAGCGAAGGGATTTAACATTGGCTGGGGGATTCTGGGAGTTGAAGTCCAGAAATTTTAAAGCATGTTGGCTGGGGAATTCTGGGAGTTGAAGTCCACCCCTCTTAAAGCATGCTGGTTGGGAAATTCTGGGAGCTGAAGTCCACCCATCCTATACTATATGGGTTGGGGAATTCTGGGAGTTGAAGTCCACCCATCCTATACTATATGGGTTGGGGAATTCTGGGAGTTGAAGTCCACCCATCCTATACTATATGGGTTGGGGAATTCTGGGAGTTGAAGTCCACCCATCCTATACTATATGGGTTGGGGAATTCTGGGAGTTGAAGTCCATCCATCTTAAAGCAGGCTGGCTGGGGAACACTGGGACCTGAACCCCGCCCATCTTCAAGTTGCCAAGTCTGAGGAGCACCGCGATAGAGCTTTATTTTATTTATATTTCCTATTTTTAACCGCCCATCTCCCTCAAGGCACCTGCCTGGAGAGGAGGGGGGGTTGGACTAAATGACCTCTTAGGTCCCATCCCATGTCCTGATTCCCAGATTCTAGGCTTAAGAAGAAAGGCTGGATTGAAGAGGTGAAGGAGGGGGAGGGTCTCTTGCCCTCCAGGAAGACAAACTAGCCAGAGGGGGACCCCCCCCCCCGCAACGGGTACCTTGAAGGGGATCTCCGTCGTCATGGTGAAGCCGTGGGTGATAAAGGGTTCTTCGTCCTGGGGACGCCCCTTCCAGCAATCAAGTTCGATACAGCGGCACCCGCTTAAGAGTACCTGCCGGTACATTTCCACGGAGGAATTGCCCGTCAGCTGCCCGGCTGGAGGGAGAAAGGAGGAGAGGGTGAGAAAAAAGCCTTCGGAGGGAAAAAAAAAAAAAAGAAGAAGAAGAAGAGGAAGAGTTAGATAAGAGTTAAAGTCCATCACCGATTTGTTGCGTACAGCATTAAGCTTGTGAACGCTCAAGCTTCCTCTTCCCGCTATGGATTCACGAGGAACCGGTATTAATATTGATATGTTCTTTGTAGGGGAGGGGGTTTTATTCATAGGGTTGCACGTAGCATGCTTAAATGTGTGTTTTGTATCTTCCCTACTTTACAAGCTTTTCACTTCACAAACCCGAGGCCACAAATGTTACACTCCAGTTCTCCTCTGGGGACGCTAGGAAATTGCAAGCTATTATCCAAGAGAGAATTTTTTTCCTTCTTTGGCGCCGGCTAATTGGAGTGACGTCTCCAGAGGCTGCATCACAAAAGATTCCCACCTTCCATTATTTGAATTATTCTGCCATTGTCTTGCTTTTATTCGCCTGCTGGCTTCGTTTCCACGCAGGCCTCTTAAGTGTCTGGATTCACACCCGTGCCCGGGTCTTGTGCAACTAAGCCATAAACGGCAAAGGGTGGGTTTACGGGCCACTCTTAAGCCAAGATCAAGCCAGTCGTATCAGGGTTTGCCACAGTGTTCAAACCATCTCCAGTCAGTTCTGGCCCCAGTTGTTGCAAAACTCCAATTCTCAACATCCCTCACTTTTGACCAAGTTTGCAAAGGCTGCTGGGAACTGCACTTCACATAAGAATTGAGCACTGTTCCTCGAACTCGGAACTTTAAGATGTGCAAACTTTTGGCCGGAAAATTCTGGGAGTTGAAGTCCACAAATCTTAAAGCATTGCTTGCTGGGGAATTCTGGGAGTTGCAATGCACATATCTTAACCTTGCTAAGGTTGAGAAATGCTGATTTAGAGCAAACGTTCCCCATCTCTGTGGTAAAGGGTGAAAAAAATGTACCAATAGATAAAGAACTGGGTGGAGTCCCCTCTGCCGGTGCTGGAATGTCAATAAAATGTTCAGTGCGAGCCATAAAAAATGAGTCATTAAATTCTTCTCTCAGCTGCAAACTCAGTTTAATGCTTCAATCTTCAAATGCTTCTGCAAATCGTCTTGAATTAAAGAGCTCACTAGCAATATCATTTACCGTGGGATGCTCCAATTTTGCGACACCACAACCCTCTAAAACACTCGACCTCAATAAATTTAAGACAGGTGGACCTCAACTCTCAGAATTCTCCAGCCAGCGTACTGGCTAGGGAAGTCTGGGAGTTGATGCCCACACAGCACATAGTGGCCAGGACTGAGAAACATTGCTTTATGTTATCTCAGGGGTCTTCAAACCTGGCCCTTTTAGGACTTGTGGACTTCAACAGATATATAGATGTATAGATATAGATATAGATAGATAGAAATAGAGATAGATAGAGAGGTAGAGATAGATAGATAGATAGATAGATAGATAGATAGATAGATAGATAGATAGATAGACAGAGATAGACAGAGACAGACATAGAGATAGAGATAGATAGATATAATAATAGATAGATATAGAGATAGATATATAGATAGATATATAGAGAGATAGATAGATAGATAGATAGATAGATAGACAGACAGATAGATACCGACAGACAGATAGAGATAGAAAGATATATATATATAACGCAGAACAGACTGATTTATGTTTGGTAGACAGGAGCCAACAAAAGCTAGGTCTGCTTTTTATTAAAAACTTTTAATGTTTTATATTTAAAACTTTTAAATGTTTTACTCTTTCCTGGTGCTCACGTTTTTATTTCTTAACATGCATACACCCAGGAATCATTCCTCTTTTTTAGTACCATCTTTAATATATGTATATATATGTATACGTATATGTAGATGTAGATGTAGATAGATAGATAGATAGATAGATAGAAAAATAGATATAGATATATATAGAGAGACAGATGCCTTCACAGCTGCCCAGTCTGTATCTATAGGTACCTGTGAGGTAGGTATTATGTGAAGAATTAATGAAGTAGCTGCTTAGTGGATGTGTCATGTCGTCACATAGGTCCAGCTTTTCGGGGGGCACGATGGTGTTCTCTTCACCCCCCAGGTAGCGCCCAAAACCCTCCAGGGACATCTGATCTGGGAAAGGAAGAGAAAAACTTGAGACTCCCTTGGCAAATCCAAGAACTTCAAATAAAAGAGAATGGATTGAAAAAAAAACAGGAAAATTTCAACCACAGCTTCAATTCAAGAACTAGCCCTATATTATTACTACCATTATTAGGGATATTATTACTATTTTCTGCCCCCTAACCGCTACACAAATAGGTCCAAATCTTTTTTTTTTTTTTTTTTTTTGCATTTGGCTTTTCTCCTCTCCGTCCACAGTTTTTGTTCAGTTGCTCGCAGACTGCGCGAGAACGGGTTTGTAAAGGCGGACGGTGCCGAGTTCAGGGGACGCGCGAATCCAAGCAGGCCCCGTGTTTCTCCTGGCTCATCCTTGGGGCAAAAGAAAGGGCATCTTACCCCTTTGCTGGAACTGCTGGTTGGGCTCGTACTTGGCGATCAGTTGGCGCACTTGCGCCCGAGTGAGGGGGGGGTACAAGACCTCATTCAGGCGGGGGTCTCGTTGCTTCTGGTTGATAAACTCCATCAGCTGGTCGAGGCTGAGATACGGCTTCCCCTTGGCTCCACTGATGGGATTAGGACAGAAAAGAAAAAAGGAATTGGATACAGGGAGTCCTCGACTTACGACCACCACAGTTTCTGTTGTTAAGTGAGACATTTGGTCGTGACTTTTGCTCCATTTTACAGCCTTCCCTGCTGGAGCTGCTAAAGGAATCAACTGCGGTTGTTAAGAGAGGAACACGGTTGTTAAGTGAATCTGGCTTCCCCATGGAAGGTCGCAAAAGGGGGTCATGTGACTCCGGGAGACACGGTCGATGGTCATCAATACGAGTCAGTCGCCAAGCATCTGAGTTTTGATCATGTGACACTGGGGAGGCGGCAACGGTCATAAGTGTGAAAAACGGTCCTCAGTCCTTTTTCAGTGACGTCGTAACTCTGAATGGTCGCTAAACGAATTGTTGTAAGTCGAGGACTGCCTGTATTGTATGGGGTATTGGGGCTATAAACCTACAGGCCACAGGTAGTCCTTCACTTAGGACCGCAACGGAGCCCCAAATTTCCGTTGCTAAGTAAGACAGTTGTTCAATGAACATTGTCCCGTTTTATGACCTTTCTTGCCGCAGTTGTTAAGGGAATTGCTGCTTGGTGAAAAGGTTGCCTAGCCCACAGGGGCGCCCTGGAACGGCTGAGGTGATTCGCTTAACGGCCGCTGCAAAAAAGGTCAAAAATGGTCATATGGGTGACCCAATTTATGACTGTCAAAACCAGAGGTAGGCAACCTTGGCCCTTTTATGACTTGTGGACTTCAACTCCCAGAATTCCTCAGCCAGCATGAGGGAAACTTTGGCCCCCTCATGACTCATGGACTTCAACTCCCAGAATTCCTGAGCCAGCATGGCTCAGCTTGGAAACCTCTCCCTTTCCCCTCAGCATGGCTGGCTCAGGAATTCTGGGAGTTGAAGTCCACGAGTGATGAAGGGGCCAAAGTTTCCCTCATGCTAGCTCAGGAATTCTGGGAGTTGAAGACCACGAGTCATAAAAGAGCACAAGTTGCCTAACCCTGGTCAAGACTTACGACCTTAACCCAACAGGCTCCGTTATGGTCGTATGTTGAGGCGTCTCCCTTTCGGTCTCACAACGGCGTCCGATCCACAAAAATGTGACTTACATCTCCAGCAAGATTTTGTCGATGTCGGGACGGAGGCAAAGTTTGTTGAGGAAACGCTCGAAAATCTCCAGGGTGAACTCTTCCGGCTTGATCGACTCGCTCTGGGGAGGAAGCATAAAAGAGTGCAAACGGGAGAGAAATCTGAATTATTTCTTGAAATTCGGGGGGGGGGCTGGAAAGAGGGGCATAAAGGGAGGCTGGGCAGGGCTGGAGAACCAAATTGCCTTGAAAAAGGGGGGATTTAGCAATAGGCCTAAAAAACTAATCCTAACCGTGATTCTCAACTTTAGCAACTTTTGAGACGGGTGGACTTCAACTCCCAGAATTCTGCCTGGGGGATTCTGGGAGTGGAAGTCCCTCCATGTTACGAGGCGCCAAGGTTTGAGAAACATTGCTCTAGATAATGGGGGGCTTTTCTTCCCAGCATCCTTCAGGACTGGCCCTGCTGGCTGGGGAGGCTGGAAGCATAATTGGTGGGGTCACTTCTGAAAATCAAAATGGCATTTGATGGGCCAAAAGCCCAATTCAGTATAGTAGAGATTCTTCTCGTGATATCAAAAAGGTCTTGCTTTTCTAGGAGCTCCTCCTCCATCACCTCTCCTTCTTTCCTTCCTTCCTTCCTTCTCCTCCTCCCTCCCTTCCATTCCTTCCTTCCTTCCTTCCTTCCTTCCTCCCTCCCATTCCTTCCTTTCCTTCCTCCCTTTTCCTCCTTCCTCACTGCCATTCCCTCCCTCTCTCTCCTTCCTTCCTTCCTTCCTCCCATTCACTCCTTCCTTCCTTCTTTCCTTCCTCCCTTTTCCTCCTTCCTCACTGCCATTCCTTCCTTCCTTTTCCTCCTCCCTCCCTCCCTCCCTCCCTCCCTCACTCCCATTCCTTCCTTCCTTCTTTCCTTCCTCCCTTTTCCTCCTTCCTCCCTGCATTCCCTCCCTCTCTCCCTCTCCTTCCTTCCTTCCTTCCTTCCTTGCTCCCTTCCTTCCTTCTTCAAGTAAGGCAGATGTTATTGGGGATCCTGGGCACACTCAAAAGTTTTGGGGTGATGCTAGGGAAAAGCACTGGGCAACTGAATCTGAAGCATCAGCAACCAGCCCGGAGGAACTGACCCTGTTGAAGTTCAGGCCGCAGGATTCCAGGGCCGTCTCCACTCGCTTCTTGTCAGCCGAGAACATTTTGAGAATACTGCAAGAAGGAAACCAAAAAATAAAAAATAAAAATTGAATTGAATCGGGCTGGCCCCACCGAGACTCAGTTTCCCTCCACCAAGCTGTCTCCAGGCCTTCGGATTGCTCCTCCCATCGTTCCCAGCCCATGCTCCAGGGGAACAGGGCGATGGGAGATGCGGGCAAACCAACTCGGAGCTCGCAAAGCAAAAACACAATTTGCAACAGGCCAGAATTTGCCAGAAACGGAGGTGCAAAAAAATATATATTGCTTGCTCGTTAGCCTTCTTGACCAGACAGGAAACACAAGCAGATAAGCTTATTTTATTGTAAAGTTTTGCTAACAGAAAGTCTCAAAGCACAAGTCCACATTGTAAAATATTAGGGGGTGGTCCTATCCCCCACCCATTATGCAGCTTATGTTGTCTCTTGCCTAACCGTTTCCTTGACCCTGCCTCTTTTCTCTTAGTCATTCCCAGATACCAGATCACCAACCCAAAAGAACCTAGGAAGGGAAACCGTCTTACTTCTTGACAGGGATCCGCCCATCTTGGTTAACCTGGAGTTTCAGCCGGGTGTAGCTGTAAGCACACAATTGGGAGAGTGAGTCCACCGGAAGGAAAGGTGGAGCTGCTTATCGTGGTCAAAAGATAAGCTGGAAAAGGTGTTTGTTTTTTTTTCCTCCCACCCCATCGAAAATTTAATTCAATTCTCCTTTTTTAAAAAAAGGCTGGCTTGGGTCAGTCTAGATCGCAAATGCAAGTCAGGTCAGCTTTGGATGAATCAGGAAGTCCCCGTCTTTATTGCCGGAAAAAGCCACTTACGCTTTTTGCAAAAAAGTATTCCGAGAAGCGTTTTGGGCAAGGATGTTGGTAGCCAGCTTGAACAGTTCCTCGGCCCAAATCTGGAAGCAGAAGAAAGGAGGGAAAACGCTGTAATTCCTTTACGCCCAAGAAACTGGATTTGAAAGCAGGTGGCCCAGAATCACACACCAAAATAGGAAGGAGATTGTGGGTGTCTGTGCTTGGCTGATGGCAAAAGGAGGCCTGGAGGCTTGCAACAATCTGTTTAGTGACCGTCCTGAGCTACCATGGCACTGAAACAAGTGACTTGTGAGCCGGTCCTCACAGTTACGACCCTCTCAAATAATAACCTGATCAAAATTCGGACGTCATGTATTTATGACGACTGCCGTGTCCTGAGGTCACGCGATCACAGTTTGCGGCCGTCCAGTCAGCCAAATCAATGGGGGAAGCCGGGTTTGCTTAACGACCGGGTGATTCACTTAACAGCCGCAATGATTCATTTAACAACCATGGCTACAGCTGTCGTAAAATCAGGCACAGCTCATTTAAGAGGCTGCCTCGCTTAGCAATGTGAATGGCTAAATGAGGTGGCAAGGCAAGGACTTGTTTTTCCCAATCTTCGCTCCAAATATTCTCTTAATGCCATTTGTTCCTTTTGCCACAACTCAACAATGCAACCCAACACACACACACACCAGCCTGCTCTGGAACGCCCGCAAAACAGGGCAGAACCAGAATAAAGTTGCTGCCTTCCTAGATTTCAGCCACTTTTTTAAACAATAAGGCTAATTTGATTTGGAGAGCGAGCAGATGCCATTTAAGGATGTGGCGAACACAAAAGCGGTTGATTTTTCACCCATGGGTAGATCTGTTTTTGAGCCAAAACAGCTTTAAAAAAGACAGCAAATACATATAACCCACAGGATGAACAAGCCTTGGACTTCTTTGCAAATCTGAAATATAGATTCCGGGCTATTTAACCCCGTGGGGTAAAAAGAAAGCCCTGTTTACTGCACAGTTCAATTAAATGGAGGTTTTAAAACACTTTGTTTTTTAATGTTATGGCTTTTTGCATTTGGGTGCCCGGAAGTTGCCTAGAGACAAGATTTTTTTAGGAGATGAGGTTTTAGAAAAGTTTCCCAAAGCGTTTTTAAAAAAGTTTTTAAGAGGCGTTCAGAAAGCATTACTTTGGAAGAGTGTGTGAGAGACGCAACACTCACAACCATCACGATGCGTGCAAATGAGAACAGGGCCATTAGCTGCTTGCCACTGTGCCCAAGACATTCCCCAAAGCTTATTTAGCTTAATCAGTAATCCAGAACTAAAAGGAACAGTTCCATAACAGGAAAACTTGAAGCAATGCATTTCCATCTGAACAATTTTATAACCGCTAAAATCAAGATGGGAAAAGATATTCTGGAGTCTTGGGCTCCCCAAGGAAATCAATTCCCTGTGTGTGTGTGTGTGTGTGTGTGTGTGTGTGTGTGTGTGTGCATGCGTGCGTGTGTGTGTATGTGTATAAATAAATAAAAATTTGGTATTTTAGGCCTAAGCTACTACAGGTTTCAAACTGAAGGAATGGGAATAATAATAATAATAATAATAATAATAATAATAATAATAATAAGAAGAAGAAGAAGAAGAAGAAGAAGAAGAAGAAGAGGAAGAGGAAGAGGAAGAGGAAGAAGAAGAAGAAGAAGAAGAAGAAGAAGAAGAAGAAGAAGAAGAAGAAGAAGAAGAAGAAGAAGAAGAAGAAGAAGAAGAAGAAGAAGAAGAAGAAGAAGAAGAAGAAGAAGAAGAAGAAGAAGAAGAAGAAGAAGAAGAAGAAGAAGAAGAAGAGGTACCAATAGTCATAGGCGCCTTGGGTGCAATCCCAAAACAACTGGAGCACCACTTGAACACCATTGGCATTGACAAATTCGCTATTAGTCAATTGCAAAAGGCGGCCTTACTAGGAACTGCTTCCATCCTGCGACGATATCTGTAATACCATCAAACATCCACATCTGCCTATCCCAGGTCCTGGGTAAGGACTCGATAGGTAGACAAAATGCCAAATCCAGTCTGAACATCTGGCTGACTGTGCGATGATCAATAATAATAATACTGTTGGAAGGGACCTTGGAGGTCATCTAGTCCAACCCCCTGCTCAGGCAGGAAACCCTATCCCATTTCAGACAAATGGCTGTCCAGTCTCTTCTTAAAAACTCCTAGTGTTGGCGCGTTCACTGCTTCTGGAGGCAGGTGGTTCCACTGGTTAATTGTTCTCACTGTCAGGAAGTTTCTCCTTAGTTCTAGGTGGCTTCTCTCTTTGGCCTCCTTACCTTTGCTGTATTGTCCTGGACCACTGCCATGAAGTTCAGGAAACTCACGTTGACCAGGTCAGGCCCATGAACCACTGTCAAAAGTTTATCCTCGGGTTGTTGTTCGGGACTTCCAAAGCCCAGGGTTTCCCGAATTTTGGGGTCCTTCAAAAGACAGGAGAAGACATAGAAGAGTTGAGAGAAACCATCTTTACTGGACGGAGGCTATGAAGAAGCGTGGTTTTTGTTAAGCGGTGTTTCTCAACCGTGGCAACTTTAAGACGTGTGGGTGTCAACTCCCAGAATTCTCCAACCAGCATGCTTTCGAATGGGTGGACTTCAATACCCAGAATTCTCCAACCAGTATTTTCATTTTCATTACTGGTTTGCAACGTAAAATTGTGCGCGTCAGCTTTCCCTAAACTGGATACTCTCTAGAGCAGGGGTAGGCAACCTTGGCTCTTTTATGACGCGTGGACTTCAACTCCCAGAATTCCTGAGCCAGCATGAGGGAAACTTTGGCCCCCTCATGACTCGTGGACTTCAACTCCCAAAATTCCTCAGCCAGCATGGCTCAGCTTGGAAACCTCTCCCTTTCCCCTCAGCATGGCTGGCTCAGGGATTCTGGGAGTTGAAGTCCACGAGTTATAAAAGAGCCAAGGTTGCCTACTCCTGGCCTAGGCCTAGGCCGCTTTATGACTCGTGGACTTCAACTCCCAGAATTCCTCAGCCAGCATGGCTCAGCTTGGAAACCTCTCCCTTTCCCCTCAGCATGGCTGGCTCAGGGATTCTGGGAGTTGAAGTCCACGAGTCATAAAAGAGCCAAGGTTGCCTACCCCTGCTCTAAACATGTGAATGTCAACTTCCAGATTTCTCAGCAATGCCCATGCTACCTGAGGAATTCTGGGAACTGAGATCCACCCACTTGAGAAGAAGCCTTCAATTCCCAGAATTCTCCACAAGGGTCACGCAGGAATACTGAGAATTGAGACTTGAAGGATGGAGAGGTTATCAATCTCAATAATTCGATAAATCACTGTATCTAGCCCAGAAAAACAGAGTTAAAAACAAATCCAAGCTTAATGCAATGAGACAATGCTACGACGGGGTCCTTCCAGCAGGCTAAGCTATTACCCTGGTTATCAAATTATTTTAATTTTATTTCCTCATTTTATTTCATTAATGGAGAGACTGGCTGACTCCACAAATTCCAGGTAGCTTACTTATTAAAAAGTAGAAAGCAAGGAAAAAAAAGAAAAGAAAAACAACGGACTTTCGAAAACAAAAACCTATATACCCACAAATCAAGAGTTTTGCATGCAGAATGGAGAGAGCTGAGGTTTGCATTCTGGAAACAAACCACGGTTTGTACACAACAAACCACAGCTTGTACTCTGGAAAATGGCAGACATTTGTTAAGTGAATTTTGCTCACTTTTGCGACCTCTCTTGTGCCCATAATTAAGCAAACCGCTTAACACGTGACTCCCTTAAGTCAGTCACACGGTTCCACCTATAAACCGGGATTTACCTTCGGCAGCTTGGCATAGCGTCCCGTCCGAGTGTCCCGGATGTAGCTGATATCCAAAACGTCCACTTCCTGTCAATTTGGGGAGGTGGGGGGGAGAAACAGGCAAAAAAAAAAAAAAAGGGAGGTAAAGGGTTATGAAGTGAGATAAGGAAAATCTTGGTTACCCAAAGCCTGAAAAATTATAAATATCAAAGGTTAAATTGGAATATTGGTGAGAAATTAAAAATTGGGCAAAAATTAGTAACGGGATATGGATTGTTTAGGAAAATCGAATGTCATTAAGATATGTATAAGCTAAAAATGTATGGATCGATGTAATAACGATGTTCTTATTGAGTTGGTATCATTAGAAATGTACAACCTTGAATAGGAGACAGTAAAGGTTAAGGCAAAAAGAGAAGAAATATCTGATGTTGTAACTTGAGTTTTGCACTAAAGACTTTGTTATTGAACTATGGGTTAACCCAGTCCCCACGTTGCTTTTTAAATATTCAAATGGAAAATTGATAAAACATTATTTTAAAAAAAAGGAGAGCAAAATAAAAAAAGACGTTTCTTCAATTTAACGTGCTTTATTAGCACCGTGGCCCATTTCTGCCACCTTTTCCTGCTGTGACAAGAACCGCAAAATGTGTTAATTAGGCTAGCTAACGAGGTTTCTCTCTTCCTTGCCCCCACGACAAGGAACATATTAATTTTAGATTGGGGGTTTGTTTTTTGGTGTTTTTTTTTTTAACTGCCAGAAACCTCCTTGGTAAAGTCTCAATAGCTGCCTTTTGCATAATTCAAGGAAGGAGAAAAGAAACAACCGGCAGCCAACAAAGATTAGTGTCTATGATAGTCTGTTGGCGGCTACCTATTAGCCGGCTTTGATCCGTTCACACACACTTCCCTGCACAAAAAGCACACACTCCAACGCCCTCCTATTTGCTAGGGTTTCCAGTCCCTGCCGTAGTTTGTTGCGAAAAATAAATCCTCTGCTTAAGGCTGAAATTACAGGGGGTCCCCTACTTACGTCCGCAAGGGAGCCCCAAATTTCTGGCGTTCAGCGAAACATTGGCTAACTGCGGTTTTGCCCCATTGCACAAACTTTCTCGCTACAAGCCACGTTGTTCAGGGCCGTTGTACCTTCAAACGGTCACTAAATGAACTGTCGTGAGCCGAGGGCTGCACCGTGAAGGAGACACGGGTAAATAGGTAAATATAATGTAGTTTAAAACCAATTTTTTTTTAATCTGGAGGCTTTTTAGGAATATATCTATATCATCTGTCTATCTATCCATCCATCCATCACCTTCTATTCCTGCCTGCCTGCCTCTATCTATCTATCTATCTATCTATCTATCTATCTATCTATCTATCTATCTATCTATCTATCTATCTACCTACTATCTGTCTATCTATCTATCTATCTATCTATCTATCTATCTATCTATCTATCTATCTACTATCTGTCTATCTATCTATATCTAGCTAGCTAGCTACTATCTGTCTATCTATCTGCTTATCTATCTACTATCTATCTATCAGCTATCTATCTATCTATCTATCTATCTATCTATCTATCTATCTATCTATCTATCTATCTACCCATCTATCCCCACTGGGAATCGTGCCAAAGGCATGCACACACACACACACACATACACACCCCGTCCTTTCACCCCTCTTGGGCTGGGCCAAGCGCCTGCCCCTAGAGAAAAAAACAAAAAAGGCAAATTAGAGGCTGTAGTAGTGATTGTCGAATGCCAAAGAACTCCCAACCGCAAAGAAATTGTGCAGGGAAATCATGCGGTAACAAGGGGCAAAAAAAAAAAAGAATTGAAAGCTATTGAAAACCTCACCGGCTTTTTAAAAAATTGCTTTTTGAAAGAAAACACACACACACACACAAACACACACTCAAACACCTGAAGGCAAAGAACTGGCAAATTAAGGGTTGGTAATGTTTTTTTTAATTTGGATTTTTTTCACCCTGTGTTTCCAAAGCTGACATTCCTTTGCAAGGTGTGGCTTTCTTTCTTTCTTTCTTTCTTTCTTTCTTTCTTTCTTTCTTTCTTTCTTTCTTTCTTTCTTTCTTTCTTTCTTTCTTTCTTTTTGCAGGGACAAAAAGAAAGAGGTTGCAACCTGAACTTATTTTTGATATATTTTTTTAAAGGAGAGAAATTTCCCCATTGAAAGGTTGGGAACTAGAGAAAAGAAGGCTATTTCTATTTTTTTTAATTTTCGCTTCTTTTCTTTTTGCATTTTTTACTCATTTATATTTTATTCTAATCACCATTCTGATATTATATTTTATTAGGTTTCTATCTAGATCGGCCTTATTTTTTTATTATCTAATTATATTTTTTTATTCATATTTTTATTTTGCATCGCTATTTTTCTTTCTTTTTTATTCAGGAAGATTTCCTTTTCGCTCTTATTTATACTTTTTATTAGTATGTTATTGTGTGTTGTTATGTTTCATTCATATTGTCAATAATAATAATAAAAATAAAGTTGGAAGGGATCTTGGAGGTCATCTAGTCCAACCCCCTGCTCAGGCAGGAAACTCTATAAACCCTTTATTACTTTTTTTTATCATATTCCTATTTTTATTTTATACCTAGATTTTCCTTCGTTTCTCATCTTTGGAAACTGTAGACTTTCATAGCATGGTTATGAAAAACAAAAAAAAGCAAAAATGCCACCCTTGCATAACAGGGAAGCCGTGCCCAGCAGAGGCACCCCCAAACCTTCCCAGTCACTGCTCCCCAATTTTTTCCTTGCAAACTTTAGCACAGATCCTCCTGCTCCCCGAAATCCTAAGCCAAAGTCAGAAGTCTCCCAAAGGCTTAAAAACGTCCTTAAAATTCTCCAGTTTCCCTTTGGGAGAACTCAGCCTGTTCACACACACACTCACACACACACAAAATTAGTGAATCCAGGAAATTGCTTAATTCTGCCCTCGGAGTGTGATTGTGCCAACATGCCCACAGAGAGGAAAACAAGACATTTGCACCCGGTTAGACTCAAAGTCGGAGAAACCCAGCCTAACCAGCAAAACGAATCGGCCCGAATTTCCGTGAAAATTCAAAATTAGCTACTCGTGGACCTTCTAAAATGCAGACTCCACGCGTGGGACTGGCAGCGTCCAACCTGGGAATGCAGATGGGGAGAGAACGGCTGGCCAATCATCCTGGCCGTCCCCCACTGCGTTTTTCTTAAAATCGAAGACTTCCCGTCACTTTGCGTTAATAAATAAAATTAGGAAGACGAGGAGGAGGAGGAGGCGGAGGAGGAGGAGGAGGAGGAGGAGAAAAAGCCACAGTTTAAATCCCTTTCCTTGGCTTCTTAAGCATGACCAACTCCCAGCCAGCCTCTCTAGCAACACCCTGCCTCTCACCCCAGATTTCTTGACAAACCAGCTTAGCGGCTTCAGTGCCCTGACAGGAGAACACAAACACCTCAACCCAAAGTCTGCTACGCAACCCGCCTTCCCCTGGGGTGGCAGCTATGTGGGTCTGTTTGTGTGTGGATTGGCACTGTGTTGAAAGGAACACCTACGCATGGCCCCCTCCACAGCTGCCCGGAGGAGACCCCGCTGCAGAAGCATGCAGGGTGGAAGTGGGCCTGCCCCCCCAAAAAAACCCACACCGCTGGCTCCTGTGATAAACAAAATGCACCCACAGCCTTTCTGAGCTCCCACATCCATCCACCACGATAAAAAAGGCCGGCAGCATAAAACGCTTGTAAAAAGAGGGGAGGGAGCTGGGGAAGAATGCACGGGGTGGGGGTGGGGCTGGGGAGGGGTGCAGAGGTTGAAGAAGGCAAAATGCAAAGAGTACCAAACTCGGCCCGGTCCAGTAGAGGAAGAAGCCTTGGGGATCCACGCGGAGAGTCACCAGGGCCCGGCTGGTCGGTTCCTAGAAAGGGAGGTGGGAAAAACAGAGAAGTCAACAATCTGGCTTTCTTTTTCTTGCAAATTAGGGATTATTGCTAATATTGTGGTAGAGAAACAGAGGGATGGATGGATGGATGGATGGATGGATGGATGGGTGGGTGGATAGGTGGATAGATAGATAAGAGATAGATAGATAGATAGATAGATAGATAGATAGATAGATAGATAGATGATTGAAAGTATAGAGATACATAGAGATAGATAGATAGATAGATAGATAGATAGATAGATAGATAGATAGATAGATTGAAAGTATAGAGATAGATAGAGATATGATTGAAAAGAAAGATAGATAGATACATAGATAGATACATAGATAGATGATTGAAAGGATAGATAGATTTGAAAGTATGGATATAGAGATAGATGATATATATATATAGAGAGAGAGATGATTGAAAGTATAGATAGATAGATAGATAGATAGATAGATAGATAGATAGATAGATAGACAGACAGACAGACATACAGACAGATAGATAGATGACAGGCAGAGAGACAGAATTGGATTCGCTTAACAACCATGGGAGAAAAGGTCACAGAATTGGGGACAACTCATTGAACGCCTGCATCACTTAGTGATAAGACATTCCAGTCCCTACAGTGGTTGTAAGTTGAGGACTGCGTGTACTTCTTGTCATCTATACAAGGGCTCTCCAAACGTTGCAACTCTGAGCAGACTTCAACTCCCAGAATTCCCCAGCCAGCAGGCTTTCACCAGGAATTCTGGGAGCTGTCCAGACAAGAGCTCACACGTCTTCAAGTTGCCAAGCTTGACAAAGACTTCTCTAAATTCTTCTGCATTGCTTTAGAGATGTGTCTGGCTTCTGCCCTGAAGCTATTCTAAAAGTCCTTGAAAATCTGGCTTTTCTCCCAGGCCTTGGCATCAGATAGTGGCTGAGCCCGTTAGTTTTTTGGGGTTTTTTTTTTTGTTTTGCCTATTTTCGCAAAAGTTGTGTAAATGTTATTTTTTCTTCTAGACATTTGTGGCTTTTTTTTCCCCTCTGTTTTATCAACTTTACTTTTCAAAGTTCTAGGCTGCCCAGAGACGTTTGGAATCGGGCAGCCTTTAAATTGAATAAATGGCAAAAATATATAAGTCTTAGAAAGACTTTAGCGAGTGGCATCCTTTGCTTTGCCACCCTGGGAAATCTCTAAGTGTAGAGAAGTGCGAGTCTAAGCTTTTTTTCCGCAAAAGCTGCGCTAATCTCTTTTACTTTCGACTTTCCTTCATCATTGCAATTTTAAACACCCCTTTCTAGCCTTGCTGGCGATGCTGTTCCTCCGTCCACTCCGGATCCCTAGGGGATTTTAGCCGGCGTGCAATTTCTCAGCTCTTGTTTTCCATTTCGCCTCTTATACATTTTCCTTGCTAAAGCAATAATGAGTCAAAAGTGGAAATTCTTGGATAATGTTATCAGTGGGCGGTTGGCAGGCAAAAACAGGGTCAGTTGTCCTTCTTAAAAAAAAAAGTCATGGATGAAGTTGGAAAACTAAGTTCACAGAGGGACGAACCCCACTGTTTATGGGAGCTGTAAAGATTCTGTTGATTACCTTAACGATAATCACAGCTGTAATCTTGAGGAATCTTTGCGCTAGGTGGGAAATTATGGTTGAATTTTGAAATACAGCAGGCTGTTTTAAAGATTAAAAATCAGGGTGAATCTGCTAACTCTTTTTCCTGCTAGCAAATTTTATTCAGAGGACAATCTTCCATAGATAGATAGATAGATAGATAGATAGATAGATAGATAGATAGATAGATAGATAGATAGATAGATAGATAGATAGATAGATAGATAGATAGATAGGTGGATAGGGATAGGGGTAGTAGGGATAGGGATAGGGGTAGGTAGGTAGGTAGGTAGGTAGGTAGATAGATAGATAGACAGACAGACAGACAGACGGATAGGGATACAGAGATAGATAGATAGATAGATAGATAGATAGATAGATAGATAGATAGATAGATAGATAGATAGATAGATAGATAGATAGCAGTCTTCCAATATTTGAGGGCTGCCCCAAAGAAGAGGGGGTCAAACTATTCTCCAAAGCACCTGAAGGCAGGACAAGAAGCAACGGGTGGAAACTAACCAAGGAGAGAAGCAACCTAGAACTAAGGAGAAATTTCCTGACAGTGAGAACAATTAACCAGTGGAAAGACCTGCCTCCAGAAGTTTTGGGCTCCATCACTGAATCTTTTCAAAAAGAGACAAGAGAAGAGAAAGAGAGAGAGAGCGGAGAGAGAGAGAAGAGAGACAAAGAGAGAGAGAGGAGAGTGGAGAGAAAAGAGAGAGAGGAGAGAGAAGAGAGAGAAAGAGAGGAGAGAGAAAAGAGAGAGAGAGAAAACAGAGGAGAGAAAAGAGATGCAGAGAAGAGAGAGAGAGAGGAGAGAGAGAAAAGAGAGAAAGGAAAAGAGAGAGAGAGAGAAAAGAGAAACAGAAAGAGAAGAGAGAAAGAGAGAGGAGAGAGAGAGAGAGAGAGACGCCATCAAGGCCTAGGAGCATCCCCAGGGCAGATACAATCCCTTTCTCAGCCAAGATTTTTAATGCAAACCTCCTGTCATCCTCTGACTTAGCACGCATGATGGGGGGGGCGAGGGGGGGGAGAACAGGGCAGCAAGTTGAGGAAAAGATTCAAAAAGGGAGGATTTGCCCATTAAAGACAGGAAAAGTGATTTGAATTGGTCTCTTTGCAAAACAAAAACACAAAAACACGACCCTTTCCACCAGATTCCACTTGCCGGCTCCCATCGGACACACCCAGAGCGTGACCTCGCACTCACTCCCTGCCCTCTGGACCGTTATCTCTGTGGGAATATTGGCAGGGGAGACCGAATCTCTAGCGCGGGCAATAAAATGATAACTAAAGGGACAAAAGGGTGTCAGAGTCTATTGGCCCAGGCTAAAAGGGAGGGGCGGGGTCTCTCTGTTGTGCCCCCCCCCCTTCTCTAAAGACAGGAATAGGAGTGGGAGGAAAGGAGACCACCAAGCAGCCTATGTAATTCCCAACAGGAGTGGAAGGAGTTAGCAAAACAAGAGGGACCTTGAAAGCTCTTGAAACCCCCCAAAGGGTTAACTTCGTGCTGTAAATAGCCCCAAGACCCCGTTTTCAGGACCCCCACAAAAACACCCGTCTATGGATTAAGAGTCTATTTTGGCTATTAGCTTCCAGCAAGAAATTCTGGGAATTGAAGTCCACCCCTCTTAAAGCATGCTAGCTGGGGGATTCTGGGAGTTGAAGTCCACCCCTCTTAAAGCAGGCTGGCTGGGGGATTCTGGGAGTTGAAGTCCACCCCTCTTAAAGCATGCTGGCTGGGGGATTCTGGCAGTCCACCCATCTTAAAATTGTCAAGATGGAGAAACACTGTTCTAAGTCAACGCAGGCTTGCTTTGAACGGGGCAATTTCAGACATGTAGACTTCAACTCCCAGAACTCACTGAGACAGCGCTGGTGGGGAATTCTGGGAGTTTCCCCCCCCCTTAAAGTTGAGAAGGTTGGAGAAACACTGCTTGAACTGCTTAAATCAGGAGCCAACGCTAGTTTCCCAGCATGGGACCAAATCCCCTTGGAGAGAGAGACGACACGGTGTGCGTGCAGACTTCACCCTCGGCGACCTGTAAAATCCCGGATTTTACTTCATTTTGGATTCCCTGGGAGAATCCGCCTTGTAGCTGTCTGAGAAGGAGTTTGAAGCCAAGATTGGAAGGATCCTTGGCAGAGAATCCGGGAATATGTTTCTTTCGACTTATGCAAATATTTGCTAGGGTGTTTTTTTTTTTTCTTGACATCCTTGGAGCAGCAAAAGGGGAAGGGACTCAGATAAGAGACAGGCAGAGAGGTAGGATCCTCGCTCATCCCCAGTTGGCCCTGCCTGTTACTTAGGGGTCCTCAGCCCCCCTGAATACCTTTCCATCCCATCCCATCCCACCCCAGCCCCCACTCCCCTTGCAACGAGGCCTGCAGCTGGCGGCTGTTTAATGAAAAGGATTAGGGGTGACATGGTAGCAGTCTCCCAATATTTGAAGGGCTGCCACAAATAAGAGGGGTGTGTGTGTCAACCTGTTCTCCAAAGCGCCTGAAGGCAGGACAAGAAGCAATGGATGGAAACTGATCAAGGAGAGAAGCAGCCTAGAACTAAGGAGAACTTTCCTAAGAGTGACAACAATTGATCAGTGGAAGGGCTTTGCCTTCAGAAGTTGTGGATGAAATGGTATAGGGCAGGGGTCTTCAAACGTGGCCCTTTTATGACTTGTGGACTTCTGGGAGTTGAAGTTCACAAGTCCACTAAGTCATAAAAGGGCCAAGTTTGAAGACCCCTGGTAAGGCTTTCCTGCTTGAGCAGAAGGGTGGATTAACAGAACAACACAGTTGGAAGGGACCTTGGAGGTCATCTAGTCCAACCCCCTGCTCAGGCAGGAAACCCTATACCACTACAGACAAATGGCTGTCTAATCTGAAGGCAGGACCAGAAGCAATGGATGGAAACTAACCAAGGAGAGAAGCAACCTAGAACTGAGGAGAAACTTCCTGACAGTGAGAACAATTAGCCAGTGGAACAACCTGCCTCCAGAAGCGGTGAATGCTCCGACACTGGAAGTTTTTAAGAAGAGACTGGACAGCCCTTTGTCCAAAATGGTATATAGGGTTTCCTGCCTGAGCAGGGGGGTTGGACTCGATGACCTCCAAGGACCCCCCCTTACGGAGTGACTCTTTTGAGACTCATAAATAGGGAGACTGTATTTGCAAACCTCAACCGAGTCTCTCGCAGTGCCAGAATGTGCAAACTTCCTTTGGTTCCTTTAACGGTTGAAGATGGTGTGAGATAGTTGAGATATGATTTGAAGGGGGTTCAGCCAAAGAGAGGAAAAAAAATATTCTCAGTATTCTAAACTTTTTCTCTCCCCCTTTCTCTGCATCCCCCCCCCCCAATTTGTCCGGGTCCACAGCAGCATCAGAGGCTCAGTTGGATAAGATTTCTCTTTATATTACTGCTTTTCTTTCTTTTATGTTCATTTCTAGCCTCAACTTGGCTACTTCCTTTTTTGGAATTGGAGAGAAGGAAGTCAACCCACCCCAGAGCGGGTTGCAAGAGGCTGTGGGAGGTTGTGAGGTTGTGAAACCCTCAGCATGAACCAGAGGTGGGGAGTGGGAGACGAAAGGAAGGATTAGAAAAGGCAGCCGGAGGAGGCTTTAAGGAAAGAAAGGAAAAAATGTGAATTTTGGGGATCCCGTTGGGACATTGGCGGGAGATACACTGCGGGGAAGATTTCAGAAAAGGACCAATGTGAGGAATTGGCGCAATAACACAGCCCTGCGGTTTAGCAATGCACCTCAAGCTATGTTTCTCAACTTTAGCAACTTTTAAGAGGGGTAGACTTCAACTCCCAGAATTCCCCAGCCAGCCAGCCAGCCAGCCAGCCAGCCAGCATTGCTGGCTGTGAAGATTTCTGGGAGTTGAAGTCCCCTCCTTTTAAAGTTGCCATGTTCTAAATCAGGGGTCTTCAAACTTGGCCCTTTGATGACTTGTGGACTTCAACTCCCAGAATTCCTCAGCCAGGCACGAGGAATTCTGGGAGTTGAAGTCCACAAGTCATCAAAGGGCCAAGTTTGAAGATCCCTGTTCTAAACCAAAGAGGTTTTTCGGAGTGGGGCAATTCCAGTTGGGTGGACTTCAACTCCCAGAAACCTCTACCGCGGCCATGCTTGTTAGGGAATTCTGGGAACTGAAGTCCACCCGTCTTAAAATGGCCAAGGTTTAAGAAACACCAAAGTTATTTCTCATCAGATCACACGGTGTCTTCCTTCTGGGCTCCGATTCCCACCTGCCCGCGTCTCCAGCTTCAGGACAGGGGAAAGGGGACCCACCAAGGAGACCCCCCCCAAATTGACAAGGTCACCCCCAAACACCAGGAAACCGTCGGATCATCTGGGTAGACTGGTGAAGAAGTGTGCTTGCAAAGCTAGCTTGGATGGGCCATCAGAAAGCATATGGATCACAATTTTGAGGGGGGGGGGAGAAGCAGGGAAATCCATTTAAAAAGGCCCAATGAGAATGGAGAAACTCCAGAATGGATTGGGGGGGGTTGCATACCCATTTCAGCAAGCTTCCCCCTCCTCTGCAGGTTTTTTTTTTTTTTTTTTTTTTTTTGGACTTCTTGCAGCCTGGAAAATTTTGGGAGCTGAGGATGGAGGAGGGGAAAGGAGGGGAAGGGGCTGCGTTCTGAAAAGACCCAGCGAACCTCAAGCAAGAGGGGAGGGTCTTTCTAAGGGGAAGGGGCTGTTGGAGAAGGGGGCGAGGTTAGGGTCTTTCCAAGGGGAGGGGCTCACGGAGAAGAGGGGTGGGGTGGGGGGGATTAAAGCCAACTAACGGAGAGGGGGTCCTTTCTGCAACTCCCCCCACCAAAAGAATCACAGCCTCAGCCAATACAGCGAAGCTTGCAACCTGGCGAATTGGCAGGCAGAGAAGGAGCAAAGGATGAGTGACAGGTTTGAAAAAGAGGGAGGGGGTCTTGGGGGGGAGGAAGAGATGAGGAAGGAGAAATTTTGCATAAGGAAAGAGGAGAAAGTTTTCTCTCTCTCCCACATCATGGACCCCACCCTTTTTTTTTTAAATTCCTGCTGTTCAAAAATACAAAGAATTGGGAAGTTTGGAAGGAGAGGAATTTAAGAGCGTCTTACGAAATAAAAGGAATGAGGCACAGAGAGAGAGAAAGAAAGAGAGAAAGAAAAAACAGAAAGAGCCCAGCTGGGGGGTGGTATCCTTCGCCCCCTCCCTTCCCTACAGCGGCAGACAAGGGGGGGGGAGCATAATGGAAAGTGAAAGGACTTCCAGGGAGGACGCCCTCTCTCTTTCTCCCTCCCCCCCCAAAGAGGCAGCGAGAAAAGAAAAAAATAATAATCCAGAAACGCGTTTGTCTCTCACTCTCTCTCTCCCCCCCCCCCATACGCGTTCTTAAGAAAGCAGGCGGTTCCCCCACCTCCCCCGGACGGAAGCCGCGGGGTGCAAAGAAAGGAAAACTGGGCGAGGGTCTCCGAAAGGACTTGCAAGAAAAGGGAGGCCAGGAAAGGGGGGGGGGGAGCAAGGAAACTTTGCGCCTCCCCGAGGCGTGCAAACAAGGGAGGGAAGAAAAGGGAGGGAGGGAGGGAAGGAAAAGGGTGGGAGGCAGAGAGCAAAAGAAGGAAGGAAGAAAGGAAAGAAAGAAAGAAAAGGGAGGGAGGGAGGGAGGAAAGGGGTAGACAGGGAAGGAAGGAAGGAAGGAAAAGAGGGAGAGCAAAAGAAAGAAGGAAAGAAAGAAATAGAGATGGAGGGAGGGAAGGAAGGAAGGGGTAGAGAGGGAAGGGAAAGAGAGAGCAAAAGAAAGGAAGGAAGGAAGGAAAGAAAGAAAGTGGGAAGGAAGGAAGGAGAAGGGAGGGAGAGAGTAAAAGGAAAGAAAAGAGGGAGGGACGGAGGGAGAGAAGGAAGGAAGGAAAGAAGGAAAAAAGAACCGGAAGGAAGGAGGGAGGGAAGGAATAGAGAGGGAAGGAAGGAAAAGAGAGAAAGAGCGAAGGAAGGGAGGGAGGGAGGGGAAAGGGAGGAGGAAAGGAACGGGGGAGGAAGGGAAGGAGGGAAAGAAGGAGGGAAAGAGGGAAGGAAGGAAGAGGGAGGGAGGGAGTAAAAGAAGGAAGGAAAGAAAGAAAAGAGAGGGAGGGAGGGACGGAGGGAGAGAAGGAAGGAAGGAAGGAAAAAAGAACACGAAGGAAGGAAGGAGTAGAGAGGGAAGGAAGAGAAAGAGCGAAGGAAGGAAAGAAGGAGAAAAAAAAGGGGGCTTCTGCCCTGGTGCGGGGGGGGGGAGCCCCGCTCGACTCACCTCGTCCCATTTCATGAACTTGCTGCCCTTGAGGAGGGTCTCCGGCACGCGCAGGGGCTCCAGCTGGAGCGCGTGCACCCCCGGGCGCGCCCCGGCCATAGCTGCGCGCTGTTGGGCCGGGAGCCCCGCCGCCGCCGCCGCCGCCCCTCGCCTCTGCCCGCCTCTGCCCGCCTTCCCCAGGGCCGGAGCGGAGGCAGCGAGGCGGGGACTGGGCGGGGGTGGGCCCGGGCAGGGGAGGAGAAGCTTCAAGAGGCCGCCCCGGTTCCCTCGGGGAGGAGCGGAAGAGTCGAAGCGCAGCCAAGAAAAGTTGGCCAACTCCGGAGCGAGGCGCCTTGCTATGCGCCCGGCTTCCCACGGGGGGGGGGGAAGGAGGTAGCAGGACTGCAGGGCCCATGGTCCCCCGCCCGCCCTGGGCTCTAGAGGGAGAGGGCTTGGGGGAAGGACCCCCGCAGGGTTTTGGGGGGGAGAGAGGGAGGGTTGAAAGTGAGCGGGTGGGGGGGGGGCGCTCAGGAAAGTTTAACTAAACTAATCCTGGAGCTGCTGCGGAAAGACTCCGGATCCAAAAGAGAAGCGGGGATACAGGGTGTCCAAAGGCCGAACTGTACAGGAGGTCCTCGACTTACAACCGTCGTTCGTTTAGCGACGGCTGGAAGTTATAACAGCCCTGGGAAACAGTGGCTCAGGACCCTTTTTCACCCTTAACGACCGGGATCAGCATCCCGAAGGTCACGGGATCAAAATTCAGACAGGCTTGGCAACTGACTCGCACTTATGATGGTTGCGGCGTCCCCGGGGGGGGGGAGGTCACGTGATCCCCTTTGGCGATTCACTTAACTGTGGCAAGAAAGGTCGTAAAACGGGGCAAAGCTCACTTAAGAACGGTCCCCCCGCTTAGCCATTTTGGGGGCTCGGTTGTGGTTGTAAGTTTGAGGACTCCCTGTGTGGAGGGGTAAAATTACTTTTCGATGAAACGGGTGAGTCTGCAAAGAGGCCGCCAAGTCTCCAGATTCACACCGCCATCCCGCAGGGAGTCCTCGACTTAGTGAGCAGAATTGGTTCTGGAGAACGTCCAGTCGCAGAGTGAGACGGTTGTTAAATGAGTCGGATCCAATTTTGCAGCATTTTTTTGCTACAGTCGTTTGGTCGTGTGGAGGTTCCGCTCCGGATTTCTGCAAACTTCGGGAACAGCTTTTTCAAACAACAATGAACCAGTGGAACCACCTGCATCCAGAAGCGGTGAATGCTCCAACACTGGAAGTTTTTAAGAAAAGACTGGACAGCCATTTGTTCAAAATAGTACTATAGGGTTTCCTGCCTGAGCAGGGGGTCGGACTAGATGACCTCCAAGGTCCCTTCCATCTCTGTTATTCTGTGATTCTGTTATTCTGCTATTCTGTCTTCCTTCCTTCCTTCCTTCCTTCCTTCCTTCCTTCCTTCCTTCCTTCCTTCCCTTTCTCATCACTAGAGATTTTTAAGAAGAGACTGGACAGCCATTTGTCTGAAATGGTGTAGGGTTTCCTGCCTGAGCAGGGGGTTGGACTAGATGACCTCCAAGATCCCTTCCAACTTTATTATTATTGTTGTTGTCGTTGTTGTTAAAATGTCACTCCGGCTTCTGCTACTTGCACGGGTCAGGTTTATTTTTTATTTTTTTGATGGGTTTTTTGCTTTTGTTTTCCTTCCAGGCTCTTGTTTACTTCCTTTGGATCCTAGCTGACCTTCTCCGCTAACCCTCTGGAAGTTTGGAAGTGAAATCAGCTTCCTCTTTGGATCCATGCCAAGCTGGCTTAAAATTGCTCCGATGCTGTTAAATATGCTCGGCCAAAGCCAAATAAATCTCCTGGAGATTTTCCTTGGGAAATCCTAGCCTTCCAAGGAACAACATTGCCTCGTTTCGTTTTGGTTTTTTTTTAATTATTATTTTTTTAAAACTTCGTGCAAATGACCCTCGTTATCTCTCCGAGAATCGGCAAAGCCCTTTCCCGTTGGCTTGTGGACTAGCAGCTTGCTCAACCGTTCAGACCTTGCAACAGACCAGAAGGTGAAAGCCACAAAAAAGGTCAAGCTGAGACTTTTGAAAGAGCTGCTAACTGGGATTCTGGAACTGAGTTTTTCTCTCTTTTATTTCCATCGTTCTCGGCCTCTGAAAGGACACAGACCCCATTTTTTTTTTTTTGCAACTCGCTACTGCATAGAAAACCACCCCTGCAGGGCCTGGAGAGTCATCAAACATGGAGCGCTGTTTTCCTTTCGTTTGGCAAAACGAATAAAAGACGCCGGCAAATTTGTCGGGATTCTTTGGCTGCGGAATCCAGTCCTTGATTTAGGACCACAGCTGGGAATAGAATTTCTGCTGCTAAGCAAGGCGGTTGTTAACAGAATTGCGCTTGATCTTAGGACTTTTTTGGTCATGGCTGTTAAGCGAATCACTACAATCACAAGGTCATTAAGCAGATCCGGCTTCCCCCATTGACTCGGCTTGTCGGAAGCCGGCTGGGAAGCTTGCAAAATGGAGATCACGTGACCCCGTTGTAAACACACGCCGGTTGTCAAATGTCCGAATTTTGATCACAAGACCGTGGGGATGCTGCGCGAGGGCTGATCATCCGCCCCCTTTTTCTTGAACGGTCACTAAATAAAATGGTTGTTAAGTCGCAGTTTGGAAGCTGCAGTACCGCCTTTGAACCACTTGGAATGCCCAGGCGGGGTGGTGAGAATCCACGACAGCGCCCTCTACTGGTGAGGAAGTGATGCTGCGGCGTCTGAAGACGCTGATTTGAAGCTGCTTCCCGAGGGAGCCGAACACACATAAAGCAGCAATTCAGGGTGGATTTCTTTAGAAAAAGGAGTCAAAGGCCTCTTGTCTCTGGGGGAACAAAGCCTCACTCCCCCCCCCCCAGTCCTTCTGGGCAGAAGCCTTTTTTATTTCAATGAGGTCTTGCAAAGAGCTTGGATGGTTTTCCTTTCCTGTTGCCTGGGGGGATTGTTAATTCCTAAAGGGTTGCTTTAAGAAAAAAGAGAAAGAGAACGGGAGTTTCTTTCTTTCTTTCTTTTTCTTTCTTTCCTTCTTTCTTTCTTTCTTCCTTCCTTCCTTCCTTCCTTTCCTTCCTCACTCCTTTTTCCTTACTTATTTCCCCCACCCCTTTTCTTTCTTTCTTTCTTTCTTTCTTTCTTTCTTTCTTTCTTTCTTTCTTTCCTTCCTTCCTTCCTTCCCCACTTTTTCCTTATTTATTTCTCCCACCCCTTTTCTTTCTTTCTCTTTCTTTCTTTCTTTCTTTCTTTCTTCTTTCCCACTCCTTTTTCCTTCCTTCCTTCCTTCCTTCCCCCACTCGTTCTTTTTTCTTTCCTTCCCCACTTTTTCTTATTTATTTCCCCACCCCTTTTCTTTCTTTCTTTCCTTCCTTCCTTCCTTCCCCACTTTTTCCTTATTTATTTCTCCCACCCCTTTTCTTTCTTTCTCTTTCTTTCTTTCTTTCTTCTTTCCCACTCCTTTTTCCTTCCTTCCTTCCTTCCTTCCCCCACTCTCTTTCTTTTTCTTTTTCTCTTTCCTTTCTTTTCCCCTTCCTTCCTTTCCTCCTTCCTTCCTCCCTCCCTATCTTTTCTTTTTCTTTCATTCCTATCTTTTCTTTCCTTCCTTCTTTCCTTCCTCTGCTTTTTTTTTCCTCCCTCCCTCCCTCATCTTTTTTCTCTTTCCTTCCTTTGAATTACCCTCAAAAACGCCTGTTCACTCTCTGTTCTGCTGGTTGGCAGTTTGGGATTTTCAGGCAAACAAACCCAGGAATGAAGGTCCAAAAAATGTTTTTTTTTTTAGCTGGGGTGGTGGCTGGCTGGCTGGCTGCTGGGGACCCTGTAAACAAGCCCTTGGATGTGTCTCCCTCAAGGATACACCGCATTCCTTAATATTTTTTTCAATATAAACAAGGGTTCTTTAACTCCCACAATAGTGCTTGGACAATATTTCAGAACTTGGCTCCTTTTATGGTGAAAAACTTTGCTACAGGTCCCTAAATCCAAGTTTTATTAACGGGGAGTTTATTTTTAAGATGGCAACATTTGCGCCCGGAACGCCCAGTATTCCTTCCTTCCTTCCTTCCTTCCTTCCTTCCTTCCTTCCTTCCTTCCTTCCTTTCTTCCTTTCTTCCCTACCTTCTCTATCTTTCTCTCCATCCCTCCCTCCCCCCACCCTCCTTTCTTCTATCCTTCTCTATCTGGAAGTTTTTAAGAAGAAACTGGACAGCCATTTGTCTGAAATGGTATAGGGTTTCCTGCCTGAGCAGGGGGTTGGACTAGATGACCTCCAAGGTCCCTTCCAACTTTATCATCATCATCATCATCATCATCATTATTATTTTCCTTGCTTCCTTCTCTACCATCTCAATGTTTTCCTCTCTTCCCTCCCTCCTTTCCCTCTCTCAAATTTTCTTTCTTTCCATCCTTCCTTTCTTTGTTTTTTTGTTCCTTCCTCTCTGTTCTTGTTGTTTTTCTCTTTCTTTTACCTTTTCTTTCCTTCTGTCCCTCCCTCCCTTCCCTCTCTCAAATTTTCTTTCCTTCCTTTATGTTTTCTTTCTTTCCTTCCTCTCTGTCCTCGCTGTGTCTTTCTTTCTCTTTCTTTTCCCTTTTCTTTCCTTCTCTCCCCCCTTCCCTCTTTCATTCTGAACTGCCCTGCAGCCCAGTTCAGTTGCAACAGGCCCCAATCCCAAGGATCCAGTCCCCAGGCGAGAAACCTTAATGAAATGAACAGGAGGCTCTCCACGTTCCCTCAAAAAACAGGTCCCCAAACTCTGCCAAGTGGAAAAGGAGCAGATCAGTGGGAAAAAAAACTAAATTATCCTGAAATTTAACGCCTGCAGCGGCTCGGTTCATTTTGTTTTCCGCAAATTGGGCACCAACGATTGAAAGCAAGGGATAATATTTTGTCAGGCGGGTGGCTATTTTTAAAAAGACAAAAGAAAACACTGTGTGAAAGTTGGAGGCGATGTTGCAAATTATTTGTGGTTAATTTAAGATGCCTTTCGGAGAGTGAACAGTAAGCCACGAGCAGTCCCTGACTTACGACTACAATTGGGACTGGATCTCCCGTCGCTCAGTGATGACCGGGGTCCCCCCCATGCCAATCTGATCATTGCCTAGGCAACATCACTTCCTCCCCCCCACCCCATTCACCAGGTCGTTCCCATGCACCATTACACATTTGCACAGTGATGAAAAAGTTCTGCCACCGGTTCTTGCCTGGGGTGGCCTTTACAGGTCTGGAAAGCCCAGGAAAGCTGAAGTCAGGTCATAAAACAGCGACGTTTCGCTTAGCGACCGCTTCGCTCAACGACCAAATGGCTGCTTTCCCCCTTTGAAGTGGCTCAACGAGGCCTACCTGTAATGCAGTGGAGGAAATTGGGTTCGTGCAACGCTAGCTTTGGGTGGCTCAGCGTGCAAGCAGTCCAGCCTGCCGAGGAGACTTTGATGTCCTGGCAAATCTGGAAAAAAAAAACAGGTGAATTCATTTAAGCCAAAGAAGAAGGTTGTGTGAATGTACCTGTGTTTTCATCTTTCGGCTGTAAGGTGTTTTTTTTGGGGGGGGGGACACCTGTGGATGTCACTTGTCCTGGGAAGATCCTGCCATCTGCTGGAGGGTGTGCAGAACTACAGTCAGACTAAGCAACTTGGATCCAGGTTATTATTTGAAGGACAGCCCAACAAACAAGAGGAATACAAATCAAGAACAACTAATAACAGGTTTAAAAACTATGACTCAAGAGCCAGAGTTGGTAAAGGAAAAGAAAAACAAAAAGTTATATAATAAGCTTGAATGGCCCTCCTCCTCTTCCTCCCAAACATCTTTCGCTTCTAGCCCTGATGATGTTGCCTAGTTGGGTCATGAAATGTCTGCAAGAAAACAACCAAGCTCAGAGAGCACCAAGGATCCCACAGTCCTCTTTCTCCTCCTCCTCCTCCTCCTCCTCCTCCTCCTCCTCCTCCTCCTCCTCCTCCTCCTCCTCCCTTCTAGCCCTGATGATGTTACCTAGTTGGGTCATGAAATGTCTGCAAGAAAACAACCAAGCTCAGAGAGCACCAGGAACCTTGCAGTTCCTCCCCCTCTTCCTCCTCCTCCTCCTCCTCCCCCCATTCTAGCACTGATATTGTTACCTAGTTGGGTCATGAAACATCTGCAAGGAAACCACCAGGCTCAAGTGCCAAATTTTGGGAATGCTGCAACAGTTGTAAATGTGAGGACTGGTCGTAAGTTATTTTTTTGAGTGCCCTTATACCTTTGAACAGTCATTAAATGAAAAGACAGAAAAAAAAAGGAAGGAAAAGAGAGAGGAAGGAAGGAAGGAAGGAGTAAGTAAGGAAAGAAACAAGGAAGGGAGGAAGGAGGGAAGGAAGGAAGAAAAAAGAAAAAAGAGAAGGAAGGAGGGAGGGAGGAAGGAAAGAAGCAAGGGAGGGAAGGAGGAGGGAAGGAAGGAAGAAAAAAGAGGAGAAGAAGGAAGGGAGGAGGGAGGGAGGAAGTAGAGAAGCAAGGAAGGGAGGGAGGGAGGAGGGAAGGAAAGAAGGAAGAAAAGAAGAAAAAAAGGAGAAAAAAAAGGTGTGCAGGTTCTGCACATGCTCAAAAATACCTTCGTCTTTCTCTCCCTTAACTAAAGCTAGAGATCTTAATCAACAAAAGCTTCTAAATGGTCCCTAATGAAAAAGAAAATCAACCTCAGATTAATAGACTTTGAAACGCTCCAGACTTTCTCCGGAATTCTCCCTTGGGACAAAATTCTGGCTTGGCTGATGGAGCGATGGATTTAATCTCCTTTTTTTCCCAAAAGCCAGCAAATTACAGTCTCTGGATTTCATGGGTGGATCCCCTTTGTCCTTTCAAAAAATCTTCCCCAACGTGATTTCACAGTGGATCCAGAAGGGGGAAGGCGTGAGCTGAGTGTGTGTTTGCACTCCCATGTGGAGATGCGCTCTTTAACCAGACCGGCTGTTTTCCGATGTTCTTTTTTCCTTCCTTCCTTCCTTCCTTCCTTCCTTCCTTCCTTCCTTCCTTCCTTCCTTCCTTCCTTCCTTCCTCCCTCCCTCTTATCTTTTTTCTTTCATTCCTATTTTTCTTGCCCTTCCTTCCATCTTTCCTTCCTTTCTTTTCCTTCCTTCCTTTTCTTTCTTCCTCCCTCCCCCTTATCTTTTTTCTTTCCTTCCTTCTTTCCTCCCTCTTTTCCTTCCTTCCTTCCTTCCTTCCTTCCTTCCTTCCTTCCTTCCTTCCTTCCTCCCTTCTCTCTTTTCCTTTCTGTTTAATGACTGTTCAATAATGAACGAAGCAGAGGCTGGTAGGTGCTGCTTTCAAAGCAGACCAGCTGACCTGGGGAATGAATGAATGAATGAATGAATGGGATATTCCAGGAAAAGTTGTGGTGGAATAAAATGGTTGCTTTTTCAGAACCATTGTTAAAATCTAGGATCTGTAATAACAAAGACGAGAGAGTTGAGAAAGAGACCCACACAAACAGACATACTGTATGTATTACCCTGTCTACATCATGATTTGTTTCGCTCTGTTCATTGGGCAAGATCGGACAACCATTGGATGGGATGGAATAAGGACACCTGCTTTAGCCGGGGGGATGGACTAGAAGACCTCTAAGGTCCCTTGTTGCCCTATGTTACCTTATCCTTCATACCAGGGTCTCCAATCTAGGCAACTTTAAGACTTGCAGACTTCAAATCTCAGAATTCCCCAGCCAGCTATGCGGAATTCTGGGATTTGAAGTCTACAGGTCTTCAAGTTGCCTATAAACTGCAGATGGGATCTTTGGTCTGGTTTATGAACTCAGTTTCTAGAAGTGAGGCACCCAGTCTAGAGACAAGTCCCCCCCCTTTCTAGAAGGCTGTTCCAGAATCAAAATCCTGGGGCAGGGGGGGAATTCCAGAGAAGCAGAATGCTGGCAATTATTGTGGAATTTTACTCAGGCTCATAACAGGCTTTGCCTTGTAGATCTGAGATTCCTATTTAAAAAAAAAAAAATAACAATAATCACAGTGCACGTGGTAATTAGGATGGTGGTGTTGAGGAGGAATTTAGGAAGTCAATTTGTCAGTTTCTATAGGTGATCAGATCCAGGCTAACAAATGTTTGGCTGTGGTACAGCAGGGGCATAATCCCTCCACAACCTCCAGCCTCAAAATGTGGATATTGGTGGGAGAATTCAAATAGAAAAGGGGGAGTGAGGGAGGGATGGAGGGAGGAAGGAAGGAAAAAAGGGAGGGAAAAGGGAGGGAGGAAGAAATGGATGGGAAGAGAGGAGGAAGAAAAGAAGGAAAGGGAGAGAGAACAGAGGGAAGGGGAGAAAGGAGGGTGGAGAGAGAAGGAAGGAGGAAAGAGAAAAGGAAAGGAAAGGGGAGGAAAGAAAAAGACAGACGAAGGAAGGAAGGAAGGAAGGAAGGAAGGAAGGAAGGGGAGGGAGGAAGGAATGGATGGGAAGAGGAAGGGAGGCAGGAAGGAGAGAGGGAAGAAGGAGGGGAAGAAAGGAAGGAAGGAAGGAAGGAAGAAAGAAAGAAAGTGGGGGAAGGAAGGAAAAAGGAGTGTGGAAGGAAGAAAGGTAAGAAAGAAAGAAAGAAAGAAAGAGGGAAGAAAGAAAGAAAGTGGGGGAAGGAAGGAAAAAGGAGTGGGGAAGGAAGAAAGGAAAGAAAGAAAGAAAGAGGGAACTTTCCTGCTAAGTTTAAGCAAGAAACATCTTGCTTTCTTTGCATCTCCTTCCAAGGCAGAGTCCTTCCCCTTTTCCTAGGATTCCCCCCCCCCCCCAAAAAAAAAAAATTACCCTCGCATTTCACAGCAGGGCTGCTTCTCCAGCCCCTGGGAAAGCTGGTCTTAATCTGGAGCAGACCAGCCAAAGGTCTGACTCAGCCCAGCTGCTCCGACTTTTCTTCTCCTTGGCAGGAAGTGGCTGAATTGAGCTTCTATTGGGGCCCAGCCACGTGACCCCCCCTCTTCTTCCGTGCCCCCCCTCTTCCCTTTGCAAGGATCCTGTATCTTAAAGCCATCAAAATCTCTCTTTGGGACTTTCACACAATAGGGCATTTTTCTGCATGCGCATCCCTGCTCAGCACTGGCCTTTATTATTATTATTTTTTTTTTTCCTGGAGGACAAAGTGTCTTGTTTGCACATTGTGACTTTTTTTTTGCAAGCCATCGGGGCGCAGATTCTGCCTTTCTTAATACCTGCTTAAAAACACTCCTTTTTTTTCTTATGGGGGAGGAAGGGAGAAGGGGAAGAGAAGAGGAAGGGAAAGAGAAGGAGAGGTAGAAGGTGAAGGAAATAAAAGCTATTCTTTTAATAACTGTAGGAAAAAAATTGTAGAAATGTAATGCCGTTATATGAAACTGTCTCTCGAGCACAAATGTTAACACTGTAACGCAAAGGCAGCAATGCACTGCCAAATGTGTGAGAAGGTTTGTTCAATGTTTACTGCCTAAAATTCCTCCAGAGACAGGAACTTACACTTTAAGCGGAATATCAAAAAGGGGGATTTTGACCCTAGGAGGTGAAAATTACAAACAAGATAACAGCAGATGGGTGGAAGAGGTCAGGGATGACTTAAAGTACAACTTCAAAGGACGTCTATAAAGAGGAAAGAGCTTCTTAGATGGGACAGGCATTGTGAAAAGTATACAATGCAGAGCTTGAAAGCAGGCCAGGGCTCTCTGGAACCCAATCCATTGGGAAGGATCCCGCGTTTGCAAACGCCTCTTCTTTCTTCTCTTTCCTTTTCATTCTTTTTATGTTATTCTCCAATAAACCTTTGTTTTGTTCACCAGACTTGTCTTCGTATTGTGAATGTCAACATTTGGGGTTTTTACATCTCACAAAGGGAAGGTAGAGAGGGAGGGGGAAGAAGGAGAAGAAGGAGGGGAGGAGGAGAAGGAGAAGAAGAGAAAGAAGGAGTGGGAGTGGGGAGGAGGAGGAGGAAGAAGAGGAGGAGGAGAAGCAGGAGGAGGAAGAAGAGGAGGAGAAAGAGAAGGAGAGGAGGAGGAGGAAAAGCAGGAGGAGGAGAGAAGGAGAAGAGACGGAAGAAGAAGAGGAGGAAGAGAAGAAGAGGAGGAGGAGGAAGAAGAAGAGAAAGAGAAGAAGAGGAGGAGGAGGAGAAGCAGGAGGAGGAGGAGAGAAGAAGGAGAAGACGGAAGAAGAAGAGGAGGAAGAGAAGGAGGAGGAGGAGGAAGAAGAGGGGAAAGAGAAGAGGAGGAGGAGAGAAGAAGAGATGGAAGAAGAGGAGGAAGAGAAGAAGAGGAGGAGGAAGAAGAAGAAGAGAAAGAGAAGAAGAGGAGGAGGAGGAGAAGCAGGAGGAGGAGAGAAGAAGAAGAGACGGAAGAAGAAGAGGAGGAAGAGAAGGAGGAGGAAGAAGAAGAGGGGAAAGAGAAGAGGACAGAAGAAGGAGAAGAGACGGAGGAGGAAGAAGAAGAGGAGGAGAAGCAGGAGGAGGAAGAGAAGAAGAAGAAGAGGAAGAGACGGAAGAAGAAGAGAAAGGGGAAGACCACCACCACCACCACCAGCAGCATCCTCCTCCTCCTCATTCCGCGCGATCGTGGGCCTAAGGTGTGAACGATCCGGGTGGGGAAGGCAGCGGGGGTTGGCGGGGGAGGGGGGGGAACGGACACGCCCTTCCCTTTCCTGGGACGGGGGGGGGGCGATTCCCTGGGCAGGGAAGCCGGCAGACCGGACAAAGCGGGGAGGGAGGGAGAAGCGAGCGGGCCCTTTAAGGGGGCGGGGCGGGGGGCAGGGAGGGGGACGGAGCCAGCCACACCGGCGGAGGCAGCAGCAGCGGCGGCGGCGGCGGCGGACGCACCGTCGGGACAAAGGGGACGCCCCGGATCGGGACCAGCCGACACCGGAGCGCGCGACGCCGCTTGCAAAAAGAAAGGAAGGAAGGAAAGAAAGAAGGAAGAGTCGGGGAGGGAGGGGGGGGAATCGGCAGCCTTCCCATTCGGATTGCACGTGGGGAGAGCAGCCGGCCAAAGCCCCGCGCCGCGCCCTCCGCTCCCCGCAGCCGGCGGGCTCCGCGGACTCCGGGCCGGGAACAAAAGAGGCGGCTCGGCGGCCGGATGGCGGCTCCCTGCAGCCCGGAGAGCGGCGCGCCGGGGGAGCGACCCCGCGTCTACTTCCAGAGCCCCCCGGCGTCGGCGGGAGGGGAGGCGGGCGCCGAGGACGAGGAGGGCCCGGTGCGGCGCCAGGGGCGGGTGACGGTGAAATACGACCGCAAGGAGCTGCGGAAGCGGCTGCACTTGGAGGAGTGGATCCTGGAGCAGCTGACCGTCCTCTACGACTGCCAGGTGGGCGCCGGGGGGGGGGGGAGACTGGGGGGGGGAAGGAAGGAAGGAAAATCAGAGGGAGAAAGGAAGGAAGGAGGGAAAATCAGGAAGAAGGAAGGAAGGAGAAAAGAAGGAGGGAGGGAAGGAAGGAAAATCAGAAAGAAAGGAGAAGGAAGGAAAAGGAGAGGAAGAAAGGAGAAGGAAGGAAGAGAAGAGAGGAAAATCAGGAAGGAAGGAAGGAGAGAAGGAAGGGAAGAAAGGAAGGAAAATCAGAAGGATACAGAAGGAGAGAAGGGAGGGAAGGAAAATAAGGAAGGAAGGAAGGAAGGAAAATAGAGTTGGAGGGGACCATGAAGGTCCTCTAGTCCAACCCCTATTCAAGCAGGAGACCCTCTACCATCCGGACAAATGGCTGTCCAGTCTCTTCTTAAAAGCCTCCAGTGATGGAGAAGGAAGGAAGGAAGAAAACCCTTCCCCATCCCGGATTTGCCCAGCAAAGGGGGCGGCTCCAGGTTGTGGGGTCAGAGGGAGGGCTATCTGGTGACCCCTGCCCTGTTTCCCAGAGGTTCAGCCCCTATCACTTCTTTCCTCTTGCTTCCCAGGGTCCTGACCGCCTCCCATCCTTGCCCCTTTGCACACAGTCCTGATCCTAAGGCTATCCTGACCTTTGCTCCCTTAAGCTTCCTCCCCCCAAGTCTTCCCCACCCCATAAGGGGGGCCCTTCTGGACCTGGAGCCAGCAACCTCCAGGGTGGACCCTCCGGAGATGAGAGAGATGAGATGCGGGAGGGTCTCGCAGGAGCTGGAAGCTGGCAATTAAGCCGCCTCTGTCCCAAACTCAATTTGGGGTCTTGATGCTGCTGGCTTCCTGGGGTGGGCACTGCTCCCCAAAGGGAGAGCCAGGAAACCACCATCCTCCCTCCCAATTGGCCTGTTTTAAGCCAGGGATCTCTCCCTCTTGTGGTCACCCACCTCCCTTCTCTGACCCAGAATCCTGGTGACCTCGCATCTGACAGTGGGGGGAGGAGGGGGACAGTTCTGCCACCACCTCCCTACAAAATGTGCTGGGAATTCTGGCGGCTGTAAGTCCTGGCATGTTCGGAGCCTTTTTCCAGTTGCCAAACTGGGTTAACGCAACCCTCCCACTCGCAACCCTCCTCCTCACCCGATTCCCACAGCGGATCACCCCAGGCCAGGGATCTCCCTATTCCTGCCAAGGTGGCTCAGAGGGAAGGTCATTTAAGGTCGCTGGCATCCCAGCCCTTCTGGGTGGCGTGGAAAAAACTTTGTGCAGGGTCTCAGTGCCCTTTTTTTTTAAAAAAAACCTCCCAATTGCATAGTGTTGTGAGTTGGGTTGAGGGGGGGGAGGGATGCCCCTAACTTTGCCCAACTTAGCCGCTGCCTGCCCCCCTTAAATCCTGCGTGATTCCTTGAGGGAGGGTGCCACGGGATCGGGCAAAAGAGTTGTTAACACTTTTTTCCATCTTGACAACTTGGCATCTCAAGTTGGTGTCATCTGCTCTGCCCTGGCAGCCTTCGAAGGCGCTCTAAATGTGGATCACAATAGCAGGATCGGCTTTCATGGCCCCCCCATCTGTCTCACGGCTGGTGGGCATTTTGGCGGAGGCTAAATGCCATCTGCTAACCAACTTCAGGAGGGGCATGGTTTTTTTGGGGGGGGGGCAAAGGAACAAGAGAGCTTGCTGGGATGGGTCTTCCGTGAAAATGTAAGGGAGGAGCAAGCTAGACGTGAGTTTCCTGTCCTAGATTCTCCAGTGATGGAGCAGCCACAACTTCTGGTAGCAAGCTGTTCCACTGGTTAATTGTCCTCACTGTCAGGAAGTTTCTCCTTAGTTCTAGTTGCTTAGTTTCTATCCGTTGCTTCTTGTCCTGCCTTCAGGCGCTTTGGAGAATAGCTTGACTCCCTCTTCTTTGGGGCAGCCCCTCAAATATTGGGACACTGCTATCATGTCCTCCCCGCCCAGTCCAGCTTTTCATTAAACTAGATATACTCCAATCTTCATATGTTTTAGCCTCCTAATTGTCTTGGTTGCTCCTCTCTGCACTCTTTCCAGAGTCTCTACATCTTTTTTTACATTGTGGTGACCGAAACTGGATGCAGTATTGCACACGTGGTCTTGCCAAGGCCTTATAAAGCGTGAGCTCCACGTGACCTCGATTCTCTGTTGATGCAGCCTCTGGACTGGGTTGGCTGTTTTGGCAGCTGCAAACTCTAGTTGACCATTAGCTAAGGAAGCCATAAAGGCCGGCCTTGGGAAGGGAGGCCAAACCCGGCTTGCGAACCTTCGCTCCTTCCCAGCCGCTCAAAGTTTAAGCTCGCTTCTCTTTGTTTACCAGGTTGCATGTGTGAATGGAAAAATATGGGTGGATTGATTGGGTTAGGGCCATGTCCCAAGACATATTAAGGGAGCAAGGGTTTCGGATACAGGCGATTTACGACGGTTCTTTTAGTGTCCGTTCGAAGTTATAACAGCACTGAAAAAAGGGACTTAGGACCGTGTTTCACACTTATGACACTTGCAGCATCCCCAGGCTTTAAGGCAGGGGTCTTCAAACGTGGCCCTTTGATGACCTGTGGACTGGGAGTTGAAGTCCACAGGTCATCAAAGGGCCACGTTTGAAGACCCCTGGTTTAAGGGATCAAAATTCGGACGCTTGGCAACTGACTCACGTTTATGACGGTTGCAGCGTCCTGGGGGACCACCTAATCCCCTTTTGTGACCTTCTGACCAGCAAAGCCAGTGGGGGTTCACTTAACGACGGTGCTCCTAACATAACAGCTGCAGCGATTCGCTGAACAACCGTGGCGAGAAAAGTCGTAAAACGGGGCAAAGCTCACTTAACCAATTTCTCACTTAGCAACATAAATCCTGGGGCTCCGTTCCGGTCGTAACTCAAGGAAATACCTGTAGCTCTTTTAAAGACGGGGAGGAATTGAGGCCTGGCTAGGTTGGAGGACAAAGGAGTGACCTTTTGGAAGGATTTTTAAAAAAGGCGGGGGGGGGGAAATAAACAGAACCCGCAAGGCAAAAGCTTCTTTTCCTAAATAGCTTCCGTGCGCCAGGACAGGTACCTGAAAGCCATTTAGCCATAAAAAGAAAGCAAAGGGCTTCTGGAAAGATGATGTCCTTTTAAAGATCAATTTTTAATCAATCAGCCTGATTAATTTATAGGCTGGTGCGGAGGGCTAAGTGCAGGGCTGGTGTCTTCCATGGGGGGGGGGGTTGAGAGGACCATTTCCATTATCCTTTTAACGGAGGAGGATGGGAAATGTTCTCTTGGGTCAGCTAAGTCACCTTCCTGAGGAGCAACTTTAAAAGCTGGGTGGACTTCAACTCCCAGAATGCCTCAGTCGGCGAGCAAGCAAGCGGACTGGAGGATTCTGGGAGTTTGAATCCACCTGGCTTAAAAGTGGCTCAGCTTGAGCAACGCTGGTCGAGGGACAGATGGAGAGCAATATGGGCCTCCCTGCAAGAAGAGAGCTAGCTTATCAATAAAAATTTTAAGTCTAAGAGCCCAGCCTTTCCGTGAACTTGCAGGAAGGTTTAGAAACGAGCACAAAATGATTGCATTGGGCGCCACCAGGGATCCTGACTCCGATATTTCTGCTTGTGGGGCCAGATTGAAAGAAACTAGCTAGCTAGCTAGCTTCCTTCCTTCCTTCCTTCCTTCCTTCCTTCCTTCCTTTCTTTCCTTCCTTTCCTTTTTCCCTTGCTTTTTCCTTCCCTTTTTCTTTCCTTCCTTCCATTTACATTCTTATCTCCTTCCAATTTTTCTTCCTTTCCTTCTTTCCATTCTTTCCTTCCTTCCCCTTTTTCCTTGCTTTTTTCCTACCTTCCCTCCATTTTTTCTTTCCTTCCTTCCATTTACATTCTTATCTCCCTCCAATTTTCCTTCCTTCCTTCCTTCCTTCCTTCCTTCCTTCCTTCCTTCCTTCCTTCCTTCCATTTTCCTTTTCTTTCTTCTTTTTCTTAGTTTCCTTCCTTCTTTTTCATACCCTTCCTTCTTTTCCTTCCTTGCTTCCTTCTCTTCCTCCCTCCCTCTAATTCTCCTTTTCTTCTTTTTCTGAGTTTCCTTCCTTCTCTCTCATATCCTTCCTTCCTTCCCTTTCACTTTTCCTTCCTTGCTTCCTTCTCCTTTCCTCCCTCCCTCCCTTCCTTCCTTGGGACCTTTGCAGGACATCCCAACGGGGCTCAAATAACAGCTGGACACTTATGCAGCAAACAGGAAGATGCAGAGAACGGTCCTAACTGCAAATGGTCTTGCCTTTTTTGGGGAGTTGGCCCTGTACCCCTTTCTCACCAAGGAGAAGTTTAAATTGCGGGGGGGGGGGGGAAGAGAGAAGGTTCCCCCAAGATGCTAGACTCAGCTACGAAAAGCAGCCGAATTCTTCCCAGCTCAGCACCGGGAGGGAAGCTAACTTTTGATCGGATGGTTTGAACCGTGTGTTGTCTGTCGAATTGAGGCGATGTTGCCCAGGGACCCCTTGACGTCTCCCCACTTCTCTCCCCATTTCACGATCCCCGACGAGAGGAATTAACACCTAAAACTTGGCTTTTCTCCTCCTTTTTAATTCCAGGAAGAAGAAATTCCCGAATTAGAAATAGACGTGGATGAACTTTTGGATATGGAGAGCGACGAATCGCGGAGCGCTAGGGTGAAGGTAAAAAAAAAAAAGACCGGGAAGAAGAGAAGCATCCATGGAGATGGTCAGCCAGACAGATCACGGTGCTTTTTTTCAAGAGGCAACTTTTCCAAGAAGCTTCTTCAGCTCTGACTGGATGGTGAGGAAGGGAAGGATTTATGCTCCTTGCAGACCGCTGGTCATTTGCATTCTTTTTAGAGAGTCGTTGAGGCCACTTGGAGGCTTAGCTGTGTCCTCAGGATCACCTGAGTGGTGCAAATGAGTGTGGAACAGCAGTTCCAAGAAAGCTCCACACCCATTTGCACCACTCAGGTGACCCTGAGGACACAGCTAAGCCTCCAAGTGGCCTCAACGGCTCTCTCAAACGATGCAAATGACCAGTGGTCTGCAAGGAGTATAAATCCTTTCATTCCCCACTATTTGGTCAGAGCTGAAGAAGCTTCTGGGATGAGAAGCGAAACGTCTTTAAGAAGTTTTTAAGAAGAGACTGGACAGCCATTTGCCCGAAATGGTCTAGGGTTTCCTGCCTGAACAGGGGGTTGGACTAGATGACCTCCAAGGTCCCTTCCAACTTTATTATTATTATTATTAAAAACAAGGAAATACAGTTGCCTTGAGGAAAAAGCACCTTTGGGGAGAAGAGAAGCGTCTCTTTTGCCCACACAGGCACACGCTGGTTACAAGAGGGGCTTGAGAAAGGGGGCACACAGGGGTCTCATTGTGTCCGCACACAAGTCACAAGGAGGGCTGGAGAAGGGGGGGGGATGCCTGTGTGTTTCATTGTCTCTACACCAAAGTTACAAGAAGAGCTTAAAGGGTGTGCATGTGTGTCTCATTGTCTCTTCTCACACACACACACACACTACAAGAGGGGCTTGAGAAGGGGTGTGTATGCGTGTGCTTCATGTTACTAACGCCAGGGCCATCACAAGACCCGAACTTGGGTGGGTCCTTTCACGCAGCCACCCAAAAGCAGACGTGTAAATTCCAGCTGGGATGTGTAACCTTAAACCAAAATAATAATAATAATAATAGTAATGAGGGATTTTAAGAAATTGCAGCTCTCCACCCTCAAAGGTTTAGCCAGGGGTCTACAATGGCAAGCTTTTTTAAAAAGCATAGAGCTTCTCTGATTTTTTTTTTCCCCCTCTTTCCTTTCACCCCCTTGTAGGAACTCCTGGTCGACTGCTACAAGCCCACAGAGGTATGTCTTGGCTAATTAAAACAAACAAACAAACAAAAAATACCTTTTTCTACAGCCAGCTTATTGGCGGTGGCCGGTTTTGCTCCCCCGCCTGCCCCCTTAAACTCCCCCGGGAGGGTGCTAGCCCTTAAGTGTCTGGTTCCCAGGAACAGCTGCAAAACAGCTGCTGCCTCCATCTCTGCGGGTCTTGGGGGGGGTCCCCAGCACCTGTTAGGGGAGGGGGGCTGGTCCACCCCCTCCCTTGCCTCGCCCTTTCTCCCAAGCCTTGCCTCCTGAAACGGGGGGGGGGGGGTGGGCAAAACAGGTTGTAGGCAAAGCAGGAACAGCTTCATTACGGTGCAAACCCCCCCCCCCCCAATGGGAGAGAACTAGTCAAGCTGATCCCAGATGTGGGTTTTCCGGCTGGAAAACAGAAGTCCAGACTGAACAGATGTGCCAAAATGAAGGTTGCTTACCTGGGCCAGCCTCTTTTTTTTTTTTCCTCCACAAACTGCCCAGGTTGTTCCACCTCCAGTTGGGGGTAGACTGCCTCTGTCCCGGGAGGTTTGGCTTTGCAATCCCACTTCAAGCAGGGCTGAAGGTCTGGTTTCAATCCCTTTAAAGCTAGGGTGTGCAGGTATCCTATCAGCCTTGGCAGCTCTTAAGAGGGGTGGACTTCAATTCCCACGATCCCCCAGCCAGCATGCTTTCAGAGGGGGGGGGACTTCAACTCCCAGAATCCCCCAGCTAGCAATAGGAATGGAAATCTGCTCATCTTAAAAGCATGCTGGGGGGCAGAATTCTGAGATCTTAAAGCATGCTGGCTGGGGAATTCTGGGGGTTGAAGTCCCCGTATTTGAAAGCATCTCAGCTGGGGAATTCTGGGGGTTGTAGTCCACCTATTTTAAAGCATGCTGGCTGGGGAATCCTGGGAGTTGAAGTCCACCCATCATAAAGCATGCTGGCTGGGGAATTCTGGGAGTGGAAGTCCACCTATTTTAAAGCATCCCACCTGGGGAATCCTGGGGCTTGTAGTCCACCCCTCTTAAAGCTGCCACGGGTGAGAAATCCCGCTACGGACCCGGTGCAGGGGAGTCAAGCTTTACTCGGGCCCTGCGTGAGCCATTTCCTTTCCTGTCCTTCCAGGTTTTCGTAGTTGACTTGCTAGACAAGATCCGAGGGATGCAGAAGCTAAGCACCCCCCAGAAGAAATGACGTCCTGTCCGTCAGCAGCCGTCCTGCGTGGCCCCTGCCATTTGGGGACCCCGTGTGTCGCTGAAATGTTGGCAGTGCTCGGTTTCCAGGGAAGGGGGGGACGCTTCTACAGGGCTGGGGAGGATCAATTAAATCTCCCCCCCTCGCCTCTAGGACCGCGAAAGAGCAAGATCCTCCATCTGGGGATGCTTTGATAATCACAACGATTCGGTCGCCTTTTAGCAATATCTGCGCTGCCCCCCCCCACCCCCCCATCTGTCCTGACTCCCGAGTGAGTGTGTCTGTGTGTGCAAAGGGAGGAGGGGCATTGGTTCTCGAGGGGAGGGGGAGCAGAAAGAGAGAAGGATCTTAAAACAGAGATCTGGATGGGGGAGGGGAACATCTCCGTTTGGGGGAGGGCGGTTGGTTTGTTTTTTTAATTATTGTGTTTTTATATAAATTTAATAAAAGAGGCTTTGAGAAGAGGTGGCCTGGTTTTTGCAACGGGGGGGGGGGGGAAGAAAAGTGCGGATGAGAAAGTTTTTTGGGGGTTAGGGAGACACTGGAGTCTCCCGTCACTTGACCGGAACGCCTTAACTTTTATTTTTTTATTTTTAAAAAGCACTCGTTTTGCAACCCTTTGAAGTTACAATGGCTCTGAAGGAATGTGACTTACGACTGGTCCTCGCGCTTACAACCGTTACAGCATTACAGCATTTGTCCGAAATGGTATAGGGTTTCCTGCCTGAGCAGGGGGTTGGACTTGATGACCTCCAAGGTCACTTCCAACTTTATTATTATTATTGTTATTATCATCATCATCATCCCCAGGGTCACAGGGACAAAATTTGGGCTCTTGGCACCTATTTTCGATCACTGAAGCATCCTGGGGGACTACAGGATGACATGAATTCTGGGAGTTGAAGTCCACCCCTCTTTAACAGTTGCCAAGGCTGAGAAACATTGATAGGATATCTGCAGCATCCTATCTTAAAAGGATTTAAAGCACTGGAAGTTTTTAAGAACAGACTGGACAGCCATTTGTCCGAAATGATACACAGGGTTTCCTGCCTGAGCAGGGGGTTGGACTAGATGACCTCCAAGGTCCCTTCCAACTTTATTATTATTATTACTATTACTAAAAGGTGGTGTAATTTCCATTTGGAACTGTCCCGTTGAGAAGCCAAGTCAGGGAAGGATATCGTAGTCGCTTAGCGTCAACAGCCTCACTGAACAACGGTGGCTGAAATGGTGGTCAAACTGGGCTCAACCCACTGAACGATGGGCTGGCTTAGTAACGGAAATGCCGGTCCCGATTTTCGTCATAAATCGAGGATTCCCTGTAATTCATTAAGCCAAAGTCTGGATTTTTTTTTTAATGTTGTTGTTAAGTGTGCGCGCACACGCGCGCGCACACACACACACACACACACACACACACTCGCATATCTCCCCCCCCCCAAAAAAAAACCAACCATCCTTTGGCTTCATAAAATGGTCAGGTTCAACCAATAGGGTGTCATAGTAGCTAAGATTCCTCCTCTCAATTGTCCAATCAGACGATGGGCAGGTTGGCTGGGGAATTCTGGGAGTTGAAGTCCACAAGCCTTAAAAGTTGCTATGGCTGGACACCCCTGCTCTAGCACCATTGCCCAATTGCGGTCTCTCTTTCACGGGAGACTCAAAGGCCGATGGGTGTTTGAGGAAGGCCATCTGGGAGAATCCTGCTGCGGAAATAAACGGCGTTCCGGGCCGCACAGCTTTCCCGCAGCAAAACGTATCTTTCCTCTCTGGGAATTATTACGGGGAAAACCCAGGGTAACAAGCTACTATTCCAGGAATTGCAATTCAGCCACATCTTTCTCTTTAAGCTACTGGGGGAATCAACCCTGGCCGACAGCTTTGGCTTACAGAGTAAGAGCTGGAAGGGACCTCGGGAGGTCTTCTAGTCTAACCCCCTCCTAAGCAGGACAAAATGACTCTCCAATCTCTTCTTAAAAAATCTCAGCTTCTTGGATCACTGGGGAGGGGGGAAGGAGAAGAGGACCTCTGAGTAGCCCCCCCCCCAGCAAAAGAGAGCTCTTCCTTTCAAGCTGCTTCTAATTAGAGGTGAAAAACAGAGACAGACGCCGGTAACGAGAGCAACGCCTCTGCCTCGATTGTCCCAAAGGAGTTGCAGACAAGCGCAGCCTTCACCCTCCCTCCTTTTGATGGTAGTGGCTGAACACAGCAAGGAAGGAATGCTTTTCAGGGCCTGGAGCTGATCCCAGCGTTTTTCCAGCCTTAAGTCACCGCTTGAGCAAAAAAAGCTTCGTGCCTCTCTCGCTCGGATCCGCTCCCTTGTCCACGTGGCTCGGAGGTGGCTATCGGAAAAGAATGCCCGCTCTCTCATGGAGCCCAGGCCTAGAAGGAGATGGGAGGAAGCAGCTGACTTTGGGGAAAAGCCACACCCGGAATACCGCACCCAGGTTTGGACACCACCTTACGGAAAAGATGCCGAGACTCTGGAAAGAGTGCAGAGAAGCGCAACTAAAGATGATGAAAGGCCTGGAGGCTAAACCGCACGAAGAACGGTTGCAGGGATTGGGTTTGGCCAATTCTAGTTTAAAAGAAGGCGTAAGGCTGACTTGACAGCAGCCTTCCAATATCTGAGGGGCTGCCCCAAAGCCCTCTGAAGGCAGGACGAGAAACGACGGATGGAAACGAATCAAGGAGAAACTTCCAAAAGAGTGAGGACAATCCACAGTTTGCCTTCAGAAGTGGTGGGTGCTTCATCACTTGGAGGTTTTTAAGGAAAGATTGGACAACCGTTGGGTCTGAAATGGCATAGGGCGGCCTCTTGCTTGACCAGGGGGTTGGGCTAGATGACCTCCAAGGCCTCTTCCAACTCTGAAACACCGGGAGGTCTACCAACGAGGCGAAAACAGGTGACTAAAGGATGCTAGGTCCAGAAGAGGTTCAGAGGCTGCTCGGGTCCCTTCCCAGTGAGAGAAACCTCCTCTTTGATTTGAAAGCATATATAGAGGAAGTCCTCAATTTACAACCACTGGAAAAAGTGACTTGCAGCTGGTCCTTGCACTTAGGACCGTCGCTGGCATCCCCCTCTAATCAAAATCTGGACGCTTGGCAACCGGTGTGTATTTGCGACGGTTGCAGCGCCCCAGGGTCACGTGATCCCGTCCTGTAAACTTTCCCAGCTGGCTTCCAACGAGCAAAATCAAGGGGGGGGGGAACCGGATTTTGCTTAATAACTGCATGACTCGCTTAACCGTTTGCCTAACCAGGGCAAAAAACAGTCATAAAACGGGGTGGGACTCGCTTAACCAGCGCCTGGCTTAGTGATGGAAATCCTGGTTTTTTGCAAGTTGAGAACAAGCTCTATAGTTCTGCAAGGCTCCCAAGAACTCACACACGCACACATACACACACACACAACTGTTGGCTTCAGGGACAAAGCCACAGTTAGGCCCCAATGTGATTCTCCCCACCACGTGTCTGTATTTTAAAAAGGCAGCATAAGCCACGGTTTGAACCCGTGCCCACTTACATCGTGGTGTGGAGAAAACCTGCCACTGTGGTGCCTACAACGCAAATTTTCTCCGTTTCCCACCGCAAAGGCGTTTACAGACTTGTAAACCACGAATGTCTGGCACAGCGCAGGCCATCCGCTGTTCGCTTTGTAGCTAGACAATGCTGGCGAAGGTCCAGCCTTTTTGCACTCCCACCACCCGCTCCGTGCTCAGCAGCGAAAACTCATCCTGTTATCTCACTTTCTCGCCAGCTCCTTGCGGCAGGAACTTCCGTTCCTTTATTTCCGGAGTCGCTGCTGTCCTTAGAAGAAACCACGCTTTCTTCTGCAAAGTCAAGGCAGGACAAAAGGGCCTTTTGTTTTTCTGTTTTAGCAGATGCTCAGCGGCTTGTTCGGGGTGTTCTCGGGAAGGGGTCCCAGAATTCCATGGGGCAGCACAGGAGAATTCTAGGGGGTCTCTTCTCCATCAAGGTCTAAGGCGGTGTTTCTCAAGCTTGAAGATGGGTGAACTTCAGCTCCCAGAATTCAACAGCCAGCACACTTTAAAATGGGTGGACTTCAACTCCCAGAATCCCCCAGCCAGCCTGCTTTAAGATAGGTGGACTTCAACGCCCAGAATCCCCCAGCCATTATGCTTTAAGACGGGCAGACTTCAACACCCAGAATCCCCCAGCCAGCCTGCTTTAAGACAGGTGGGCTTCAACTCCCAGAATTCCCCAGCCGTGATGCTTTAAGACAGATGGACTTCAATTCCCAGAATTCTACAGTTAGCACGCTATGGCTGGGGAATTCTGGGAGTTGAGGTCCAGCAGTGTTAAAGCCTGCTGGATGGGGGATTCTGGGAGTTGAGGTCCAGCAGTGTTAAAGCCTGCTGAATGGGGGATTCTGGGAGTTGAAGTCCACCCGTCTTAAAGCAGGCTGGCTGGGGAATTCTGGGCGTTGAGATCCACCCATCTCGAAGTTGCTGAGTAATCCTGGTCCTGACTGTTGAACAGGCAGCCATTCCTGCTCCATTGAGGACCCCTCCCTGCTACTCCCCTTTTCCTCCTTGGAGTTAAAAGCCCCCAGGACAAGAGTTAACCTTTTAAGCACAGGGCAATGCCTATCAATTTGGACAGCTTCCCCCAAGTTGATCTGTTCAGCCTGTGGCATTCACGGGACAAAATCTGATCTGTGCTTTTTTTTATTATTATTATGATTTGGCTCACCTAGGAGCAACACACCCCCTTTTGACCGATCCTTCTCCGGCCTGTCCGTCCATCTTTCGCGTGCGCCCCCCCCCCTCCCCAAAAGCCCCTCTTCCTGGGAGAGACGTAGAGCTATAGTTCTTGGCGACGCTCAATCTTCAGCAGCTCCACTTCGAAGATTAGCGTGGCGCCGCCTGGGAAGAGCATGGGAAAAGAGAGAAATGAACTGAAATTGGGTGGGGTGCTTGTTTTGTTTTGGTTTTTTTAAACCTTCGTGGCTGGGTATGAATGAAGTCGATGCCTAGAAATGGAAGAATATGATGCCCGCAATGGATGAATGGCTGTCCAAGTTGATGGAGTTAGCGGAGATAGCTAAAGCGACCGCTTTGATTAAAGAATACAATTGTGTTTCTACTTGGAAACCGCCTCTGGACTTTATGCTTGAAGTGGGGGGGGGGAATGAAAACCTGATTTTGGCTTTTGCTGATTGGATAGGCCTGTTGTTCTAGGAATGGCTAGTATATAGTTATGTAAAAGTAAAATGTTGAGGTTGTATGTTATTGCCTTATTCTGCTGAGCTGAAGAGAGTCCGAAGTCAATGCTTTTTTTTTTTTGTCCCTTCACCCTACACTTTTTCCTCTTCCCCTTCTCCTCCCCTCTTGCCCCCTTATTCTCGTCTTTCTTTCTATTTTGATAAAACTAATAAAAATGTATAATTGCGTGAAGGAAGTCAATCCAAACAGGATAAAGTCCAATGAAAAAAATTA